AGTTGGCTGCCCTAGTTGCGTTTGTATATGTACTGAGGAAGGAATTTTCAGGATTGACATTCATGAACTCATCTCTGCATCAGAAGGGGCCAGGGCCAGGGCCAGGTGCATTTCAGATTGGCTAGGATGCAATGCCATCTGAAACCAAATCATTGTTGTGTTGTGGCTGGCCCAGGATAGCAATGTTTTAGATAATTAACAGCAGAGATGGGCAGAAGCTCTCGGCTCCACTGTGCAGAAGGTAGAACAAAATCATTCATTCTGTCAAGGTGCTGGAGTGGGTTGTGGAATCCAGAATTGCATTTACAATCAATTTAGCAGCAGGGGGAAGCATTTTTACCAGGCTTCCCTCCTGGGATGCAAAAGTACAGAATTCGGTATCTCCCAAGTCACATCCAAAATGTTTCCAAGTGCTTTGTTTGCTTATATATTGTGCTTATACTCCACCTTTCCTTTAAGGAGATCAAAGCAGCATACACAACTCTCCCCTTTCCCATTTTAACCTCAGGGACACTGTGAGCTAGGTTAGGCTGAGAGACAGTGACAGGCCCACGATCTAAATAGTGTGCAAGCTTTTGCGTTTTCCAGAACTCTTCCTTAAAGGTAAAGGTAAAGGGACCCCGACCATTAGGTCCAGTCATGGCCGACTCTGGGGTTGCGGCGCTCATCTCGCTTTATTGGTCGAGGGAGCCGGCGTACAGCTTCCGGGTCATGTGGCCAGCATGACTAAGCCGCTTCTGGCGAACCAGAGCAGCACACGGAAATGCTGTTTACCTTCCTGCCAGAGCGGTACCTATTTATCTACTTGCACTTTGACGTGCTTTCGAACTGCTAGGTTGGCAGGAGCAGGGACCGAGCAACGGGAGCTCACCACGTCATGGGGATTCGAACCACCGATCTTCTGATCAGCAAGTCCTAGGCTCTGTGGTTTAACCCACAGCGCTACCCGCGTCCTGAACTCTTCCTTAGGTTAAATGATAAAAGAACTTTAGCCACATTATCAGGGAATTCGAAACTGGAGGAAGACCATCTTAGGCAACCTAAAGATGGGACTTTACTCCCCGAGTGAGCATTTTCTTCAGCTATGAGGTAAAGCTGGCCAATCTGCAGGGGCGTAGGAAGGGGGTGGGGGGTGCGGCCCACCCCAGGTGTCATCCCTGAGGAGGTGACAAAATGGCACACTGTGTGGGGGGGTGGCACTTACCGCCTTACAGTGTGCCTGAGCCACGCTCCTCTCCTGGGAGTGACGCAGTGGCTCGGGGCCCCACGCTGCCTGAAACGGCAACACGGGGCTTGTGCCCACCAGGTGGACTCCATGGGCAGCTCGCCGGCCATGCCCCTGGGCGGATCACCATGCTGCGCCCCCCCCAGGTGGATCACCGTGCCACCCCCATGGGTGGCTTGCCACGGTGACCCCTGTGGGCAGCTTGCCCCACCTCCGTGAGCGACTCTCTCCACCCCCGTGGGTGGCTTGCCCCACTCCACCGCTGGGTGCCGGGGCAGCTAGCTATGCCCCTGCCAATCTGGCTTATAGAATCATAGAATGATATAGCTGGAAGGGTTCCTGAGGATCATCTAGTCCAGCCCCCTGCAATGCAGGAATATGCAGCTGACCCTTATGGGGATCGAACCTGTGACCTTGGTATTATCAGCATCATGCTCTAATCAACTTTATAATGACTTTCTTTTTGTTACATAGCACACCTAAAATGAATCTCTACTTATTTTAATGTAAGGAATGCCTATTTCTCTTGGCCACCTACCAAGAAACCTGTGTGTTTCTTCTAAGGATGGAAACAGATCTGAGTAACATCTGTATTTCCAGAGATGGGGAATCAGCCATTATATTTTTCTTTGTGCCAGGAGGCTTTAGTACAATCTGAATTCAGGATAGCAACCCTTAAAAAGTCTCATTTGGATGTCTGCTAACGCCTCCCCCACTCAGCCTTAAAATTCTTACCAGATGCAGACACAGGTGGCTTGGTCAGTAGCGAGACAGGAAGTAAAGTATAACTGCCTATATATTTCTCCCCTAATTGGACCTATATGCATATTTGATAGCTGAAGCTGCACACTAAACTGGCAACAGAGCTAATCCAATACTTTCCCCTACAATATGGATACAGATTATGTTTATCCTCGGAATATTGACATTCCAGTTACAAGGATTATCTCACTATGGATGTTAAAAGAGCAGACAACATATTTAACACAAATATGTTACAAAATGAAATCAATACCCAATGAAAGTTTAAAAGAAAATCCATTGAAACAATCTGCCACAGTAAACAGTACAACACAAATATAAGAATTGCATATGTAAGCAGGATTCTTTCTGTCTAGTTTAAGTTAATATTTCACCTGTGATTAGACCAAGAGGAAGTTGCAGGAAATTCTCCAATAGCTTGTTTTGGTTTAACCAGAAGCACAACCATTTTCTTCTGCTCATTAGTCAAGAGATTGGAAGAAAGCATGAAAGTTTATTTAATGAGTGCATTGCTTAATCCTGACTAATCTAATTGGTGACATTCTGAATGTGGATGATGTAAAATGGATCGTACAATAACTGACACCTTTAAATATTCCGGTTTACCTTCCCCAAAGAAAATTCCATGTACCATTCAAAAATTACAAAATGAGACTCCTGCCTTAAACTTCCTGAAAATATCCTTATGCCGAGGCTATCCACAGTTCGTGTCATTCTGTTTCTCTTATAGCAAAACTCTGATATTATTTGTCCTAAAGCATTGACTCTGTCCCTCTTTGTGCATGGGTCAATTCCTCTGGTTGTGTACATGCCGTTTTCTCATTTAACTCACTTGGTGAATTATTTAGCTATTGAAACTGCTGTGTATTAAGTGACTTAACAAATAAAATAAAATAAAATAAAATATTGGGCTATGGGATCTGAGGGAGCCAACTTCACAATTCAGTAAATCAAGAATTTAAAAATAAATGAAATAAACTGGATTGCCTTGGCAGATATATTTTCTGTGGACCAACAGATTTGTTCTATAACTGGCTGATCCCTGTGAGCAGTTGTTTGTCATCATCAGATTTAGGAGCTGTTATCTCTTGCTTTATTTTATATATAAATTTCTACAGATTTAGAAGCTGTTATCTCTCGCATCAGTTGAAGACTGTTGTGTAACCTCTGGCTCTGAGAGTCCTGGAAGAGGGTATAGCTAATTTCTGAAAGGAATGAGGATTGTCCAAGTCTTATCAAACAGCAGCAGGACTCATTTGGTTTAACCGTGCTGGAAGTTAGTTTTTCAGGCACTGATCTTGACAAGTCAGCTGTCAAAAACGGGTGTCTGTATCCATAAATTCATCGATCCTACAGAATGCATTCCTGCCTCCTAGAACAAGTGCAACTCAGAATCGACACATTTGTGAACAAATGGGATGGTTAGGGGCCTAGAGATTCAGAGGAGGGGGGAGCCTTTTTGGTAAAAGGCTTTCTTCATGTCCTGTTATTAACCTTATCTGCATCGTTATTATTTTTGAATGCAGTGTAGAATTTTACCCTTGCACACAAAAAAGATTTTTATGTGCTGGCTGGTATGAAATAAAAGGAAACTATAAGCATGCCTTAGAGAAATTCTCCTCCTCTTTGGACTGTTTAATATGCAAGAAGCAAATTGTAGCTCTTTTTCTTTTTTTGAGTCAAACATAATAGAAAATCTTACTTATGCTGGCTGATTTCCAGAATTCCCTAGCCTTGGTGCTGAATTTATTTAGATTTCTTCAAAGGTAACAAATACTTAGCCTTAAAGAGAAAGGTCCCAAGCCATCCAAAGTCAGGAATGACTACCTTTTTATTGATTTCAATGAGGTTTAGTCATTATTAAATTTAATAAGATCAAAGGATTTTGTGTGTTAGATGACTCCTGGCCGCAATACCTCAAGGACCGCCTCTCCCCTTATGAACCGACCCTGCACTGTTTGACCGAACTGACCCTCCCACTGGTTAGATTTGTATTCATACAATCATAGAATTGTAGAGTTGGAAAGGGACCCCAAGGGTCTTCTAGTCCAGCCCCTTGCAATGCAGGAATCATATATAAAGCATCCATGACAGATGGCCATCCAGCTTTGCCTAAAAGCCTCTAGGCAAGAGAGCCCACCACCTTCCTAGAGAGTCCCTTCTATTGTGAAAAAGCTCTTTCTGTCAGTAAGTCCTTTCTTATGTTTAGCTGAAATCTCCTTTCCTGTAGCTTGAATTTATATCATTTGATCATACTCTGTCAAAGCATTCCTGCAATAATTCTTGCACACAATAGATTCTTAATATTCCTCTTTTAAAAAATAAATTTACATCCTATATTTCAGAAAATGTCTCACAACGTGGCAAACGATAATATGTAAACCATTCCAATAAAACACAGAAAATCATTTAAAAAAATACTCAGAGGTAAAAACAAGGAATCAACAACTGACGAAACTAGCAGCCAGCCCTAGATTACTAAAATCTAGCCGAGCTCATCAGTATAAAAGAGAATCAACAGTTGTCAGTAATGTGAAGATTGCTTCTAAATTTTATGGATACGTTCTGCACTGGAAAAAGAAAGGGTGGCTAGCTCTGTCTCTGTGGCTTCTAAATACCAAATAATGGAAAACGCAGGAGCTGAGAATGCTCCTGTGCTTAGATCCTGCTTGCTGGCTTTCCACAGGCAACTTATTGGCCACTGTCCGAACAGGATGCTGGACTCAATTGGCCTATTCCAGCAGACTCTTCTTAAAGTTCCAAGATGTTAATCAGGGAGGTTCAAGGGAAGAAAATGTGTTGAGAAATAGGGCTTTGTATTCCCTGATAACACATTTCTAGTTGTTGGGGTCTTGGCTGACCATAATTGGGCTCTTCCCCCCCCCCAATCATTAGATCACAATGGTCAATCCATCTCCTTTAAATAGGCAGGGTCATCATTAGGTCACAATGGCCAGTCCTTCTCCTTCAAGTAGGCCTCATCATCATTAGCTCACAATGCACAACTTGTCTCCTTCAGGTAGACAGTGTCATCATTAATGATCATCAGTAGGTAACAGTGGCCAGCTTTGTTCTAAGAAGGCAGCATCAACAATCAGGCACATTAGTCTCTCTCTGCCTCACTGAAGCTGGCAAAAGCACAATGACCCCTCATTTCTCTCTGAGGCAGTCAGAGGTCTTTGGGAAACAGCAGCTCTTACTTTCTTCTGTACTCCACCACATTAGTATTTCATGTCTAAAACTAAGGAAGAGTCACAGGTAAGGCTGTTCCTGTTATGTTTTCAGCACCTATTGAAGACCTTCCAGGAGTCTTTTTAAGTGGAGATTTTTATCCCATGCTGTATCTGTATGGGATTTGAAATTATTTTTACAGTGGTGCCTTGCAAGACAAAATTAATCCGTTCCGCAAGTCTCTTCGTCTTGCGAAGCACGGCTATTAGCGGCTTAGCGGCTATTAGCGGCTTAGCGGCTATTAACGGCTTAGCGGCTTTAAGAAAAAGGAAACAAACTCGCAAGAACTCGCAAGACGTTTCGTCTTGCGAAGCAAGCCCATAGGGAAATTCGTCTTGTGGAACGACTAAAAAAACGCAAAACCCTTTCGTCTAGCGAGTTTTTCGTCTTGCGAGGCATTTGTCTTGCGGGGCACCACTGTACCTATGAAAGTGCTTTTCATCGTTATAACTCTTTTTGTACATGAAATTGCGTAATTCTTGTTATCACTGACGTGGGAAGCAATTTGGTATTGGAATTAAATATATACATTAGAGAGAGAGAGAGAGAGAGAGAGAGAGAGAGAGAAATTGCCACCACAGGCACATAACGTCAGTGGCTGGTGCAGAGAGAGTTGAAAGAATGTACACAGGAGACTGGTATTGGGCTGAATTAGGCCATAACTTTATTGATTACAGGAAAGAGTAGATTTGGCTAAGGCTAAGGCTCGCCTGCTACCTAATAGGAACCCAGTGAAGTTGACTCTGTACTGGGAGCCACCCCTGACATGGATTGGGTGTAATGACCCTGCATAGGCCGCCATTGGGAGAGGTATATTGGCCCATTGGTCCCTCTGTGGAATCCCAGAAAGATTCACTCCTCCTGAACCCCTCTAATGGGGTACCCCCACAACTAAGGATCCAGCCCAATGCCTTATCTGCTATGAGGTAGGCAAAAACCTTCAAGCTGGCCAATTTGCTTGCAGGGAAAAAATCCTCACTGGTCCCAGATACCAAGTAAACCATAGTAAGGTGGACATGCCAAATTGCCAGCTCCCCACTAGGTGGACCTTTAATAGTCTGGGTGGGTGGGTGGAAAATCCTGCAACAGTCAGCAGACAGGGAGAGCTGCACTTGGCTGCTCTCTTAAATATGTCCCTACTTTGATTGGCCTAGCGGCCAAGGAATGGAAGGTCCAGCGCAGTCAAAGGTGGGTGGCACCAGGTGGCCAACATCACACAAGATGACGATGGCCTCCCTGGACCATCCACAGATGTGCCATATTGTCAAAATGAGTGGAGTTGGGATGTGGTGTGATTTGGGAAACAAATGTTGGAATGAACAATCTGCCAGGCACTTTGCGCCCAGAATCAGTGGCAGACAGGATCTCAAAGCAATCTTCCCTTATATTAATAGCTTTCACCGTGTCCTCTTCTCAGCGCCCCTGAATATGATTGCCAAGTTGTGGCACCCTTGAACAAAACCCAGTGGCAGGGTTTTGTCACGAAGTGTCACAGTGCTGCCTGATGTGTTTGCAATGCCAACTGGCCAGCAGGGACATCAGGCATCAGGGTTCTTGTTTTTCCTATCCCCTCTGGCTTCAATTGCTATGTTGTTTTGTGTCCCAGCTTTACAGCAGCCAGTGTGAGACAATGCGGATGCTGAGGTTTGTTTGCTTTGTTTTTATTTTAGTGAGTGTGCTGGAAAGGAAATTGACTGATTTTACAGAAACTACATGCATACCCCTAATGACTGCTACAGAATGCAGTTTTAAGTTTTGTAAGTCATAAGTGCTTAAGGGTGATCACGGCTGGCCCAGGACGTTTTTCTGCTAGAGGCAAAACACAAAATGCCACTCCCGCCTCTGCTACATGCCTGCATGCCAAATAACACCCACTGTACATCTTTTTGGCATGCGCCCACTGCTGCATGCACACACAAACTGCCGCCTAGGCACATGGTGGAGAAGGTGGTGGTGGCAAGTGGCATGGAGACTGGATCTGCTGTCCCACCAAGCTTTCTGGAGCCTGCTGCCCTGTGGCGACTGCCTCACCTTGCCTCATGTGTGGGCCAGCCCTGAAGGTGATCATAGGATCCAGAATTTGTGTACTGTTAAAAATGAAGAAAAAAAGTTACTTCCAGACTTTGGTAATAAGCTTATATTTATAGCCAAGATCACAGAACAGTGCCTCTCCTCTCATCACATTAAGACAAGGATCTGACCAAGTCTGTGGCTTTTTCTCAAAGTGGGAGGGGTTTCCGCCTTTGTTATCTTTGAAACATGTGTGCCATTTACTGCGGCAGGCCATTAGGTTTGATGGACTTTTCTTTATGATGTTGTTCTGTGCGACTATAGTTTTAAGTTTTGCAATTATTCAGCTTGCTTAATTTATCAGGTTGGTACAATGTTCCACGTGGTTCATATCCCTAACGGCGCTTTTGCTACCACTGTGCCATGGCACTTCGACAGCTATTACCACCCAATGCCTTTAGCTTTTCAGAGGGCTCAACCCATCCCAATACTCTGCTCAGGGAGGCCGCACCTTGCCGCCACCCTGCTCAAGAAGTCGATGAGCCTCTCTCTGGTTCCTCTCCTCCGATGATGTCCCTCAATGCTCTGGGGCTGACTGCGCGGCCGGCGGCAGCTCCGGCCCCTCTTTTGTTCTTCATGAGCAGACCGGAGTGAAGCCTGCTCCAACTCAGTCTGCTCCAGTTGCTCTGCCCCCCAGGCCACTACACATAGATCAAAATTTGAATCTGGGTTTGGTGGGAACCCAGAAGGCCCCACCATGGCCAGGGGAACGGAGCAATGGTTGGCAAAACGGTGTGGCTGCAGGAGGATGGGGAAGCCACGCACCGGGCCACAAATGTCGCCCATTGCTGAACTGGGTGAACTGCCATTAATGTCTTAGCATGCATGATTAAACAGAGTATGCATTACAGTCCAGATTTGTGGTGTCAGATACCTGTTTCAGATGCTTCAAACCAACACTGATTCAAGTAGAACCAGAAATGCAAAAATGCCCTGAGATGAATGTGCATAATTATGGGAACAGAACTCCTAGGCAACCATTTTGATAAAGAGACAAACAATTTGCTATAGACTAAAGATGTACAAAAATGCTCTATAGGAACGAATGTTTTGAAATAATACAGGCGGCCAATGTTCTTGTGCAACCCATTTAAAGCTCTGTAATTATGATCATAAAATTGTTTGGATAATAGAACATTTCGTTCTTCTGCTCTCTCAGCCTTTTCTGTGCTTTCACACATCTTTCTCGTCGAACTCCTCTTTGATGCAAAGATTACAAATGTATTATTTCCTCTTCATATTTGTTGTGTTATTTCCATTTGCAGTTGGCAACATGGGACTCTGAGAAGGGGCTGAACGGCAGTCTGCAGGAACGGCGCTTGGGCAGTGACTTGCAAGGATTAACACTGAAAGTGGTGACTGTCTTGGTATGACCATATTTGAGTTGAGGAAGCAAAATGCTCAAAAATGTTACTTGCTAGTCTCTCTCTCTCTCTCTCTCTCTCTCTCTCTCTCTCTCTCCTTCCTTCCTTCCTTAACCCATCGTTTATCCCCCCCCCACACACACTTTAAAGGTTTTGTTCAGTTCTCTTGTCACCTGCAGCACATGAATGCTGCATTATGCATGGTATTGCCTAATCAGGAAAACAACCATGAGAATTTCCATTTTTGCAGATTCTCCACTGCAAGGGCCATGTAGAATGTTATGTCAAGGTATCAAAATGTTACTTATGTGTTGCCTTTTTATACCGCCTTTCTGCCAAGGCACCTAAGGTGATTTGCAATTTTAAATACTTTTAAAAAAAGGTGCATAGAATAAAGAACAGGCCATTGACAATCAATTCATGAACACAGGAAACAGTCGGAACACTGATCCATCTAGCTCATAATTCTTTGTGGTCTCCCATATTCCATTGCAGTACAGTATGATACTTATGTAACACTTAGAGCTAATAAATATATACTAGTAGGGGGTGCCCCCCTGCTCACTTTGCTAGTTATGCTTGCTCTCCCTGCCTCAATTTTACATTGCCCAGGATTTCCCTCTCTTTGTTTAAGATGGGAGAACTGGAGATTCAAAACTCCCTCTCCTCTTAGCCCAACTCCACATCACAAAACCTTTCCATTCCACCCCAGGTTTATCTCTAGCTGTCCACCCGTGGGAGGGGGGACTATATCTGTCCTCTACCTCCTTTGTCATGTAGGGCAGAGTAGGAGTTGAGATTCCTGTTAACTCTCAAGTGCCTCCCCACACAACTCTCCCATGTTTACCTCAAGTTACCTCCCCCTTTTTTGCGCTTGTGTGGGTAAACCCCTACCGCCACACCTTCTAGGCTGGGGTCAAACCAATCTCCCTCCCCACACTCTAAACTCCCTCAGCAGACCCAAATCCTTATCTCCCGCACCCAAGTTCCCACTCTTAATTTAAAGCAGGGGTAGGCCTCTTCATTCTTTTCAGTAAGCGCTTTCATACCAGGCAGTATGTTTGGGGAGTGGATGAAATAACGTGGACACGAGGAAGTTGCTTGAACAAACTTACCCCAGCATTACCCTCCATTTGGCTTCTCCTGCTTTTTCTTTTGCTTTGGGAGTCCAAGGTGGGATGGTCAACATTCCTTCACCTGGTAACTTAGCAACAGTGCTTAAGCTTCCTTAGCAAAGCTGCTGCCTGCCAAAGGTGCTGCCTGCCATCTTAGAGTTGTCTCCATGCTTTGTTTTATAACTTCCTTTAGAAATGTCCATTGACAATGATAATGAGGTTTTTTTAGAGGTGTGGGATTCCACGCACACACTAAAATGTTGCAGGGTGCTTTCTGACTTATGGCTCAGATTTTGAACTAAATAAACTAAAAAGAGAAAGGCTGATTTCCTAACCTACTGCAGCTCCGGAAAAAGAAAAACCTACAGTGTACTTGCAAAAACAGCACCTAGCTTAGAAGTTATTTGCTGCGTTGAACATTGTGACCTCAATATGTTATTTTCTTTCTGTATCAAAAGTGTATGGGCATGCCAGTTGCTTGTTTGTGATGTCAAATCCAAGTTGAAAAGAGACTCTAGTCTGCAATATGATGTATGCAAGCCCCCTCCACCTCGCAGCTTCAATTCTTTTGCCCCCCCCTTTTGCTTTTGCTATTCTCTAAGATCACAGTGCATTAAAGCAACTTAGAGTGCTTCAGTGAGATCTTTAGGACACCCCCTCCCCCTGCAATCTGTTATTCACTTTCTCCCCTCCAGCTGTTAAGGGTCATGATCAGATCTCCTGTCTGTCCAGGAGGTGAGCTGTTCTACCCCCGAGAAGATGTCAGCAGCACTTTGCATAGATAGCCAAGAGCAACAGCAGTAAAATCAGTTGGGCTGGCATCCCCCTGGCAAGTGAGCGTGTAGTCTATGTCATATTGAAACCATCACCCTACAGGATCCCCTGTCCTCTTGTGGTTTCCAAAGTGCAGTTCATTAACTCTCAAAGTACCTCGGGGGGCCAGCCACTCTAAGATTTATTTTGGGGTTGGTTTAAAATTATGAATAATGTAAGAACGAGTAACAGATTTCTCACTTTTATCCTGGAAGTCTCTCCCCGCCCCCGCCCCCCTTGGAAAGTCAATCCAATAAATGTGAAGCTAAAGTGCTGGAGGCTTGGCAACATCACCATTCTGGGTGCCATTGATACCGTGAGCTGGACTATCTTTGATTAATCATCTTTAAATTTCCATTTAAGCATCAGCTTAAACCTTGCTTTGTTCTCAGGAAGAACCTTTTGTTATGGTGGCTGAGAATATACTTGGACAGCCCAAGCGCTATAAAGGCTTCTCCATTGACGTCCTGGATGCACTTTCGAAGAATCTGGGCTTCAAGTATGAGATCTATCAATCTCCAGATGGCAGATACGGGCAACAGCTCCATAACAGCTCGTGGAATGGCATGATTGGAGAACTAATTAACAAGGTATATAGGGCAGAAAGACTATATATTCTATGAACTGCCTTGAGACCGCCGGGTATAGGGCCGTATATAAATTCAACTAATAATAATACAGTCATACCTCATGTTACGTTTACTTCATGATACGTTTGCTTCATGATTACTTCCGGGTTTCGCCACTTGTGCATACTCAGACGCGCAAAATGACGTCACGAGCATGCGCAGAAACAGTGAATCACAATCTGCGCGTGTGCAGACGCACTGCTGCGGGTTGCGTTCTATTCATGTTGCGAATGGCCTCTGGAACGGATCCCATTCACAACCAGAGGTACCAGTGTAATAATAATAATAATAATAATTGTAGAACGAACTCAACAAGGCAATCCTATACCTGCCTAATCCATTATACCTGCTTAATGAGACTTACTCCCAGGTAAATGGGTATAGGATTTGACCTAAATTGAGGATATGTAACATGTCAACTAGAGGGACGCGGGTGGCGCTGTTGTTAAAACCTCAGTGCCTAGGACTTGCCGATCGCATGGTCGGCGGTTCAAATCCCCGCGGCGGGGTGCGCTCCCGTCGTTCGGTCCCAGCGCCTGCCAACCTAGCAGTTCGAAAGCACCCCCGGGTGCAAGTAGATAAATAGGGACCGCTTACCAGCGGGAAGGTAAACAGCGTTCCTTGGGCTGCGTTGGCTCGCCAGATGCAGCTTGTCACGCTGGCCACGTGACCCGGAAGTGTCTGCGGACAGCGCTGGCTCCTGGCCTATAGAGTGAGATGAGCGCACAACCCTAGAGTCTGTCAAGACTGGCCCGTACGGGCAGGGGTACCTTTACCTTTACCTAACATGTCAACTATATGGAGCCACTTTGCCGGCCTCAAAATATTGCCACTGTAATAATTACTGCAATTAAAGACTAATATTTGGAATATTGCCTTTCTAACATCAAAATGTAGATACTTGGGATGTGCCAGAAATCCTTGGAAGATTTCATTAGCCTTATTGAAACAATATTGGCTTATTTTGAATATCTCAGATATTTTACCTAACGAGAAACTTCCTATCTGTTTCAATTTAGCCTGTAAGTGAAATCCTAGGAATCTCTCCCTGTGAAAATTTGCTAGATTTGTCAACACACTTTTTTGGGTTTCCTCTTGAAATTCTGCAAATGTTTCACCTGAGGAGGAACTTGGAATTGCACTTGAATTTTCGTTTATAGGAGAAATCCAGTGGCCACTCTAAAACAGATAACTTTGTGAAATGGCTAAAGGATGGAACTTACAAATAGGGGTGTACATTATATGCACACAACAGCAGACTACGAATTCCCCTTACATGCTTTATGGCATCCTTTCTGCTATCGCTTTCTTACTAAAAGCCACTCCACCTTGATTTCCAAGTGGGCTAGATGCATGCTTTTTATAGTAATGCTATTTTATAATGAACAGTTGAGTGGTTTCCCAAAGAGCAAGTTATAGTTTTGCCTTAAAGAGAGAGAGAGAGACTTTTAAAATGTAGAAAATGGAAAACACATCTCAAAGTGATTGAGTCGCAACTGATTTGGGGGCACTTGTGTTCACTTGGATTAAGTGAATGCTGCTTAAAGCAAAGCGGAACAGATTTCACCATTTAATCCTTAGGAGCACAGATGCTGGAATATATTTTGTAGGAAACATCACTTCATTTCTGACTGAGGTTGAACATTGTCATAGCGATAGAATGAAATCTTAGGCATTTATATTCAATGGTGTGGCCTTTTCCAAATACCTTTGCTCTATTGCGTTATACTGTATTGCTTGTCACCTAGTATTTCTGCTCAGAGAAAGTTTAAGATGCAAATGAAAGCAAAACATAACATCAAAAAACTGTTATGGCTATAATGCTGTAGAGGAATATCCTTAACCTTATCACTATTTCAAAGCATCTCGGTAGTGGCACCCGCCCTGTGGAACGCCCTCCCATCAGATGTCAAGGAAATAAACAACTATCCGAGACATCTGAAGGCAGCCCTGTTTAGGGAAGTTTTTAATGTTTGAAGTTTTTAATGTTCTGTTGAAAGCCACCCAGAGTGGCTGGGAAAACCCAGCCAGATGGGCGGAGTAGAAATAAATTATTATTATTATTATTATTATTATTATTATTATTATTATTATCCTGGATGTTCATGTCACCTTCTTTGTTTGTTGCTTTGAAATAACACACTCAGTCCTCAGAAAATCAGTCTGCTTTGGGAGCGTTTCAGGATAGGCTGCTTTGCGCATGTGAAAAAAGCTACACATGAGCAGGGCTGAGCATGCAAAGCTCCACCTCCAAGTTGTAGAGCAGCCTTTCTCAACCCTCAACAAGAGTTTCCCAAACTTGGGCCTCCTGCTGTTTTTGGACCACAGTTCTCATAATCCCTGACCACTGATCCTGCTAGCTAGGGATGTTGGGAGTTGTAGTCCAACAACATCCGGGAACCCAAGATTGAGAAAGGCTGTTGTATAGGGAGAAGCTGTGTAGTGGAAGGCCTCGGAGAAGCACCCTGCTTTAGTCCATCACCTTCCACAAATGGAAGTGGGAGCGGGTATAGAGCTCCTATGCAAATCCCACACACAGGCAGAATGCCTGGGCAGGACTATGGGGCTCCTCTTTTGATCTGTCCATTTCCTGCTAAGTCTTAAAGGGACACCATCAGCATGTTATTCTTCACAGCAAAATCGTTTTAGGAATGCAAACTTCTCCACCTTGTTTCCAATTGTTCATTTCTATTCATCATTGCAGCACAATTCATGCATTGATGTAGGGTACAGTGCGTACAAAAACAAGTTAGCACATAAGATGAATAGTTCGTACAGTGAGTTGTATGCAGTAATAAGCAATCACCAGCACCCTATGCTTTCTTCTTCATGATGGTTCAGTGAAATGTTTTGCACATCTAGAGTGGTTTTGGAATTGTATTTTTCAAAGAGCAGCCCCACATATGCCGCAGATGGGAAGGTATTTGTGGACAAGGTGGAGACTTTCCAAAGGAGCTTTGTTATGACATAGGCTGACCTACCGTTTCACTTGAAGCAGTCAATAGTCGCAGTTCCACTCAGCACATCCAAGCCTTTTGAATCCCAGACCTTGGGTACTGAAATTTATTTGAATGGATAAGGGTCCTGCAATTATAGTTCATTTGCATACACAACAAAATCATGTTGTGCATTCTCTCCCCCCCCTCCCCCCGGACTTTACCATTTAGTCTGAATGTTCTTCACAACGCCCTCTCCCCTACACAGAAAAGTAGCATGCAAGAGAGAAAGGCTCCCAGTGGTATTCTAGTTTTCTATGGGTAGAAAATCTGTTTCTTTCTTTCTTTGTTTTATAATGGTAGAACATTGAAACCTTCACCTGCATCCTAAGAAAGAAACAGGAGAATTTCCACCCAAAGTTAACTAACTCGCTGCCCTCATGCTAAGCAGGGCATCACATCTTTCCCCCACCAGAATCTGTGTCCACACCAGTGATAATGTCCCCAGCCCTTCTTCATTCTGAAGGACTTAAAATATACAGAGGCCAGCGCCAGTCCAATATGTTTTGTTGCCTGAAGCGGAGCTCAGATGGCATCCCCTCCTTGCTTTAAAAAGCCTTACGGCACCATTTAGACACCAGTTCATCTATTCCCAGCTCTGTGGTGCTTCCTGACACCAGTCAGGCATGCAGCATGGCAGGGCTAAATATGCAATTTTTTTTCCTTTTTACAAATAGCCAGAGTGGATTGCTGCATCTAGTCCTGGTCTTTGGTGGAGTGGGGCTTGTTTTCCCCCCTCTCCGCCATAACTTTTTCGGAGCAGAACCTAGCAGTTTTTCTCCCTCCTTCCCACCTTTCCTTTGCTGATGAATGGCAAACAGTTCCGCTGGACCAGGAAAGGCTCTGACCATTGTTTCTGTTCCCTTTGCAGAGAGCTGACTTGGCCATCTCCGCCATCACTATCACACCAGAACGGGAGAGTGTTGTAGACTTCAGCAAGCGCTATATGGATTATTCTGTAGGAATCCTGATCAAGAAACCAGAAGAGAAGATCAACATCTTTTCTCTCTTTGCCCCCTTTGATTTTGCGGTGTGGGCTTGCATCGCTGCGGCCATCCCTGTTGTTGGCGTCCTGATATTTGTGCTGAACCGAATCCAAGCAGTAAGAGCCCAGAACTCTTCTCAGTCCACTGCCTCCGCTTCCTCCACACTTCACAGTGCCATTTGGATTGTGTACGGGGCCTTTGTTCAGCAAGGTACTTGGTCAAGTATTTTTCTGTCTGACAAAAAACCCACAGTACTGATGGCTATTCACTACTTTTCAGTCTCAGCACAAAAGGGTAGGCCGTGGACTAACCTTTCGCAAATAACTGCTTGAAGGGTACATTACAGAACTTGTTCTGCTACTGACAATACGCTTTGAGTTGACATAGCGTGATTTCACAGTGCACAAAACATGTATATTTCTGTACTCCGAGCTGCTTGTTAAAGTCTCATTTTCAGTTGTTATTTTATTTCTCCCTCACACTTTAAAAGTAGTATTCTAGGGCAGTGATACACAAAACACTATGTTGGTCTTTTAAGCTGACCCCAAATAATCCGTTTGTGCCAAATTATATACTTGTGAGTGAACAAGACATGATTTTATTATTCTTTATTAAATTTCTATACCGCCCTTTGCAGGGTGGTTTACAGTATACCCCCACATATAAATTATTCTACTTTTGAAAACACCCATATACATATGTTTTGTTTGTTATTTTAGGACATTAGGAGGGTAGTATTTTATGGCTTATGTAAATGTGCTGAAGTTTCCCCCCACTATATATATTTATATTTATAGCAAATTGTTGTAGTATTTATGCTTTGTGGCTATAAAAAAAAGCCTTAAGTGCCATTAGTCTTAAGTGCAGGGTGAACTTTTTGAAAAGTGACTGGAGTAAAAATTACTCACTGCGGTCAAGAGCTGCTAACTGTAGCTCCAGTTGATGTGCATTGCCCTATAAAAGCTAGCTGAGCCTCTGAAATAAATTTTCTGATACAAGGTCTGTCTCAAACGCACAAGCTACCTTGCCTCTTTGAGCCAAGCTACTGGAGCAGAAGAATCCCCAACAGCGCTCACATATGTTATGCATATACAACCCAGGTTTCCTAAAGTAACCAGCACATAAACAGATACATACAGAAATGCGTGTACCTCTGAAATAACATGTACGTCTTAATACAGTTACATAATTATGCTGCAAAAATGTAGATGACTATGAATGAGCTGCTGAGGTATTAGAGGGCACTCAGTAAAATAGGCAGTCCGATGTAAACAAGACGCGGTCAGAGTGAAACTGCCAGATTCGGCGTATAAATCTGTTTAATTCTTCCTCCATCCCTGTTTTGAACATGCGGAAAATTCTCACCACATTATTTTGTTGTTCTCATAGCTAAGCTCTGTATGTAACTCTGACATGAGAGCCAGTGTGGTGTAGTGGTTAAGAGCGGTAGTCTTGTAATCTGGGGAACCGGGTTCGCGTCTCTGCTCCTCCACATGCAGCTGCTGGGTGACCTTGGGCCAGTCACACTTCTTTGAAGTCTCTCAGCCCCACTCACCTCACAGAGTGTTTGTTGTGGGGGAGGAAGGGAAAGGAGAATGTTAGCCGCTTTGAGACTCCTTAAAGGGAGTGAAAGGCGGGATATCAAATCCAAACTCTCTTCTTCTTAGTGACTGAAAGAACAGAGGTTAAAGGGCAAGAGGAATTTTCCATGGAGTGCAGGGTCCACTGTGGCATTCAACACTAAAAGGACGTCCCTCCCTAACTGCTGCACTCTTTTTGCAGTGTCCGTATTATACCTATTTTCAGCCTGTGCTCCTACTGGGAGGAGAGTTGCGTAGTTCAATGCATGCTGTAGCCAGCAGCATCTCATCATACAGTGAAGCAGACTCCTAAGAATGTAAACGCTCCGTCACTGGATCGGATCAAATTGCATTTAGCCCAAATAGACGCCTCTAGAAATGCAAAAAGTCGGGCAATAAATAAAGACAACAATGGTCCTACCCTGCCTAGGGTCTGGTAAAAAATAATGTGAAGAGTAGATTAGAGCTTGTTCCATTATTCCTTAACCTTCCACAAGTTAATAGGAATGATCCAGCTACATATAAACATCTTCTGGCCCTTTAATTTCAAAGTTAGAGATAAGCTAATCTGTAACCAAAACAAATAGAATTGTAGAGACCTTCTTCTTCTTTTCTAGATTATTCCCGAATGTGCTCTTTTGTCAACTGACTTCATTTGAAGTCTTGCATTTCAAGCTGAATTTTGTTGATTACCGCATGGAAGTAATCCCCCCCCTTAATTACAAGGATACATCTTGCAAGGTTGTTAGAAAAGAAATTGGGAGAGGAGCAAGATGCAAAACTTTTAATGGGAAACTTTGCCCACTAAATGTGGTCTCATTGAGATAGTTGTCTCACAAGCTTCAGTAATATAAGAAAAGAAGCACTTTAAATTAAGCAACCAACAACAGGTGTAATCAAAGATCGACTGATAGTGAATGTGCCTTTGAATTAAAGGAGAAGCACAATTGTGTAGGAATCATATATCCCCATAAATGATTTAAAAACAGATCAAGAAATGATATAACTAGCGCCATAGTCTCTTGCACATAATTTGTTTTATCTTAATAAATAACTAAAGTCACCATCTTTGCTTGGGGTGCTTAGTTTTGGTCAGGTTTGTATAGTTTTCTATAGTACAGTATGGGGATTTACAGCTTTTTGCTTCCTATACCATTACACTTTCCTTTCTAACTGGGGGATATGAATGCAGTAAATAAATAAACAAATGTGATGTTTCACTCACCCTAAATATGGTTTCGCATGACCCGTTTGTGCCATTACATGGTGATTTTTGACAACGCACTGAGGAAACAAGTCTGTGGCAAATGTTTTTCTTTGGGTTGTGCCCAATAGAGTTGCCATCAAGATCTGAAGTGAATTTAGCTTCTTAACAAGCAAAATCTTTCTGAATTTTAGGAGAAGCCAAAAGAGTTTCACTAAAACTGTGGACGCTTTTCAGTGAGTTCTAGCTTTTAGTGGATTACTTCTAAAATGGAATGAAAAGCACAAATGGATTCCTGAGGGATTTTGAGGAAATCACAATGTTGACAGGACCAGGGAAACTTCTCAGAAGGGTTCTGAACATTCCCAGGTCAAATATGTATTTGTCTCAGTATGTCCAAATTTTGATGAAGAACATGTTTATAATAGTAAAATGCCCATGAGGCACGTGCAGGTCCAGTGTCTAATTTTAGACATGTTACAAGGAGTGCTATAAACCAAGAAGAAGCAATAAAAATATGTCATTAATGTTTTGATGTTTTCGGATATGTTTCAGTAAACCACTTGGGAATTTCAGAGCCAATTTACACATTCCTTTAACTCACCTAGCAAGAGGTGGTGGGGCAAATGACAAATAGGTTCTCTCATGGTTAAATATTCCTCTATAGTTGAATATTCCTCCCTGCCCTTAAAGACTAGTTATCTCAGGGATTGGGATGCAGACTATTAAACTCCCTAACACGCACATTTTTGTCATGGAGTGTGGCTTCCACCCACCATGGCCGTGTATTCAAATATACAACCTTCAACCTGTAGTGTAAAACTTGATCTACACATGCAGACAGATCACATGGTACAGAGTTCGCAGAACTGTAGCATTTTGTCTTTTAATCCCCACAATTGTGTAAATATGTGTTTCTTTTTGTGTGTGTGTACATCCAGCTTTTTATGATGATGTTCATTAAAATACAAAAGTTGTGGGCTTAGAATGCTAACAGATAACTACAAGACAGGAGTTATAGACCGGCATTAGCCTTTGTAAATTAGTTCCCAAGAGCTCACTCATTTTCTTATATTTCAGGTGGTGAATCTGCAGTCAATTCCATGGCGATGCGGATTGTGATGGGTAGCTGGTGGCTCTTCACTCTTATTGTGTGTTCATCCTACACAGCGAACCTAGCGGCGTTTCTCACTGTGAACAGAATGGACAATCCTATCAGGTAAGAGCTTTTCCCTACCACATAGCCGAGAAACCTGAACATTTAAATAATAATAATAATAATAATAATAATAATAATAATAATAATAATTTATTATTTATACCCTGCCCATCTAGCTGGGTTTCCCCAGCCACTCTGGGTGGCTTCCAACAAAATATTAAAATACAATAGTCCATCAAACATTAAAAGATTCCCTAAACAGGGCTGCCTTCAGATGTCTCCTAAAAGTCTGGTAGTTGTTTATTTCCTTGACATCTGATGGGAGGGCATTCCACAGGGTGGGCGCCACTACCGAGAAGGCCCTCTGCCTGGTTCCCTGTAACTTCACTTCTTGCAGGGAGGGAACCGCCAGAAGGCCCTCGGCACTGGACCTCAGTGTCCAAGCAAAACGATGGGGTGGAGACGCTCCTTTAGGTAAACTGGACTGAGGCCGTTTAGGGCTTTAAAGGTCAGCACCAACACTCTGAAATGTGCTCGGAAACATACTGGGAGCCAATGTAGGTTTTTCAAGACCGGTGTTATGTCGTCTCGCCAGCCGCTCCCAGTCACCAATCTAGCAGCCGCATTCTGGATTAGTTGTAGTTTCCAGGTCACCTTCAAAGGTAGCCCCATGTAGAGCGCATTGCAGTAGTCCAAGTGGGAGATAACCAGAGCATGCACCACTCTGGTGAGACAGTCCGCAGGCAGGTAGGGTCTCAGCCTGTGTACCAGATGGAACTGGTAAACAGCTGCTCTGGACACCAAATTAACCTGTGCCTCCATGGACAGCTGTGAGTCCAAAATGACTCCCAAGCTGTGCACCAGGTCCTTCAGGGGCACAGTTACCCCATTCAGGACCAGGGAGTCCTCCACACCTGCCCACCTCCTGTCCCCCCCAAACAGTACTTCTGTCTTGTCAGGATTCAACCTCGATCTGTAAACACGAAGAAAGGTGTATTGGGCAGGAAGGAGGGCATTTGAAAAGGTTTGGGGACAGCAGTTGCAGTTTGTGAGAAATACCCACTTGGAATGAAAAAGCCTCACTCGCCTAACTTTGTTTTGCCATCGCTTATCAGAAACTAATTCAAAATTTCCTCTGAAACTGTCAATGCTGGGAAACTGCAGTGCTATTATTTATTGAAAAATGTTAATTCTGCTTGAGAGGCCAGGCTCTAGGATCTGCCATATGGCTACAGCTGCACAGGCTCATGAAGCAAAAACTATAGAACATCTGGCCTTAATGTTTGCGGGATGTATTTGTGTAACCTCAGTTGTATGTGTCATTTCATATAGTTATGCGCCGAAAATTGCACGTGCGTAAGGGAACACGCTTCCACAGCGTGGTTGCACTGAGAGCAGCAGAGGTCTTGGAAGCAGTAGAGTGGAAGATAGTACACATCATATATCAGCATGGTAAATCTCCCTGGCTTATAAAAGTACTTCATACTTTTACCCTTAGTAGTACATTTAGCCTTTTTACCTTTCTCTGTGTCAGTGATTAAAACTTCCAGCCATTCATCCTGAGGTGCAATTGCATCCAGCTGTCAACAAAATTGGCAAGAGCCAGCTTCCAGCTGATTCGTTACAGTCAGTGATAATGTACAAAGGAGACAGCAAGACAATTTCATCTGAAGATACCTGCTTAAATATATATATGTAATTTTCTTCCCACATTTCTTTCTGGAAACATTAATTGATTCTTCCATCTCAACTTAACACTAAAGAACTATTTGCAGGCCTCAGTCCTTTCCAGACCCTCCAAGTGTCCCTATTTTCCAGGGACAGCCTTGGATTTACAAAAAGCCATACTGGTTTCTGATTTGATCCCAGAATGTCCCACTTTTCCTTAGAATACTCCTATTTCCATCTGAGAAATGTTGATGGTAGGAAGCCTCTATTTACATTGGATAAATGTTGGAAGGCATGGAGTTATGTGACCCATGAGCCAAGGAGATGAGAACTATACAACCTTTAGAAGACATCTGAAGGTAGCCCAGTACAAGGACGTTTTTTAATGTTTAGTATTTTATTTCTATTTTTATATGTTGGAAGCCACCCAGAGTGGCTGGGGCAACCCAGTCAGATGGGCGGGGTTCAAATAATAAAATTATTATAATTATTCTGGAATAGGACATCCCTATTTTCATTTGAGAAATGTTGGAGGGTACGCCTTTCCCTGTTGCTGGAGTAGATTAGCTCAGTTCTAAAGAAGCTGAAAGTGTCTTTTGTTTCTCTGAAAACCTTTCAGCTCATCAGAAGAACTTGTGCTTGAGTGCTGCTATATTCTGCATTTGAAATTCTTTACCTGTTAAAATTATCGATGGAGCCCTTTTCTCTACTGTTACCTCCAAACAGAGAATACCCCATTACTGCATTCCTTCCATGATAGACTGTATGGCTTAGCCTTTAAGCTTGTATTTCTGTTTTCTATGAGTCCCCCCCCCCACCTGAGCTCAGTGATAAACTCTTTACGTACCCAGGAGCCATGACCTGCCGTCCCACAACATGTCTTGAAAGGACTACCCGTGACAATATTCTTTTGGTTCAAATTAGGCCACAACTTTATTGATTCCAGATGGATGGGGTTTTGGCATAGACATTGGGTATATGTCTTTGCCAGTGTGGTGTAGAGAGCCAATGTGGTGTAGTGGTTAAGAGCAGTGGACTCGTAATCTGGTGAACAGGGTTCGCTTCCCCGCTCCTCCACATGCACCTGCTGGGTGACCTTGGGCTAGTCACACTTCTCTGAAGTCTCTCAGCCTCACTCACCTCACAGAGTGTTTGTTGTGGGGGAGGAAGGGAAAGGAGATTGTTAGCCGCTTTGAGACTCCTTAGGGTAGTGATGAAGCAGGATATCAAATCCAAACTCTTCTTGTTGTTTCAACCAGCCCACCTGTTGATTTATTCTCCAAGGGGTTGAACCAGTGGTGAGGAAGTCCTCTGACATATGTCAAATAGGTGCTTCCCCACACAGATCACTACTGAGGAGAGCTGTGGCCCTAGACCCTGCCTGGGCATCCAAACAGGAGACCTCCTCTAGGATCCCTTTAATGGGTTACTCAATTCCCTTGGAGGGACTTACAACCTTCCCTCCGACCATGACCAGGTTTTTTACCCAATGCCTTACCCACCAAAGTTGTTACAATTGCTACGAGGTAGGAAAAAACCTCAGGTTGGCCAAGTGACCAGAAAGACAAATACCGTATTTTTTGCACCACAACACTCACTTTTTTCCTCCTAAAAAGTAAGGGGAAATGTCTGTGCGTGTTATGGAGGGAATGCCTACGGGTGGCATGCCTATGGATTTTCCTCCTCTAAAAACTATGTCCGTGTTATGGTCGGGTGCGTGTTATAGAGCGAAAAATACGGTACCTCCCCAGCCCCTAATATGGCAACCAATCATAATTCACAGCAAGGTCAGGAAACAAATGCTACCCCCAAGAATGGTAGGAGCTGGCCTAACTGTTGGGCAGTTAGGAGGGAGAGACTGTGAAACAGAAGTGCCGTGTGAGGGGCCGGCACTCTTTATATACTCTGGGAGCAGACCTGAGTGAAGACTACAAGCGACCCAGTCAGGCTTGCTTGCCGAACATGCCCGCCCCTTGTTCTGGCTGCTGTTGGCCCACTTGCAACCAATTCAAATGCTTCCCAGCCAGCAGAAGAGGTTTTTTACATCTCCTTTCTGCTGAGGACCCAGCCAAAGCGTCTGTGGAGGCAGCAGGCTGCACCATGCTGCAATGCCACGGTACCCTTGGCAGTTTGCAATATACAGTGGTACCTCGGGTTAAGAACTTAATTCGTTCTGGAGGTCTGTTCTTAATCTGAAACTGTTCTTAACCTGAGATCCCACTTTAGCTAATGGGGCCTCCTGCCGCCGCTGCACCACCGCACGATTTCTGTTCTCATCCTGAAGCAAAGTTCTTAACCAGAGGTACTATTTCTGGGTTAGCGGAGTCTGTAACCTGAAGCGTCTGTAACCCGAAGTACCACTGTACTGGGGAAGCTTCTGCATGGAATGGGGTGTGTGGAGGGAGAAGTCTTCCATTAGATGGTTTAGGCAAGCCACTCTCTCCCAACACCTCAACAATTTTCAGTGGGGTGATGTTAATACTGATCTGTGTTTCACTGTTGTGAGAAGTATCTGTTAGGATATTTCCGTTCCACCTTAAGAAGGGAGCAGGCTGTTGTGTGTCACAAGCCTGCGTACTTCCTGCTCACAGGCAGTTTCCGTTTTGTATATAGCTTTTGTTCTGGCTGTTTCCTCAAGCAGTCATGTTTTTCCTTTGTTCTGACCAACGTTGAATAAAACTGTAAAACATGCTCTCCTGGGTGAATCTTCCGTTGTGGAAACTCTGCGAAAAGGGCGTGCATGAGTCTTGGAACGCGTCTGAGGCTCGTGTCGCTAATTGACTGATACTGTTCTGATGGGAGTCTGGAGTTCATCCAGAGACGACGATGGAGGTCTGCCTGATGAGGCTGCCTGATGGCCTCTGTCTCCCTGGCAGTATCCCAACAACAGGTTATGGGCCCAGCACGCTTCCACTGCGCCACTCTGCAAACTTCCAAAGAGATTTGCTGATGAGTTTGCTAAGACAGCAACTGCTGTTCTTAGTAGCTCAGAGAAGGTGTGGGAACCTTCAAGCTTCAAAGAGGTTCAGGAGTTAACCTCTAAAGATGCTGAGCCATGGCCCGGGCTTCCCCCTCCCCCAGCCCTGCAAGCTCTGGGAGCGATGGTAAGGTTGAGCGCAACCTCGCTTTCGCTCCCGGACCCCCAGCCCCGAGGCTAAAAACGAAGCCAGGACAGCTAGCAGGATCCATCCCGCTCACTGTCATGGCTTCTTTGCTCTTTGGGACTCAGGGGGGAAATAATTTTTTTTCTTTATTTCCCCCCCCCCAAAAAAAAAATAAGTGCGCCCTATGGGCCGGTGCGCCCTATAGGGCGAAAAATACGGTACTTGCACTGGTATGCTTTTGAACTGCTAGGTTGGCAGGACCTGGAACAGAGCAATGGGAGCTCACCCCATTGCATGCATTCAAACCGCCGACCTTCCAATCATCAAGCCCAAGAGGTGCAGTGGTTTAGACCACAGTGACATCCGTATCTATACACACACACACACACAAACAAACAACAACAAAAACATCCCAAGTTCAATTCATGTAGGTTTGGGACAGATTTCTGTCTGAATCTGTGGAAGCTTCCTCAACCTTGGCTTGAGACTACAATTCCCATCATCCCTGACCACTGGTTCTGCTAGCTAGGGATCATGGGAGTTATAGGCCAAAAACATGTGGAGGGCTGAGGTTGAGGAAGCCTGATACAGACACTACTGAGCTAGATGAACCAACAGCCTTGACTCTGAATAAGGCAGCTTCCTTTCTGCCTAGAAAACCTTTAGCATGTTTTATCTGGAAGGAGTTTTCTGGCATTCATTTCTGTAAGGTACTTTCAAACATTATATGATTATTGCCATTTGGATGCCAAACTCTCATCTGATTCATCCAGTGCCAGGCATAGAGTCCTGCTGTGTGTTTCTTGTGCTAATGCATATTGCTTTTGCTTTTTTGAATGGATTTCCAGTTCCCCAAGCATTATAATTACACATAGTACAGAACAGCTGTTTGCTACTTTGAGCTTCCCCAGGCTTGTAAGGAACACACATCTGAATTAGGTTTCTTTTCAGAAATAGTGAGATTCAGGACATCAAATCATAGCTGCCAGTCACACCCACTCATCTGAAAACCAGTCATCTTCCGAGATTTCCTCCCAGTGTTAGTTTGCTAACCCCTCTCCCCCCATGTTACCTTCCTGCCCCCTCAAAGAATGTTCGACTGGACTACAATGCCCTCTTCCCACTATTACATGATTCCTTTCCCTTTTATTCTCATCACAACTCTATAATACAGCAATCTGAGAGAAGACCACCAAGGCTGAGTGGAAATGCAATCTGAATCTCCTCCATCCGAGTCCAGCGCTCTTCCCACCACACCACTTAGGGCTTACCCAACTATGGGCGTCACTTGTCCACTCTGCCTTCCTGGAGCCATGGCATCTGCTGTGTAGCCCAGGCCTGTGTGTGCCTGAATTTAATTAGAGATGATCTGGATTCCCAGGTTGCTGCTTGTTTGCAAGGATAAGTGTGTGGAGTTTGCAACTACATACATATTCTAGGGCCCAGGTTCAGGAGCACCCTTCTGGTATTAATTAAGTGCCACGCTAAAAACAAACAAAGTAGGACACATAGAAAAGTAGGCTGTCTGCAAATTCAAAGGCATTTCAAATTAAAGCCTTTGTCAGATAAGCTTTTACATTTGCAGTTTTTTATGAATATTTTAGGTACGTCTGTTTAACTCTGTTCCTTGATTGCACACACAGAGCGTGTCTATTTATATAATCATATCTATTGTCTGGTGATTTGGAGTGTTGTCAGAATTTGGACCTTAATTCCCAAGTTTTCATGTTTGTTTATGTCAAGGTTGAAAACCGAGTCAAGTAAGACCCCTGTTAACATGATCTTCCCTTCTTTGTTTTCTTGAGGATAAATAATCACGTATATCAGCATTTACACGGAGCACCCAGCCCACAAGTGATCTTTTGTGTGTGATGCATTGCACCTTCCCCACCCATTTCTCTGCCCATGTCAGTCTGTTTTAAAGTCTTTCAGGCAGGGAGCTGCCTCTTTGAAATTTATTGGTCAGCATCTAATAATTTAGCCCTTTATAAATAAGATAAGATGAAGTTGAGCCCTTGGTTCTAACCCTTTTGCTCTTGATTGTGATTTCCCCTTCTGCTGTCAACCACTTCCTAGCATCTTCCTGTTGTTAAGGGTGGGGTGGTTCCATAGCAACAATAGAATTTCACTACTGTCAGGATGTATAGAGGCAGCACATTTCCCAGGCAACCATACAATGGCCCCATTCATTCTTTGTACACAGAGGCAGATTTACGGGAGCGTGATTGGTTCGCTCACACCAGGTGCCAAGCCGAGGGGGCACCGGAACAGTGACTTAGAACGGAAGGCAATAGAGGGGGGCACTGAAATTTGAAAGCCCAGATTCCGCCACTGTTATCTGTATAATAAAAGAGGATCAGATTTGTGGCAGAAACTTGCCACCCCTTTGCCCGCTACTCAAGAGATAAGAATCCACCCATCAAATAAATACATAGGTGGACAGAGCCTGATAGAAACCGTACTAGAACCTTAGAGCAGGAGGAATACTAACAAAGATGTCTTGGAAAGGGTGCAACATTCACTGCATGTTGTTTTTCATGAGACAATCTTTAAAATTCCAAATCAACTGAAATGAGTTTGTAAACCCCCTCTTGCATCTTCCGACCATCTGCATTTGTGAAGATTGCCCCAGTGTGGTATATGTGACTTTCCCAGGGCTTTCCAGGCTGTCTAACAGAAGAGATGCCTTTGCTTATAAATTAAGCCATGCAGGCACAAAGTAAGGAAATAATCTCAAATGCCTCATAATTAAGTGTCTCTAGCTTGTATTTAGGGATAGGGAGACACATTCTGCAATATTGCAGACTCACATTGCCAACATATTATTTGTGATCCTTGTCAGCGACTCTGAGGCTGGAATCTTGGTGATCCCTGGAAGGCTAGTGCTTGGTGTTAAAGGCCCATCTGCCCTATGGGTGAGCCGGCTCTGAGCAACACTGTTTCATAGTTGAAAAAGCTTAACTGCATCTAACAGATAGTGATAGAAACAGACTAGCACAGAAACAAACAGGCATAATAAATTAACAATATTGAACCTGTTTAACAAATTCCAGTAATGTAAAACTGAGCCAACAAAGTTTGTATAACTATCCAAATGACTTTTTAAAAAGCATAGTCTTCATCAGTCACCTTGAAGTAGTCTAGTAATGGGGACTGACAGACCTCACTTAGGAAGCCATTCTATGGAATGAGAGACACAACGGAAAGAACGCTAGTCATGGTTGGCACCAGTCCTGCTTCCAAGGTTGGAGGATTTCCAGGAAAGCCCTAGATAATTATCAAAGTGCAGAGATGGAACTTACAGAAGTAGGCACATGCTCAGGCACCAAGTAACTAATAATAATAATAATAATAATAATAATAATAATAATAATTTATACCCTGCCCTCCCTGGCCAGAGCTGGGCTCAGGGTGGCTAACACCAGTAAAATTACAGTAAAAACATAATGGGGGGAGCCAATTTAAAATACAGGTTAAAATGCAATTTAAAATGCAGCCTTATTTTAAAAGTAGCCCATAGATCAAAACCATAAGGGGAGGGAACATAAGGGTCAGACTGAGTCCAAACCAAAGGTCAGGCGAAACAGCTCTGTCTTGCAGGCCCTGCGGAAAGATATCAAGTCTCACAGGGCCCTAGTCTCTTGTGACAGAGCATTCCACCAAGTTGGGGCCAGTACTGAAAAGGCCCTGGCCCTAGTTGAGCCCAATCTAACCACCTTGTGACTTGGGACCTCCAAAATGTTGTCATTTGTGGACCTTAAGGTCCTCCGCAGGGCATACCAGGAGAGGCAGCCCCGTAGGTACGTGGGTCCTAGGCCGCATAGGGCTTTACTAGACCAGCACCTTGAATTGGGCCCAAAAAAATAATTGGCAGCCATTGCAAATCACGTGGAACTGGTGGGATAGAATGAATGTCTAGTTTTCATTAGCATTTCAATCTGATAACGTAGAGACAGGCAGGAAACCTCTTTCTGTTATGTGCCTGTCATTGACATCCTGAGAAAGAATCGGCCATGATGGGCTTAAGTTTAGTACGAACCCTTAGAGAGATGAAAAGGGTTTACCAATTTATAAAGTAAGGTAGCAAATGTTCCCCAGTGGGGATGGCCTACACTATTCATAAGAAGAGCTGTACATTATAATTTCCACAGAGTGCACACTACATGTTCTAGCAATCAAACGTCTCTTTGGTATTTCTCTGCATTTCCCCGTTGCTTCCTTGAAGCACGAACTGCTCTCTCCTCTTTCTCTTTCCAAGCTGTGGAAGCAACATCAAGGAAGCATACTTTAGAGCGTGCCCTAGAACTTTTAATACCGCAAGCCCTGTCAGATTCAAGAACTTCAAAAGGAGTCCTTTGTAGACTTTCTTTTCATAAGACTAATGGGATTGCCAAAGTGAGAGTCCCAGTGACCTCTGCTTGTTCTGATTCCATAGCAAAGTTCCAGATCTACCTTCAGTTTATTAACATTTTTCAGTGCATGCGTTATCAGTGAATGGGATTATGAAAGGGAAAATAATGAACCACCAGCACTGTAGGTTATGCAAATCAGACCATTTAATTAAAGCGCTATTTTTTAAACCACTCCACAATAATACTTTTATTGACTTCTATATTGCAAGTTTGTAATTTCATTTATTTATTAGATTTTCATTGCCCCCTAACCTGGATGGAAGCACCATTTGTCTCACAGAGATGCCAACAAACTTTTTCAGAGTTAGGCCTAGGAATGAGCTACTAGGGCTCAGTAATGTTTGCCTCAAAATAAGAGATAAGAATTCAAAGCCCCGGGATTCTTCTGCAGCTTAGATTAAAAAAAAAAAAAATGAGAGGGAAAAGGCGTATTGAATAAATAGCTTCTTAAAGAAGATACGGGGTTAGAAGCCAAAGCCCATACCCCAGTGGGAGAGTGGGCTTTTGCAACTAGCATGATCCCCCCCCCCCAATATAGTTCTTCAAAGCAGCTCCCCAGTAAAGTGATAAAGATGGTTGACAATGACTCTGCTAGGAGGCTGCGTTGAAGAGCTACCCTTGGTGAAACTGGGAGGGGGACATCACTATCAAATCTACTTGGGCTGCAAGGATCTCATACAGATGGACTTTCTCTAAGAGTAGCCCTTCAGCTGAGCTCCCTTGCAAAGCCATTGACAACCACCTCTGTTGCTTTGCTAGAGGGCTATGTTGGAAAAGTACATCTTGGAAAACAGGAATGGGGGCCAAAATCCCAAACCCTGTGGAAGAATATTTTACCCCAAGGTTCCTCCGTGGGCCTTTGGGGCGGGGATGGGCTTTTTCATCCAGTTTTCCTGGGGACATCTCTTCAAAGCTGCAAAGCCACATGGAAACATTAGCTTCCCCCATGGTTCCTCAGCAAGCTGAGCTTTTTACCAATGCTTTGGTAAATATATCAGCCCAATTCAAAGCCAATCTGACATGAACTGATAGGAGCTGGCTGGCAGCTCCCAGTCTTGGCTACCATGTTTCTTTACTGCACATGATACCATGGTCTCTTGGGAATGTGGTGTTCAGTTTTAACTGGTCAAAAAGAAAATCTGGCCAGCTCAGCTGCTAAATATAGCCAAGTCACGGTCAACTCTTATATAAATGATTGCCTTTTAGAACTGTTAGAATAAACAAATAATTATGCTGAATGTCAAAACTATTCTGTTCCAGAGAACCCTTTAATCATGTCCTGTCAGAATCTTTATCGAGCACTATGCCAAATTACCGGTACATGGAAGCCCCTTTTAGCCCAAACAATCTCAGTGGACTCTCTGGTACTTCTGATTCCTGTGTCACTGGAGTGATTGCTCTTCTGTTTATTTCTTCCTGAAGTCTGTATTCCAGTTCCTAATGTGACTCGCCTTTAAGTTAGAACACGTGGCTAGCTGGAGAAGCAGAGGGCAGAAATTCTCTAGTGATGATTTCAAGCTGTGGTCCATGGACCACTAGTGGTCTGTGAGCTTCATTTGAGGGGTCTGTGGCATATCTGTGGATTTGTGTCTGAAGATGGGAGATAGCATATTCATCATGTTAAATATCCATATGACTTTTTAATTGCATTTTATTGATTATTTAGTTTCTTATATTGTATATTCAGTAAAATACAAGATATAAGAAATAAAACAAGCAATTAAAATACACTTAAAAAATCATAAAGCATCTGGCTCGCCACACTACAATTGCTGCCACAGGCAGAAAAAATCATTAAGTGATCTGCCAAGACCATCAGCAATTTTCAGGTGGTTTGTAGGAAAGAAGAAAATGGTAACCATTGCTCTAGTGATAATCACACAACAGTTGCTGCTCCTAAATGAGGAATGTGTGACCTTTATTCCTGCAAAGGGGCCCTCGCTAAGGATGGCATTGTATCAGATCTTTGTTCGATCTTTGTCGCTGAAGTTTAGATAGATGCGTCTTCAAATTTGAATAGCTGGATAAAAAGATATGAAGCAGGTGGAAAGCACATCTACATAGATTATCAAGGTAGTTTGTTACTTCCATTTTAGGCAAAAGCATTTGTCATTCGCCAGATGTGTCTGATTCAAACAGAATGGTTTCATGCCAACTTTATGATACACTTGATTTAGGTAAAGTGGCTAAAACCTGCTGTTGGGACTGAGTTGCTTTTTATTTCAGTCTATCACTTTAGTTGCTTTTCTTTCTTTCTTTTTACTATTAATTATATTGCATGTATTAAAATACTTTGCTTTAGTAAATGTGTTAACCCTTTAAGCTTACTCAAATAAAAGGCAAAATAGCATAGTGATTGTTTGAAAACGTTCACCCCGCAATTAAGCTCATTTTTGTGTCTTGGTTGAAAAGTGTAGCCATCTGTATAAATTGCTCTTAAGTGCCTTTTATTTTGTTCCGTTTCCACTTGGCAAACAAGATTACCCTGTAGTTGATGCTTCCACCCTCCCTCACTCCCTAGACCTAAAGCTAATGAACAAACTGGAGCTCTTCTCTAAACTGATTTATGCATAGAGGAATGCAAACAAACACCCCACACCACTGAAAGCTCCTTCTAAGTAATAAAGCATTCGGAGAATAAAAACTTAGAATATAAATTGCATTCACCACTATTAGAGCTGCTGCACTCACACTCAGGATGGGTTATATCCAGCCTTTCTTCCATGGAACTTTCGGAGATGTACATAGGGGTCTGGGGGCAGCCTCCCATTTGGGCATTGAGGTTACCCCTGTTTAACTGCTCAATCCCCTGGGATTAGTTTTTGGCACATCACAGTTTTTCAGTCGGTAGCAGCTAAGTGACAAATGGGGTACTTTCAAGTGAGCTCTTACTATTGAAAACTGTTTTGTTGAGATCTCACAAATGGTTCACTGTGGCAACGGGGTTTTAAAAATTGTTATTTTTATTATTCTGTTATTAATATTCATTGAATTTGAATGTCACCCTATCCCCGCAGGTCTCAGGGCGGTTCACAGGATAAAATCACAATATAAAAACACAAAATATAATCAAAATTAAAAAAAGAAAACAGGAACAACCCAATAACCCCCGCCCAACACATTTTTAAAGGGCGAATGCCAATCAGCCCAAGCCCTGGTTAAAGAGGAAGAAGAGAAGAAGAAGAGTTTGGATTTGATATCCTGTTTTGTCACTACCCGAAGGAGTCTCAAAGCGGCTAACAATCTCCTTTCCCTTCCTCCCCCACAACAAACACTCTGTGAGGTGTGTGGGGCTGAGAGACTTCAAGGAAGTGTGACTAGCCCAAGGTCACCCAGCAGCTGCATGTGGAGGAGCGGAGATGCGAATCCGGTTCCCCAGATTACGAATCTACCACTCTTAACCACTACACCACACTGGAAAGTTTTTGCCTGGTGCCTAAAGGTGTATAATGAAGGCACCAGGTGAACCTCCCTGGGGAAAGCATTCCACAAATTTATTGCATTTCCCCAGAAAATGTAAATCCAGATTAAACAGTGGAAATATGGTCTGGCATTTTAATACTGAAGACAATGCTACAAAAAAGAATGAAAGAACGAAAGGAGTGCATGCATGGCAAGCACAGATTTAACAATAAACACCCATTTGCCTAAAATCTAAACTCTGCTGAGTCCTTTTCATCTCTCTGATGACTGACTCTGTCTATGGCAGCATGGCTAAAAGTCACCAGTCCAGTCTAACAAAAGTCCTGAAAGGGTCCTGCAAATAGATGCTTATATAGTCCATACCTTTTCTTCAGTATGTGAACAATATATAAAGCTGGATACAGAAATGCAACATAGTGTTTTCTCTTGGCAAGAAGTCTGCTATGACTCTGTGAGGAACATATTATTTTATTTGGCTTTGTACAACAGATTTCTGTGCTTGTCACTTAGAATGGAAAGCTCCAGAACTGCTAATAGTGAAGCCCGAGGCAGGAGAAATCTTGTTCAGCATGTGTGTGCAAGATTAATTAATACTAAGTCACCATGAATAAATGATAGTAAAAGCCCTTGTTTCTACTTGAAATCTTTAGTTAGTGGTTTTGTGTCACTTCTGTGTTTAACCTAATTGCATTATTTGCTTCTTTTCTTTGCGGCGTCTGAAATCCTACAATTGATTGGGTTAGGCTGGCAACTGGAGTAGGGGAAACAAGTGTTTTCTCTGCCATTTCACTCAAAATTACATGTTTCATGTCTACAATATTTCAGGATAGGGTGAAAAAAAATTGGGGGGTAGGAATGCGGCTTCCGTTTTGGTTCTTCCAGAAGGCTTGGGAAATCTTGGAAAATTCAAAGTGGCAGCCACAATTCAAAATGGCAGCCTCCTGGTTAAGCATCTAAAGAAAAACACATACTTTTACAGCAACTCACTATTTTGAAGGTGGTTATTTTGCTGGATTGTGCCCATGGCACATCCAATTTATCTGGATGAAAAAGAGTACAGTCCGTGTCAGATCCAAATACCTCCTCCTGCTGCATTCCTCTTCTCTCCTGTGAATGAAGATGTTTCTGACATGCACAGGGGTCCCCTGTATTACATGCACAAAACATTCCCCTGACTATCAGAGGACATAGGGAAGCATTCTTATCTGCACATTTCCACATGCAGCTCAAAGCCACAGGACAGTATCCATGAATATATTTGCTAGATATCTTGCCTATCTGCAGACTTGGTTTTAATCTTTCAAATGCTTGTGCATATGCTAAAAATATTATGAAAATGTGCACTTAAAATTCAGTGACCATCGGTCACTCCTAATACAGCATTATTCACAAAGGAATATGTGATACACATAATAGAATTCCATTTCTCTACAGGATGGGATTTCATGCAAAATGCATTTGCTTTGCTGTGCTTCAGTTGGTCCGGTCTACATTGCTAGACTTGCTATAGCTGCAGATTCCCGCTGTAATTAACCAGATCTTTTTATGCATTTATTCTTCCCTCGCTGTTGCTGTGTCATGTGTGTTGCAGTGTATGCAGCCACAAGGCTTCAAAACATGTGTGACTGTCACTGAAGCCCTTTCTAGTTTGGGCTCAGGGTGGGTGGGTGTGTTTAATTTTTTTTTTAATGATTCCCCCTATGTTTTAGTTGTCCCTATTTTATGTGTAAGCCACCTAAAAAAATGTTTAGGGGTACTCTCATTTCGACTCAAATAAATTACCATTTTATAATTCAAATGGGGAAAAATAAATACAGTAAATACAATGAAACTGACCAATCACCATGCTAGATTCCAACTCCTACTTCACATATTAAACGATCTCTTCTGAGACTCAGGAAACACCGTGACAGGAAATGAGGTCACCATTGGGGGTAGCAATGGAACTGAAAATTCACTATGCTAGAGAAGAAACTTAAAATGCTATTTTTTTAACTTTCTCCTGTTAGATTCACAAAATGTTTAAGGGTATGTGTACCCCTGCGTCCCCCCAGAAAACCCCCCACTAATAATAATAATAAGAAGAAGAAGAAGAATACTGTTGCAAGGACTGTCTTCTATTAACATTCTGACTTGATGTTTTGCCTCATAACCCCACATCTTCATAGGTGAAGTTGGTGATGATATGGAACAGGGCCTTTTTGGCAGCACCACCTAAGTCAGAGCTTTCCAAACTTTTCATGTTGGTGACACAGTTTTTAGACATGCATCATTTCTCAAAACAGAAATGCAGTTTCACTAGCAAACAGGAGGTTAAACTAACCCCTTTCCAGCCCCCCAGAAGGAGTGTGGGGAGTGTTCGTGCAACACACCTACACACTGTAACTAACACACTAACTTGTTGTGACATATAGTTTGGAAAGCTGCGGCCTAAGTTGTTTGACTCTTTCTCTCTGAAGATCTGAATGGATTCCAGGACAGTCCAACTTTTCATACCAAGGGCCACAAGCGCACTTTGACATGGTGCCTGTGGGCCACACATTGCCTCGTCATGTGGGGTGGGGAGTGAGGCCAAAATTTGATGCCCCCCTCAGCCCTCATGCTGCTTTCCAAAATCCAGCTAAGTGAGACATCAGGCTATGAAAGTGCTACCTAAGCTTTAGGAAGGAGGCAGAAGTACTCTAAGACACAGCCAGAGCCTTCACACCTCCTTTCCAAAGCCCCTCAATTACCTGTCTTTGGGAAGGATGCACAAGGTCTGGGAGGAGGTGCATCAAATGTTTCTGAGGGCCGCCCAAAAAGTCCTTGAGAGACACATGCAGCCCCCAGGCCAGTCATCAAACCACCCTGCTGTAGATCTTTCAATCTGCTGTAATGGGTGAAATTCAACTAACAAGCCCCGTCAGTGAAAGCCATGGGCAAAACTTCCACCTGTTTCATTGGGTCTCCCACCACCTCTCCCTGTACAGCCCTGAAATGGTCTTGGGGGTGGGGCTGGGAGGACCTGCAGTATAGCATTGGGGGAGGAAAGAGAAAATATTTCTGTATTGCAACACTTGCACAGACAGAATATTTTCCATAGCACATCATTGAATTCCATCCTGTTCTATTTCACTGGGCCTTTGGATTTGAATGAGTTGTGGCTTGTCTGCTAGTTTACAGTAAACTGGTTAAAAGTAATATTTCATTCTAGGTAGGCTTTTTTTTTTTTGGTACTACTTTGTATGCATCTTTTTCATATCTAAGTTGTTTTACACATCTTGGATTTTATTGGTTTTTACCTTCTTATTTGATTGTCTCTGCAAAAGCAGCCTAAAATTCAAATATAAAGGATTGCTTGTAATTCTGGACACCAATTGTGCATTAGTGAAACCCCCTATTTTGTACTAAATTCCATCTGGGAGGGGGAGGAGTGAAGGACCCTTTATTCAACAGATTTTGTTCTTTGTATGCAAATTATATCTAACCAGTTGTTAATTTATGCCCCCCTCCTCTGGCCAGCACTTTATGCACTTGGGAAACATAAAGTGTTTTTGAATTCAGACCTACATGGATGTTAAATACATTCCCCCATTCCCCTGCCCAGCTCTGTTTATTCAAGCCAGGCATTTAAAATTTACATTATTCAGAATGTTGGTGGCAGAAACTTCAAATGTGTCTATTCAGTGATTTTAATAGTTGGACAGAGAGGAGGAGGGAAGGTTGGAGAGGGAGAGAAAGCTAAGCAATTTTAAACTGAGCAATGGGAATTTGGCACACGGGTAGCACACATTTTCTGTCCAAAGAAGCTTAGAAGTCTGCATGCCCTGGGCAGCACTACATCTTAGTGGCAACTCTTCTGTTGGAGCAGCTTAGTTGCACCATTGAACTGAAAGCTTAGTGTGGTGGCCCTGAGCAAAAAGCTTTCCTTCATGGCCTCTCTATGTCACTAAAACATGCATCTGCCCTAAAATACATTGTGTTTTTAATTGTGCATATGGCTTATGTGGTGAAACATGTTATTTCCAAAGTCTACGACATTTGCCTTTGTTAATTTTAGAATTTACTTCCCATCTTCTTTGCAGATGCCGCAGAGCAGCTAATAAAAATATGTATGAACCTATCTATCTCATCTATCCTGCCTACTGTAACATGCTAAGTCAAAAACCTAGGGTGTTACATTAACCTGAAATACCCTGTAGCATCCCTGCATGCATTTCCTGCATGCATCCCTGCATGCATCCCTAGGCTTGCTGCTTTCTAATCAGGAGGCATCTCCAGACCAGCGACTCTTCAGAAACACAGGGGATTAGCTCTACTCAGGGTCGGTAACTAATTACTTGTCAAGTACGGGAGTTCCCTTCTCCCTTCTAGTAGCTCACTGATTAGAATTAACAAGCATCTGTTAGATTTATAGTCTTTTCACTACAGTATCATGTTGCCAGCACAGACAGACTCTCTGCAAGGATAACAGTTGCTCACTCTGACTCCTCCCAACTTCCGCAGCAAGAAGCGCGCCAACGGGATGTCCCTCCTGCCCTGTGTCTCCTTTGTTCCCAGACACACTTGGACCTTCGAGTGCAGGGGGAGGGAGGGGGTCCCCCCACTCTCAACTGATGTCTTGCCCAGCTGCTCCCTCCCTTCTGGTTGCTTAGCTACTATCTCAAAAGTAGGTAGCTCCTCTCTCAACTGTGCAGCTTCTGTCTCTGCCTGTCTGTCTCCTTCTGGAAACGCTGGAAGCGGGGGGGGGGGATAGTCCCCCTCCTCTTCTATTAGGAGCTGATCTCCCTGCGATTTCATTCCCCAATCTTCCGATCCAGCCCAGCTCCTGACATTACTCTTTTAAACTCCAATAGTAAGCATTACCAGCGATAACAGTACAGCCTTCTTCCAATTTATTAGATGTTTGCTAAACACTGGTGCTTTACTTACTTATTTCTTGAAGAAATTACAGTGGTACCTCGGGTTACATACGCTTCAGGTTACATACGCTTCAGGTTACGCACTCCGCTAACCCAGAAATAGTGCTTCAGGTTAAGAACTTTGCTTCAGGATGAGAACAGAAATCGTGCTCCAGCAGCGCGGCAGCAGTGGGAGGCCCCATTAGCTAAAATGGCGCTTCAGGTAAAGAACAGTTTCAGGTTAAGTATGGCCCTCCAGAACGAATTAAGTACTTAACCCGAGGTACCACTGTAGACACTATTTGATTTTTTTTAAAAAATACCTCAAAGCAAAGCGGTTTACCAACAACTACAGCAACACTGCTTCTGCAGCCAATACACCATCCCTGGTGCTCTGAAGGTGGTGGGGGAGTGAAAAGAGACCAGAGAGGAGCCAGCAGCAAGTGGCTTGTACCTCAGAGGCCAGATCAAGCACCTGAGGTGAGCCTCTTGGGTGGGACAACCCTGCCTGTGTGGCACACTATTTGCTAAGGAAAATCACATTCTGTGACCCAGATGCAGCCACACAGACACATGCATGGAAAATTGCAGAGATTAGTTTACGTTGCATACAATTTATCTTGCTGCCTCGGGGGCATTGGGAAGGATAAGGAGCTTTGTGGCTGCAGAAGACCTACCTTTAGAAAATATACCCCAGCTGCTATTCCTGAGGGTTCACTAGGTCATCTGTACACAGGCTTTCAAGCTCATCTCAAGAGAAATAATGGCCAGAGCCCTACTTTAAAAAATGATATTAGATTCTTGGCATATCTTCTACATTTCCTGCTGCTTTGGTGTAATCTGAATGCATACTCAAGTCTTAGATTAAACCTTAGTACATAATCTAGGGAGGTTCAAGAAAGCACTGACATATGACGTTGACAATACAGGAGATCTATTTGTGGCATTTCCTGATGAGTACAGAAAAAATATTTAAAGATTTCTGCATAGGATAGCAGCAGCAGCAAGGTTAACTATCCTTTTTACTCCCTTAGTATTTGAAATTATTTTCCTCCCCTTCAGCTGTAATTAAGGCTCTATTTATGCAGAGGAACTAAGAAAATCTAAACATTTCAGCATTTTCAGAAATATTACAACTTCAGTAATTGCTGCAGTAAAACTCTCCATAAAAGTATTTGCACTGTAACCATTCTTAGTTCTGTAGTATTCCACACTTGCAAAAGTGAATGTCAATAAAAACTCCTGTTTGGATCTTGAATTTAAAGATGGCCCAGTGTTTCCCTGGTCACCTCTTGGTTAACCACTTAGGCTGCAGTTAGTGGTTGCATGCATTTCTGCAGACAGGTTTTTATTTTATTTTAGAGGGCATGCCAAGCTGGCCTTTGACTCTCAACCTAACCGAAACAAGGTATTCTACATTCCTGTTACCACCTGATTAACAATTAATTCCGCTTTTTGATCTGAATATATGGCTTGAATTCCTTTCCTAAATTTATCTCTGAAATTCATTTCTCCGGTAATTTTTTTCACAAATTCCCAGGAGACATTGTCAAAGGCTTTTTCAGCATCTATAAACATCAAAGCTGCTTGTTTTTCATTTCTCACTTCCAGGTATTCTATAATGTCAATAATATTTCTTATATTATTCTTCATTTGTCTGCCTGGAAGGAATCCTGCCTGATCTTGATGTATATAGTCTTTCAATATTAATTTCCTAACTGAAACAAGGAACCCACAAGGAAGCAGCACAAATTACTGCCATGGAACAATTTTCCTCAACAGTGGTTGGAGGTGGACCAAGGCCTTGTGCGCTCCTGTCTCCAGCCCAGCCCTCCCAAGCTCCATTCCCTTGCTGAAAGAATGGAGACTCTTCAAGCAGTCAAGTGCTTGGCTTGGAGATGAGTGTGTCTCTTGCTGTCTGCAGCCTCTTGCCTGGCATGTTTCCTCCGCTTCTGGGCAGGTGTGACAATGCAGGAGACATTTGGCTCTGACCTCAGGTCAGGGTGCCTGTGAAGGTCCTGACTCTGGTTTTGTGGAGTCAGGCTCAGTGATAAGAGAGTGGTCCTGCTTTTCAGCCAATAGCACAGTGTGGCAATGGGTGTGATGGCACTTTTCCCTCTCACACCATTGGGCTCACTCTCACTTAGATGAATTGCCCCCCACCTCACTGAACAACACTTTACTCGAAGGTTTCTTTTCCTTTCCTCTTAAAATTCTAACCCAGAGTATCCTGCGGGGACCTTTGTGAGGGGGTAACTAATAAGTTGGAGTCTCAGACAGGCAAGATAGTATATAACACAAATGGATTAAACTTAGGTTACTTCAGGCATATAGTACGATTACACTTTAATTCGTCCTTAGTCATTTTGCATTTTAGGTTTGGTTCCTTTAAACGGTGATACTTTCTTTCAGTTATCCACCCCTTTTAACAATCCTGCTCCTGAGGTACCTTCAGCAATAGACCCAAGGGCTCGCCACTCCCCCTCCTTTCACTGGGTTTGGGAGTTTCTTCTTTTCCTTAGAAGAATCTCTCCCCCTCCAGACTAGATTTGAGTCCCAAGTAGGCTGTTCCTTTCCATCTCCTACTTCTCCTGGCTCAACCTCTGCCTCCCAGTAAAATTTCCGGTCTGTTCCTCCTACAGGACACCACACTCTGTCCTTCACCATACACTCAGAGTGGAAGTTGTTTTGTTTTCCAGAACCAACTCTTTCTCGCTTTCACTCTTTCTACCTCAACCTGTCTCCTAACCTGTCTCCCTACCTATCTCCAGACCTCTCCAACGACTTTTCCAACACTCTCCCTCCCTCTCCCTCCCACTGTCTCTCAAAACCTCTCCTTTTAAACTCTCCCTCCTGGAACCACAGCCAATCAGAGTCTGCCGTTCATTAACCATTTTCTGGCAGGGAAAGAAAGAAAGAAACAAGAAACACCTTTTGATCCAACTGGTCCAGCAAAACCAACTTTTTTGTCACACACAGCAGCCTTGAATCTGAGCAGCTCACCCTCCTCTGACTCGGAGCTTGAGGCCAAGGCCATAACACACTGCCAAAAAAACCCATAAATTTCCCTCATGGGACCATGTCATATATTACATATCACCTAAGAATACTTGGGTGTTGGGAAACATATTTACTACTAATGTTTAGATACTAGATGTGTGTGCCTTTCCTTCTCCCTCATTTCAGGAAAAGGTTGGCTTTCTTTCTTCAAAACAGTCATTTATCAGTATATTAGAAGAAAGGAAAATGTCAAACACTGCAAGTATGCCTGTTTTCTTGTACACATGGGAAAAACCTAGTATATGACAGAGCCTACAGAGGCCTCAATATTTGTCAACCTGCCTGACATTTGCTCTGAGCAGTTATAATATTGCCTAACATGACATCACAGCAAATGAGCCAGTGGCTACAGTAATGGGATAAGAGATGAACAGCTGGTTTTTAGCCTACTATATAACCTCAGAAATTATAGTTTCATTCATTTAATTCCACAGTATTATCTATTATTGTGAGATATGTTGATAACAGGCTGGGCAAAATGCAAAACATTATCGAAAGAGTTCCAGTCTAAACAGATTGCTTCAAGCAATGACACTTTTTATTTTTATTTTGCAACTGGATTCATTTTTATCTCTGCATTGGAAATTTTGCTCTGATCACAATGACAAGCACCTTGCCACATGGCTGGCGCTATATAAATGATGGACAGTAATCGTGGTAATAATAATTATTACAAAGAACATTGCCTCTTGATACTCCACCGGCTTTGGTCTCCATGTTTAAAAACAGCCCCTCGATGGTTTGAGAGCTGAGTATTGGAGTAAATGGGGCATCCTATACATTGGCAGCTTCATTTTGCAAATATTGTGGATATTAAGGCTGTGGAATCTTCTTCCTGTTATAATATTAAAGCAGTAGGAGCATAAGATTTGGAGTTAAGAGTGCCAAGGAAAAGAAATAAAGCTCATGAATGGTCACAGCAGCTGGCTTTAAAGAATGAAACAAGCCTAAGCTCTGATGAGAATCTAAAATTCGATTAGAGCAAAAAAGATGATTTTCGGCAGTAATGGAAGGTTTATTGGTTGGTACTTGAGCTAACAGGGATTAGGTCTCAAAGGGCAAAATGAAAGGATATGAGAAAGTGCTAAGGAGATTGCATTACATACCTCTTAATTCATCAGCTGCAGTTTATATTGTGCCAGCTTCATTCAAGGGTGTTACACATCTGTCTGGTATTTCATGTCCAAATCTTTGGGTATATTGTTTGCCCAGGAGGCAATTTCAGCACTGCTTCATGTAACTTAGAGAAGGCTTTGTACAACCTATGAAAGTAGTGTTCAGGGAGTATTGCCTACAGCAGTGATGGCCAAACTTGGCCCTCCAGCTGTTTTGAGACTACAACTCCCATCATCCCCAGCTAACAGGACCAGTGGTCAGGGATGATGGGAATTGTAGTCCCCAAACAGCTGGAGGGCCATGTTTGGCCATCACTGGCCTACAGGAACTGATCATTTGTTTGGAAGCTGAAATTGGGGGACCACAAAATACCACATCACTCATTCCTAGTCTTACCTGCCCAACCTGCCCCCTCTGCCAACTGTATTTTGTGAACCCACCAAGCTAACTAAAGCACACTAGCCATGCATTGTGTCCTGCCAAGGAGTTGAAAGACTCATCCCTTCTGCATCTTCAGGCAGGTAGCAAACACCTCTACTGGGCCAGCATTGAGAGCTGGTGGATTTAATGTGACTTAGTTGGTCCCATCCCTTGGGAGCCTGCAATACTGAAGAATGAATGGAGATGTGCCTTCCATCATGAATAATATGTTAGATCCCAAGACGGAAGTAGAAACTGATGAAAGACTAGCCTCCTACACTAATAACTTAGGATAATACTTAAGTCCAGAAGAAAAGGTGAATTTGGGATGCCAAGGCAATTTTGGACATCATCACCAGCCATTCACAAATGTTCAGCAACTAGAGACTGATGCTATTTGCGAGCTTTAGTTAAAGCTGCTTAAGGGCTTAAAGTGATAGAAGTCCTTAAAGCAACTTAAACCACTTTAAATGTTTCAATCAGCTTAAGGGCTTGAAGAGTTTTGTTGTGGTAGCTGGAGAGTGTTCTGCGGGAAAGGAGTTTCAAGAGAAACTCCACAGCGCCTTGTGTTTGGAGGGCTGAGGGGTTAATATCTGTGGGGATGGGTGAAATGGAAAAAACAGAGGTATAGGAAATGAGAACAGGAAGACAGACATATATTTTTCTCTTTATCTGTACTATGAAGAGAGAGGGGAAACATTGAAAGATATACACTTATTAGGCCATATCTCTATTTAATGATTAGCAGAATAAATCTGCTGAAATACTTGCAAGAAATCCATGTGCTCTTATTGTTCCACTTAATGAAGATACATTTTGTAGTGATCTTCTTATACATCTGATTCCACAGAAATAACCTAGTCCATAAATGATGTAACTAAAGATAAGGGAGTGAGCAATGAGTGATGAAAATTAATTTTTCAGTAGATATAAAAAATCATGATGCTCACGGCCAGTTTAGAGAGAAGATGGACTGGATATTCAGTTAATGATCCTCTTCATTTTATCTTTTTAATTCTAATTCTGCCATTCCTGTGTTGGTTTGCTGGTCTAATGGATGCTGTTGTGTTAGTTGTTAATATATATATATATATATTTGCTATTTAAAAAATGGTTTAATATTGGTTGTCAGCTGCCTTGAGAAAACTGTATTTTGAAAGATGGGATGGAAATCTCTGAAATGAATGAAAAAATATATTCCTTAATTTTTACTAGTGGAATGGTGTATATTATTTCCCCTGATACCTCAACATTTCAAAATGATTTCCCCTTCCTGTTCAACAATTGTTGTCAGCAGAAGACCTTAACTGGCTCTTGTCAAGAACTCTCAGCATCCTATGAAGTAACTATAAAGTGATTTAACTACTAATAATTTGGGGTAGTTACTCCAGATCAAAAATTATTTTGAAATGAATGAGTGAGGAAGAATTTCAAGACACCAGTTCCTTAATTTCTTAAAAGAATAGTAAATCTCCAGGGCTGGATAGGTTTGGTGTAGAATATTATAAACACTTTTCAGAAAATCTTACTCCACACTTACTGGAGTTATTTAACAATGTTATTTTCAAGAGAACAGATCTTAGGAACCTGGAGGCAATCAAAATTAAATCTAATTTCTAAACCAAACAAATATACTAAGCATCTTGATTCCCAGTGGCCATTCATATTATTTAATATAGATTATAAGATTTTTTTTTACTACGATTCAAGTAAATAGACTAAAGATGAGTAAACCTCATTATACTGACCTGAACTAGTCTAGTTTTCTAATGCATAGCTTCCAGCAGACCCCAGCAGTATTTGCCTGAATGTTATTTTTTATTGCAAAAAAGAAAAACTATTTTTAAAGCCTTTGTTTGTGTAGAAAATACTTTTCTTTGGCAAGTAATTTCAAACATGAAACTTGTACTAAAATTAATTAAACTTATTTACCAGCACTATACATCTAATATTAGGGAAAAATGGCTATGGTTCAAAATTTCTAAACATTATCTAGAGTTACTAAGGATGAATGTCCCCTCTCCCCTTTACTAGTCTTGCTTTGGAAGTTTTGGCAGTAGCATTAAGAGCTAACATTAATATCAAAGGACCTATCACAAAAGGGGCTAAATAAATAACTAAAAGTTTATAGTGCTGTCCTTTTTATTATTATTATTTATTGAATTTATATACCACCGTTCATTATAAGACCACAAGGTGGTTTACAACATACAACACAAATGTCACTAAACAACATAGTATCTGTATAACATACAAATCAAGACAATGATATAAATACAGGTATAATAAAAAACTTACATAACCCTATAGAGATTCCAACAATGGCAAATGCATTTTTTTTTTAAAAGGGGGGAGAAGAAAATCAGCAGCAGGGTATCTGATATACTGAACAGTGTAGGAATATAAAATCTTCTCTCAAAGTTTTTTTCTTAATCCTAGGCACCCACAGGAAATGGGAGACCCCACAAGCTTCAGCTGGTAGCTTTGCTTTCTCCTCCCAGTCACTCATGCATTTACAGATGACATGGTTATATATGCTGCCTGGCGCATCCATTGCAGCTCCTTCTTTAAAAACAAGAATGGGGAAAGTAACAGAAAGGAGCAGGTTTACAAATGAATTATAGTAAATCTAATATATTTAATAACATCCTTCCTAAAATACAAAGTGGGACGCGGGTGGCGCTGTGGGTTAAACCACAGAGCCTAGGACTTGCCGATCAGAAGGTCAGCAGTTCGAATCCCCGCGATGGGGTGAGCTCCTGTTGTTCGGTCCCTGCTTCTGCCAACCTAGCAGTTCGAAAGCGCGTCAAAGTGCAAGTAGATAAATAGGTACCTCTCCGGCGGGAAGGTAAACGGCGTTTCCGTGTGTTGCTCTGGTTTGCCAGAAGCGGCTTAGTCATGCTGGCCACATGACCCGGAAGCTGTATGCCGGCTCCCTTGGCCAATGAAGTGAGATGAGCGCCGCAACCCCAGAGTCATCCGCGACTGGACCTAATGGTCAGGGGTCCCTTTACCTTTACCTTTAAAATACAAAGTAACATAAAACAATAATTAAAAGTACTCAATAGTCCAAAACAATTTTGGTACTTGGGGGGTTAGTATACCCTCAAATCAAAACAAGCTTTATCAAGCCAATTGACTCTACCCTACTCTATTGGGAAAAGATGTTAAAAGTTGACAAAAACAACCTCTCAGTTTTAGGGAAAATAACAGCAATTAAAATGCATTCTTTATTGAGAATGCTATACCCTTTTCAGGAGTTACCCGTTTCCAATAAAACCTACTATTGGCAAAAGATAACAGAATGTTATATATTTGGAGCAAGGGAGAGATCACAAACAAAGAAAGATTTATCTATACGAACCAGTCTCTAAATGATGTCTCTTAGTTTGCACTATAGGGGGATGGATGATTTAATATTGGCAGGGGGATGCCAGTGACCTGTTTTGTTTTGTTTTCGCTCTGCTACTTGGTAAAGGAGATGTTAGGTCTGTGGTGCTCTATGATTAATAATGATCACCCAATGTGATCATTTTAAAAAGCCCTTTCAAGTCGACACAACTGAGAGCTATCAAGTGACAAGCGATCAAATGATGTACAACTATGAGTGATCCAATCTCTCGTTGGAAAACACTTTGCGGGGGAGGGGAATCTTAATTTACCAGCCAGATGAAGATGGTTGAAACGTTCCCTCTTGGTCTGGCTGCTAAAAAAGCCTATGAATAAATATTAATAAAGGGAAGGAAATTACCATTTCAAATATGCTGGATGAAAGTGATAGCTCTGGTGTTCTGTGGCAGTTATATATTAATTTAGCAGTGGCTGTCACAGCAATAATTCAGAGCACTTTCATATTTAGGTTCAGCTGCGTAATTCATTTTGATCTCCCACATTCATCAAAGCATTGTTTTTGTTTATGTTGATATCATGAAGCACAGAGAGAAGAGTACGGAAGAGGAGATTCGCCCCCTGAAAGCATCTCTATCCCATATGCCTGTTACAGCAAGATGCTGTTTTGCTCTAATTGTATGTAATTAATGAACAATAATCAGAAAGATGTCTTCACTGTGAAATCATGATTTAGTTTTATTTTCTCCTATCATGTATAATTCATTAATCTCAGTACACATTGTACACTTGCGCTAATGCTGAATGCAGAAGAGAGCGTTTAGTAACTACTGTTTAAGCTCAGCATGCCTCTTAAGAATTTCTTCAGCACATTTCCAGTGTATTCCCTTATCATTCATTAAGTACTACTCATTAAGTACCTGCATTTGTAAATGCAAAGGCGGCCAGCTCAATCTCAGTTCCAGATAAGATGTCTCCAGACTGGCAGAATATATTGTCAAAGTGAGTTAATCAGGTGCTACAAAAAGTGAAGACTCAATTGGCTGCTAAAGGCAGGTCAGAGAATGGAAGTCTAGAAATGACAAATACTAGTAACAGGGCCACCCCTCTGGGAATTCATTAATTTTGAAAGAGAACCATAGGGAAGGTAAACTGATTAGGAGATATCTGTTGATAGCTGAGATATGTGTGTCCATTGAGCACTCTGATATACGTAAAACAATACATATCTTTCAGCATCAGCGGATGATGAAGTGGAAGAAAGACTAGTGCAAAATTAGCCAATTGCAGCAGAAGAGAAAATGCTAGCTAAAAGGAAGTGTGAATGTCTGCACAGATTGAAGCACATTTATACATCCCTAGCTGGAAGTTCCTTTTACTCATGAATAGTCCTTTTACTCATGAGTAGTGGGAATCCCACTCTAGTTGAAAAATAAGTGGGTGGTGGTAAGGAGACAGCGTAATTAATAGGACCAGACACCCACTGCTAGTGGGCTACCTTTACTGGATTGGCACCATCCACCACAATCACCTTTTGCTACACTGATGTGGATGAAGAAAAATGGAACGACAAATTATGGAGTGGGGGAATCATCATGGAATCATTGTTTAAAAATATGATGGTCTTATATTGTGTTTATCAGCAGCAGCGAAGGCTTCCTTGTGGTTACTCATCCTGGGATGTATGTATTGAAGTTTTTAAGAAATAGCAGGTTTTATCCAGTTGGTGTCCTTGCACAACTGAAAATGCTTTTGATCAACTGGAAGGGATCCTTTAACAGGGGGAGGGGTGTAACCCTCTTAAAAAAAAACAGTTTCAGAAGACACAGGGGCCCGAAGGGAAGAGGGGGAGATGCAAAAAACTCTTCCCTCCTCTTCCATTTACAGACATCTCTGCTGGAGCAATAGTACTAAGAGGACGGATTCTAGTCTTGCCTAATGGAATTAACAATTAATAGAAGATGTTTTTCCTTAAACTGACAGTCAAATAATCAGTATAGATGCATTTCTGCAACACACACATGTTCTATGACTACAGTTATAGGATTTTCTTCCTTCTGCAAGATCTATTGTGTTATTCGTCATGTTAGATTTTTTGGGGAAATACTGAATTTCAGGCTAAAAAAAAACTTAAAACCTCAAGTCCCATGAAAGGAGCCATAGGGTGGCTCGTTCTTCACATCCTCCCCTCTCCCCCAACTCTGCTGCCATGATCAATGTTGTTTTCCTTTTCCAAGCTGCTTTTAAGTTCCTAAAACAACCAGGAGATCAAAGAGGTGCAGTTTGACCCAAGACTTCTTTTGCTTCCTTCAGATTGAGAAATGAAATATTGATCTTGCCCCGCATTCCACAAACATTTGAACTCTTCTTCCATTTCAGAACATTCCAGGATCTTTCCAAACAAATGGATGTATCTTATGGTACTGTCCGGGATTCTGCGGTTTATGAATACTTCAAAGCAAAAGGAACAAACCCTCTGGAGCAAGACAGCACCTTTGCTGAGTTGTGGAAGACTATCAGCAAGAATAATGGAGCTGATAACTGCGTGGCAAATCCCTCTGAAGGCATCCGGAAGGTAAGAATGTGGGCATCATTAATTTACCTATAGGAGGTTTGTGTTTAATATTTTCATGGAGGATAAATCCGTTTGCTGTTCCGTAAAAGCAATGAACTGGCATTAATAATTTTTAAATAGATTCAAAAAGAAACCATCTAAACCACAGTGATTACATTGCCATTTATTCTTCCCAAGAAAGCTGCAAATCTGTTTGGAACGAGATTGGTGTGATTTTTTTGTATTCTCTCCTCACCCCACCCCCTTCTGAATTGAAGCTTGCACTTAGGTGACAATCAAAATCATATTGCCTTTGATGAACCCACAGCAGGAGTCCAGGCTGAATGGCTATTGTTCTAATCCATTAAAACTTTCATTACATCCCTTGTATTGTGAATTTCTGATTTCTACCGTTTTCTTTCAAATCAGCGAGGGTGTTAGTCCTTGTCATTTTATGTACTGAGTCAGTTGCTAAGCCAGTGGTTTACATTCAAGGTCTGGTCTAAATTTGTGCTTGGAATTTTGGTGTAAGGATTTGCATCCCACCAAATATAGCTTCACAGAACCTTTGTGTGTGGAAATAATTGGGTGGATACTCAGCTAAGTTCTAGCTGCCAAATGAAAGTTTTTCTGGGGGCAAGACAAAGACAACCCCTTTCCATTTTTGTGGGTGGGGTGTTGGATCTGTCCTGCTTCATCTGTTCTCCCCCCAGAGCTTGCTACACAGCACTCTGGAGAGAAGAGGTTCCTTTTGCTCAGTTCTTTGCTTTTTAAAACAGGATTCACCTTGCTGAGCTGAAGCTTGGAAGATGAACATACTGTGGGTTTGGCTACACCTAGCTGGTACTCAGTTGAGCAATGCAGCTGCCACAGCAGAACTGTTTTTTTATTTTATTTTTAAAATATGCTGCGCAGTAAGGGAATAAGAGGCTAATTGCCCTGAGACCTGCGGGCATAGGGCAATATACAAATTTAAGTCATCATCATTATCATCGTGGGACCAGGGCTTTGACTGGCCTGCTCACTGAACTCCCAAACTATGCAGAACATGGTGTAGCAAGGATTGCGCATCTTCACTGATACCATAGTATGTATATCCCAACTCCTGTCTTGGTGCATATTGTTTCATGCAACTGGGTTTGCAGTTAGGCCGCATGGCATAGCTGTTTCGGGTGTCCAGCTACGAAGTCAAATGTCATTATGCATTCACCCATCAATACAACTTTTGTTGGTTTTGGAGATGTAATTCCACTCAGTCATGCATTCCTTCCCCCATAGATTGGTTAGATTGGTCTCAACTAGGGCCAGGGCCTTTTCAGTACTGGCCCTGACTTGATGGAACGTTCTGTCACAAGATACTAGGGCCCTGCGGGACTTGACATCTTTCTGCAGGGCCTGCAAGACAAAGCTGTTCCGCCTGGCCTTTGGAATGTACTCAGTTTGACCCTTATGTTTCCTTCCCCTTATGGTTTTGGGCTACTATTAAAATGAGGCCGCATTTTAAATTGTATTTTAACCTGTATTTAAAATAGGTTTTTTCCCCTTTCCTTCCCCCTGCCTTATGTTTTTATTGTGATTTTACTGGTGTTAGCCACCCTGAGCTCGGCTCTGGACGGGGAGGGTGGGGTATAAATAAATTATTATTATTATTATTATTATTATTATTAATCTCCTCTACCATATACACTCACATAATTTTAAATGCCTTCAAACGTTTGTTGCTGTTGCCAGATTCAAGTGGCAGTTATTGGGTTCAACGATCAGAGGTGACTGGAAACCTCATACTGAACCCTGTACTCTCGTGGCATTATTTATTTTAAGTGTCAGCTCAAAGCTGGCACGTTTTGTCTATATGCCACAAGGCAAAGGGATGTGTTCAGACTAGAGCAACAATAGAGGAACCATCTGACTTCTAGCCCTGTGGCAACTTGGAGACCCTTGTTATATGTGTACTTCCTAATTTCTCCTGTGCCATATATATCAGTATGAATGGAAGGTAGATGCCATTGGAAGAGTACCGTACTTGGTAGAACTAGACAACAAATGCAGAGAATGTGGCACAAGTGCAAAATAGTGAAAACATCTTAGCCATACCATGGCATCCCTCTTCCCTTGTGCTAATGTCTCTTCTGCTAAAATTTCAGTAATTTTCTGGAAATACTCCCACCCCCACCCCCGAGCAATTTAATTTAACCTCTAGCACTGCATGCTATGAGAGCAAAAATTCTGTGGAAATCAACAGGACAAAGAAATGCAACCTAACGCTGCCTTTCTCTCCCCCGCCTCACCTCCTCTCGAAAGCCTGATTGTCACATTCATTTTTTGATGTTGAAAAGTTGCTACAATGTGACTTTCACCTTTTATTTCCATGTGATAATCTCTCCTGAATGTGCCCCCAACTTGCTGAGATCAGAGATTTGCCATGTCTTTGGGAAGCTACGGAAAGCTGTCATTCTGCAGGGCACAGCAAAGCGCAGAGCTCCTCACACTGTGTGCCTTCAAAAGAAATTTCTCCACATGAAAATCACAGGCAAAAGTCACATTGTAGGGAATTTACCATATCAAGGGTGAGTGTGAGAACTAAAGCACGCTCCGTGATTATATTGCATTAATGTAGACTCACCAAAAAGAAAGGAAAAATGCAATTTGTGTATAAGGTTTAGATTCCAGTGTGGATGCTTCTACTCAAAATGCAGGTAGATGGTAGGCAATATAAAGCTCTCTAAGTTTTTCCTTTCCTCTGTTTTCTTGCTTTCAGTATCCGTAGACATTATGCACCGCATAATTATAGGAGCAGTGAGATTATTTAGCTTAAGGAGAAAGCCCTTAACATTTGCCTGACAGCTCTGCAGAGCTGGTGTCAGAGATCAGCATTGTTAGGCATTGAATTATTATTATTATTATTATTATTATTATTATTATTATTCCCATTGCCTGTCCCTAGAATCTACTGGTCCTGTTGCTTCTCCTTTTTGGTGTTCAGGGCTGTTCACTTTCAGAGTGAGCAAGGAAGAAAAGAAGCAATGAGAACATGAGAAAAGCCTGCAGGATCAGGCCAATGGTCTATCTAATCTGGCAAGGTGTTCTCACAGTGGTCAGCAAGGTTCCTGCAGGAAGCCCAGAAGAGGACTCTCCCTTCCCGCAGTTACCAGCAACTGTAATCAGGAACAGTAATCTCAGTATGACTTGCCCTCTTTTTCTCTTTGGCAGGTGGTTTCATATGGGCACTGGGGGGAAGGCAAGTAAATGGGCAGCAGTAACAGCAGCAAGGGAGACAAAGATGGGCCTATTCAGAGAGGACAGCCTGCTGAAAACTTCTTGCCCAAGGGACCCCCAAAACTTGAGATTTCCACTGCTGCTTTCCTTCATAATTCCCAAATGCCAAATAGAGAAATTTAAGAAATGGAATCCATACTGAACAACTTGGAGAGTCCTGAAGTGTTTGAACAAGAGAAGCCCTCAAGAAATTATCTTTCATTCATATTCTCCCCCTCCACACACAGAGACAGAGAGCACTTGGGACTTGTTCATTGATGAAGTTTTCAAAATTGTTAGGCTCTTTCCAAAATACAGAGAAGTTAGAAATTTCATTTATTGTCCTCTAACACATCTTACTTACTAAAAAATTCTGAGAATTGAACACGCTTCCTGCTCGACCCAAATTTGGGTCCCCAGCCCAGCTGTTGTTGCACTGCAACTCCCATCATCCCTGACTACTGGTCCTGCTAGCTAGGGTTGATGGGAGTTGTAGTCCAACAACAGATGGGGACCCAAGTTAAATCCTCTGAATTAGTCAGTCGTTTGTCCCATGTACCAAAGATAAATGTTGGCATCACTTTTCACTTCAGGTTTTTCCTGTAAATACGAATGGGCAGAAATTACATCAGTGACTAACACTTTTTTCATTTTTATGGGGGGGGGGGGAAATGATGAAAAGTCAAAACCCAGACCACCTATTTATGTTGCTTAAAACATTTTGATGGGCATAAAACAGAGGTAAATATCTGACACAGCCCAGAAGTACTGCCATTCTTCTAGAGCCCTGTGACTTCAGTTGTGTTTGAGCAGCTATATCGATCTAACATCAGGGATTTTAAAAATGTAATACCCCCTAGGCAGTCATTCCCAGTATTATCCATCACATATCTCACTCCATCCATGATAATGCTTCTCTGTGCTATGGCTGTCATTGTCCTATTGGAAAAAAAATATATATATATTTTTACAGTAAGAGACTTTTGCAAGATCAGCTTCAATTTTTAAAAATGGGATATACAACAGTAGCACATTTAACATTTCCTTCACCTTTTTGTCTCTTTTCCATAAACATCAGTTTAGAAAAAGTGAACACTCACACAACAGAGGGTGGGAATCAATAAAAGTTGAACAAACAAACAAACAAACAAACGGCTGGGCAATGAGCCATCACCAGCGTTGTACTAAGATACCTCTCATGTCACTTACTACTTCCCATGAAATCTCTATTGAAGTGACCCTTCGTTCATTTCTTCAGCCCTCCATAATTGGGCACAACTCCCCCATTGAGTCTAAAGATGTACCAACCTGCCTTAGAGAAATTTAAACAGTTTTATCAAAACTGTTTTGCTTTCTCTCAATATCTCTCAGATCTGATTAACTTTAAATTTTGCTTTGGGTGAAATATGGGCATCAACTGGGGGAGAAGTGAGCCCACTGAAACCTCTTTTGGCTTTCCTGGAAATGTCTCTGCTGGTTTGCCTGCAAAACACCATAAATCCCATTCACTTAGGGCAAAACGCAGTGGCAACCGTAGTCTCCTCCCTGTTCAGAAGTGGGAAATAACTCCGGTATAGTAGACTAGATGGTGCAGCGACTCAATGTCTAGCGTTCCTTATCTCGTGGTAATCATTTGCTGGCTGTCAGACAGGGAATGGCATGTGATTGGAGCCATGAGCTTATGCGGAGAAATCTTCCCCAGTGAGTGAAGGAGGAGCACATGACACATCACATGTCAGTTAAATCAAATTGAGATGCACATCCTTCACATGTCATAGCCCTGATGTGGAAGGCTTTGTCCTTGGGTTCTGCTTGGGAGAGTGAGTATGTAATGTATTTCTTGTGCTACTAAACGTGTTCTGCATCATGAATTTGATTCTTGCACCATTGAACTTGGTTAGAAACTTCCATTGACTTTAATGAGCTTTAGATCATGCCCTGATACTCACATGCCCCCTGATTAGTTCACTTGCTGTCTGCTTTGCCATCTTCAGCCTAGGGGTATTGTTTTAATTAGCTGTGGTCTTTCTGGGTCAGGTGCATTAGTTTCAGACTTTTCAGCTCATTTTCTCATTACTGAACCCTTGGTGTGTGTGTTTTCTTTGCCTCTGAAGCTACCAAAATAGGAGAAAGAACAAAGCTGGCTTTGCTCGAATGCCCTGCACTGCAAAAGCCATGCTGAAGCAGTATAATGCACATCTGCTTAGGAGCTTTATGGAAAAGATCTAGATTACACGCTGCCTTAAGGTGCAAAAATGTCACTGGCAGCTCAGACATATACCCCAAAATGGCTAAAAGCTATAAGTGTATGGAATCAGGGTTTTGCATGCATTGCCCTAGCTAAACAGGAACTTTTGTTTTTGATTCCTCAGTCCTATTCTTCAAGGGCTGAATATACCGCCCCCCCCCCCTTTCGTGGCAAACAGCTGGTAATAGGATTACAGTTTCTTTTACAGAACTGCACACATACAGCCTCGGATGCTATGTATACCCTTTGTTGGGTGCAAAGAGTTCAGCTGCAATCTTCATATGCATATGTCACCATTTAACATCCATCTATTATGTCGGATGCTGAATGCATGCATAAGAATATAAAGATACATATTTTATAACCTATTACATAAACACCCATTTATTATGGATAGATTTATTTAACATTCATGTTTCAATGTCACACGGGCAAACTGGTTGAATACCAATGCATTCCGTTTTGGGATTCGCTGTAGAATTGGAAAGTTATTTAAATGTATATTATAATATTGTCAAATTAAGTCTGATTCTTAATTTTCTGGCACAAATGGCTTTTTAAAATTGCATAACTCGGTCTGCTTAGCCCCAAAGCTTGAACGGTAGTGTAGTTCCATTCTAATACCTGGCTGACTTAGGTGCCCCATGATTAAACCCTGGCATAAGCCAGGCTTAATGTTTAATAACATTTTCAAATAAAATATAATGCTCATATTGTATTTTCTTCACGGCTCACTGAGCGCTTTGGTTAAAACAGACAAGTTGTTTGTGTCAAATACAATGCCTAGACATTATATATATTTTCAAACATAAATTAGCATTAGCAAATGGAAGCAACAGAGGAAATGTTTCCATGGATGGAAACTTGACATGCCATTGGACTTCAGTGGAGACTAATCTGAAATGTTAACTATAAACAGCAAGATTTCTTATATTTTCATTGGACAAAGCTGCTTGCAATGAACTGCCATTTTCTTAAAGGCATGGGAAGGCGGTAGAGACCTAAAAGTTGTCGTACGAATCCAATCCCCACACTTTACCTGTTAATTGGACACAAGACAGCCATCAGTGTGAAAAGGCATTCATATTAGAAAAGTAAATATCTGCCAAAAAATAAATAAATCATGCACAGACAAATGGGAAGGAAGCACCTTTCATGCCGTTTCTACCAGGGAGTTGTGAAATTACATCGGATAATAGAAGGAAAAGGCATGAAATGCCACCTTATAAAATAAAATTACTTGACAATGAGGAACGAAGAAAAATTCCACACTCATCTCAGTGACAATTTGCAGGGCTGGCCGAAGGTGTTTTGCTTCCTGTTCCCTTGACACATGCAGAAGTCGACTAGCTCAGCAGTTCAATCTTTCTTCCATTTAGGAGATAGGACAGCATCTTCCACCATAGCTGAAGGCAGCGGTTATGGGGCACACTTCGCTTTGTCCTCAGGTCCACTCCCTACTTCCAGAATCTGCCACCTGACGCAGTTGCCTCATTCTGCCTAATCACAAGACTGACCTAAACAGTTTGCACATGATCGCTAATTCATGTGCTTTCTATTGTCCTTTTAAAATGTCACTGTTGTTCCGATGTCATAATCCACTACTTTATCTCTCAGACTCATAACATTCAGTTTCCTTAGCAGTTTTGTGAAATGAACTTTACAAAATACGCTTTTGGAAGCTTTAGGTAAATTTGAGCAATATGTTGTTGTTTTTTCAGGTAATCTAGCAAGTTTAAAAGGTTTTGCCTCATTGTATAAGCTTTGCAACTTCAAGTTTGCCTTGGTAGGTGCTTTAGAGTTTGTTTGGTTGTCTGAATTGTTTTACTATAGGAGAGGGTAGAGTTCCCTCCCCAACCCAGTGCAGTTTTTAGGGTGGGCATACAGATGAAGCCCGCAGATATACTGGGGAACACCTTTAGAGAGAATAGAGCTGATGTTTTGTATTGAAAAAGGATGTAAGCATATGTGAGCCACAAGGTTCCTGATTTAAATACTGCTTTAATCAGATGCTCACTAGGGAAGTCTTAGGCAAGCCACTACCTTTTAGCCTTGGCTCCCCATCTGCAATACAGAGGTAATAACAAGGTTGTTATAGGAATTACAGACATAATCTATGGGGAAATATTCTATATAATTGCTATTTAGTACTCATTTTGAATAGTCATAATTACTGTACTAGAGCTAATTCTTTAGTTTACGCATGAGTTCAAAAATATTAGTGTGAAATCTCGCTGATACAATTGTTCAGCATCATTTTTCCCCCCGATAAAGAGAAATTCAAGGGTTTTTGGGATTTCACCCATCATTCAGTTGAAAGGAGTTAAGAAGTAGCAAATTTATTTAGTACCTTTCTTTTGGGGGGTGGGGCTCTTAGATGCCAATATCTCGCAAATCCAGCACTTTCCCCACGAGGTTCCATATTTTGTATGGATTTAAGCAGCGAATTTGCTTCTTGACTTCCAAGTAATTTTGTTTTATAAATTACTGCTTGAGCCTTAAGTATTTGAGGTGGCATTTTATGCCTTTTGATGTCATTTCAGAAATTTCTAGCGGAAACTATATGAAATATGCTTTCTTCCCATTTATCTGACGTTTTTATCAATAAAACACCCCTTCCCTTTCCTCCCTTTGCACATTAGGCTGTCTTCCTGTCACATCCAATCAAACAGTAACATGCAGGCGCACCTTTGATCAAAAGGTGATTATTTGCAGAATCTAAAATATAAATACCTAAGAACTTTCAATTTCAAAGCGGGGGAATGAGAATGTCTTCTTCATGCCTACCACACTACTAACTGAGGAAAGAGAGGTGTTTTCTCTGCGTGTCTGAAAAATTGACATAGGGGACATGAGAAACCCTTATTTGATTCCCTCCCCCTCTTTCTTTTTTCTTTTTCTTTCTCCTCCTGTGATGAGGCTACATTTTAATATTTTAATGTTTCAATATTTTAATATTTTAATGTTGTATTTTAATGTTGTTTTTAAGTTGTATTCATTCAACTTGTTTTTATTATTGCTTGTTAGCCGCCCTGAGCCCAGCCTTGGCTGGGGAGGGTGGGGTATAAATTATTATTATTATTATTATTATTATTATTATTATTATTCAGGGGTGTGAACAGGATTTTCTGGGCCCAATATGCTGTGAATTGGGCTCTTTGCTGAAAAAAATGCACATAAAATTTGCATGCATATGTCATAAGCAAATTTGAACCCTCTTTTGCAGATACAGCCATAGAAGGAGGAATAAAATGGCTACTTGTAATCATATTTTGCTTCCTTTAAACAGAGTGATGCATCATTAGACTATAAAGGGACTTTTTCTGGGTCTCCCCTCTACCCCTGAAAAGTAGTACAGCTCCAGTGCTTAAACCAATCTTCATCTGGCCTAATTATCACATTTTTGGATTCATGAGACCCACTTGTGTTCAACTGAGCTCCCAGTTTGTTGTACACAAAGGATCCTCTCGCCATGAACCCCATTAAACACACAGATACTTATTTTTGAATAGACATGTATACCAGTGCACTGTAAGCTAACCATACAGTGAGTTTTTAATAAGTGCCTGGAGTTGTCTAAGCATCTTTGCATATATATTTTTCAAATTTTGGAGTGAAGGGGTGGGTGACATCCAATTGGGGGGAACCACACACACTTTTAGGGAGTGTTGGATCTCAAACTGTAGAGATTCCAAGAAAAAGATAAATAAAAATGCAGGGGTGAGGAATACTGCACTGTTTATGACCTCAGGAATTCTTGTCTCCTGGTATCTAAACACCTCACTTGTCAATCACAGTTCTGACTTCACTCTGGCAAAAAGCACTGAAAGGCAGGAACAGCCATATTGGTTCATCTGCCAGCACATTTTGGTTCTTAACTTCCTTTACAGGAGACCAATCAGCTTACTTTTAAAAATAAATAAAATCCCAGAGTCTGATGCTTCTGCTGTCTGTAGACTTGGTACATCTGCACCCCCATAGCCCCTCTCAACAGACCTGTCCTAATCCCTTATTGACTAAAATGTTTACTGAAACTTTATGACTTCTGTCTAAGTTCCTTGAATGTTTTACCTAGAGAAGTAGCTATGAATTTCATTCCAGATGTTGTTCTTGCGACATTTTGGTAGAGCAGTAGTAAAGACATCTAAAATTATGGTCGCAATCTTCTGTTTAATGTTAAAGTGGCAGAGGATAGTTGAAAATGATCTGTTTCTATGGTGCAGGCCAGAGTCCTTTATAAGCTAAAACCTTCGTTATTGATATTGAAGGGGCCAGTAAGCTTAATGGCTGCAATCCAGCACAGAGTTAGGCGCACTTAAACCTGTGGATTTAAAGGGGCTTAACTGTGTTTATTGTGCTGGATTGTGGTCTATTTTGTTTCTCTGCCATATTCTCCATGCAGCCTTCAGTACCGCAGTGCTTCCTTGTTTTGAGACTCAGACTGGAAAGCTTCTGAGAACAAAAGGGAGACATTCCGCCTAGGACACATTCAGCTTGTACCGCAGAGGCTGGAAGAGCAGTATTCTTCTCCGGGCATTGGCTTGTAATGGAAATGGAATGCCTGTGGATGATAATATTTCCCCAAGCACCTATGGTGCAGATAGGAGGCATACTGTAGATAGGGACTATCATTCCTGTCAGCAGATTGCCGGCTCAAGAGAGCCGGTGACAGTAAAAACCCTGAAGCAAGAGACAGATACAAAATAGATGAAGTAAACATGTCTGGTGCAACCTTGTCTCTCAGGTTACATTTGCTCCTGGTTTTGTCTCTATTTAGAAATAACACAACTAATGCCATGCTATGCTAGTGGTTCATAGGCAGGACTGGGCCTATTTATCACCCAAAGCTATAGGTGGCCAAATTCTAGGACACCACTGGCAGACTAAGAAGGGTTTGTGGCACATCTGGATAGGAGTAGCACGGTCTATTCCACAGGTGGTGGGCATGTCCCCAAATAAAAAAAATTGGGACATGATCTATGAAGAACTAAAAAGACTGCTAAAACACACATTTTTAAAGAAACCTGAAGCTTTCATATTAGGCATTCTAACGATAAGCATCCCAAATGAAAATAAAAGAGTGTTTCTTTACGTGACAACAGCGGCTAGAATGCTAATACAGTGGTACCTCTGGTTACGAACTTAATTCATTTCGGAGGTCAGTTCTTAACCTGAAACTGTTCTTAACCTGAGGTACCACTTTAGCTAATGGGGCTGCCGCGCTGCCAAGGCACGATTTCTGTTCTTCTCCTGGGGCAAAGTTTTTAACCCAAGGTACTACTTCTGGGTTAGCGGAGTCTATAACCCGAAGGGTTTGTAACCTGAGGGTTTGTAACCCGAGGTATCACTGTAGCAAAATACAGTAGTACCTCATTGTGAGTCCGCCCCATTTAGCGTCCATTTCATGGAACATCCACAGCAAACCTGGAAGTACCGGAACGGGTTACTTCCAGGTTTGCTGCTCGCGCATGCGCTGAAGCTCAAAATCGCTCACGTGCGTGTGCAGAGCAGCGCTTTGTTGAGCGTCCCTTTCATCGAGTGTCCGGGGGCTCCGGAACGGATCCCAGACTCAAAACAATGTATCACTGTACTGGAAAAGTGAGTTAATACCAACAAAAGACGGGTGGCAATTAAAGTTGTGCGAGTCCCTTGAACTAGCCAAAATGATAGAACTAATAAGAGATCACTCAGGCAACAAGGTAAAAAAGGAATGGGATTGCTTTAAAAACTACCTGACAAAATATGGTTCCAAAGCAATACTTGGTTGTGATTAATCTCACAGATATGTACTTGACTAATTCTTTATCATTTATCATTTATCTTTTTTCTTTCTCTTTTCTTTTTATATTTTTACTTTTATGTATTTTTTATTTTTATTGTTGAATATTTGGATGTAATGCTTAATTCATGCTTTCTCTGTAATTTTTAAAAATGCAATAATGATAATAATGATGTTAATGATGATGATGATGATGATAATAATACTGGAGTAGGATGGACTACAGCCTGGATTTGCCTCTCCTCTGCTGTGTTGCCGTTTGCTCTCTGGCACAGTACGCTAGGGGCAAAACCACAGTGAGATGCAGAGGGCTGCATACACGCTGTAAAAGTGCAGTGGTATCTCTTAGACTGCGGATCTGGCAAATATCACATTTGCCCAAAGGGAAATGTGATAGTCGCCAGAGGGAAGGGCTGTAAGTCCAATGGTAGAGCATCTGATTTGCATGAAAAAGGCCCCAGGTTTCATCCCTGGTTTCTCCAGGGAGGGCTGAGAATATTCCTTGTTTTGAAAAAGCCAGTCAGTGTGGTCAGTAATGTGCTTGATGTACCAAGGCTTCCAGTGTTCCTAAAGCTTTGGACAACGGTGGACACTTTTGCCCAGGTCTTCTCATTTCAGCCAGAACTCAGTCTCGGTACCTCTCAGGTGGGCGCCATTACCATTATAAGAAAACAAGGGAGGTGTTCATGCTGAGTTCTGGCACGTCTTTTTTTAGAACAACAGTACTGCTATTGTCTGTTCCTCACAACTTTATCAGTATTAGCCACTCTTGTCAGGTTCAGAGGATATAGCTGTGGAAACCTTGACCATTTTGCTCAGGGAAGGAAGTAGTATGCCACCTTCTTCCTGCAACAAGTTGTCCCAGTTCCAGATGTGTTTCAGATCCATCAGGCTGGGGTGGCAAGGAAGACATGCAGGCACTGATGATCAGCTATAAAGGCTCATTGGCTTAGCAGGGAGGCTTCAGATGACCACCCTGATATTACATTGTTCTGATGGTGCATTCATGTTTATGCCATTAGCAATTATCTTGTCACAATTCCATGCACAAACATAGAATTAAATGGAAGTATATGTCATATATACTGCATCAAGATTGAACAGTTTTCATTATGGGTTTGCTTTTGGGACTCCTGGTCTGGCCTTCTTGTTCCCTCTGTGATATTTAACAAGGACCACCTTTGATTCAGTAGGTGTTTCAAGACCAAATCCTTGACAGCTTTACTTCCCTGTTTAAAGGCTAAGAACCTCATTTTGTTTTCAACATTCTGTCATTTCTTCACTCCTCACTTTTATCTTTTGAAATGCCATCAAAGTGTTCAGCAAATATTTGTGACCAAACATCTTTAAGGGAAGGTAGTCTAATTACCGTTTGCCTAGATCTCTAAAACAAAGTTGGCTAATCCTTAGTTCACCCCCCCATTTTTTCCTGCTTCCCTTTAAGATCCTAACAATTTTGGTGGTGCCAGCTAGCAGGGTGTGGTGGGGAGAAGACATAGTGCTGGGGTGGGCACCCTAAAGCAGATGCAAATACCCCCTCCTCAGTCATCAGATCTATCATTTGATGAGCAGAAAGGGGTTAATAAACCCTCCCCCTCAGCTAATCTGCATGGTTCTAAGTATGTGTGCATGCACAAGAGTTTGGGGTGGCCACACCCACCCCTGGAATGAGGGACCTGGAGGGTTGACCAAGGGTCAATGACTGAAAAAAGACTTACTGTTGGTTAAAGGTGGAAGATGATAAACCGCTGGAATGGGATTTTCCTATACAGGGGTGGGGGGAGAGAGAGAGAGAGGGAGGTGGCAAAGATATTCTGGTTTTATATTGGTTTTTACTGATATGGTTTTTCGCCAATGAATTTTAGAAATATTGGTTCCGTGAGTGAATGGACTGACAGTTCTCTTTTGGAGTCTTCTGACACACTGCACAGAACTACATTTCCCAGACTTTCTTGGGGAGAGGAAATTAAATGATTAAATCATAGTAAGAGCCAGTCTGAACATTATGGTAAAAACAGGTGCTGTGCATCTGGTTCCCCCTCTGCAATGACTAATAGAACCTGTCTCGTAGTTAGGTCAAATTCCTGTGCTTGCCTGTCATCGGCAAGCGGAAGCAAGGAGATGCCTTGTGCTGTGTGACGTCGGGACATTGTGTGGCTTCTACTGCATGTTAAAGAGACTGATTCATATAACAGCAGTTTTAGCACTTGGCATTTGATTACAATAACAACTAATTTGATCCCCAATTCCTGATGTAAATTTGCAGAACCATATGCAAGAGAGAAAAAAACACCCAAAAGAAAAAGAAACATCCATATGCCTTTTTTTGCAGGGGGGAGGGCGGGTGTTCTTATTTAATTACACATTCAAAATTATTGCTTCCCTGAACCTGATGAGAAAACAGAAATGATCTAAACTTCCTTTTAATAGCTTGGGAGCCTGCATTTATGATTACTCATTTATTTGCATTAAATTCACCAGCCCATCTGTTCCACTGTGCTTTGTACATTCACTGGAGACTTAAAAACATATTACTTAAATGTATTAGGAAGTCAATGATTACTTTAACCAAGCAAAGCGATCGGGTTTCTTCTCCCTGAATTCCCATCCAGAGACATTTCTTACATCTTATGTTAACGAAAATGATTTACATTCCTCATGCGCACAGCATGCAGTCACTGTTTGGAATCCCAATTAGAACTGACATTTGCGGACGAGAGATGTGTAGGTGTGTACTAATATAAGTAAATATTAGCCACAAGTGAAACTCGTGGGAGAATTTGGTTCCTTTAGCCTACAATGTCACAAGAGAAAAGCTTCCTTAGAATAACTAAACTTCTGATAGTTGAAGCACGCTACTCTTTTCTGAAATGAAATGAGGCTTGTTTCATGCTTTCACCCAAAAAGGTTTACTTTGTAACAGGAAAAAAGCACACCACAAAATTTAATGAAGAATTAAAGAGTGTTATTGAATCTATTAACGAAGTGTAAGTATAAAACATTAACACTTCCCGCACCTTCCAGGTAGTGATGGGTGAACTAGCCTTGGCTCAATTCCAAATTGGCTTGGCATTCTTAGATGGTATTTTGAAGGAGTTGGGGGGGGGTGCCTGTGTGAGGATGCAGGAAGCTTGCTTATTTTCAGAAAGCTCCCTCTCAGCTTATAATGATGGATTTCAGATATGGATGGTAGTCAGCCGCCACATCTCTGCGGAAAAGCACTTGGGAGAATTGACCCAAATAATAAAACGGACCCCAAACAGGCTTGTAAGTTTTAGTTTCACTTGCTATTTTCAAATAGCATCTCTATTTTCAGTAAGTTTTCAACTCACCCTCAAAATCTTGGGTTCCCCCCCCAAATTACAGTAAAGCCCACCAAGCCTGGTTTTTAAGGCTCCAGGAAACTCTGCTGCCCCTGTAGGATAAGCCTTCAGAATCAGGGAGTTATCTGAACCAAAGGAGTCCCTTTATATATGCTCTGTAAGGACTCCTCCTACCCCATATGATAGGCAAGAATGATGCCCTAGCACCAATCCCAGATCTAAGGTTAGTTGCATGGGCAGAGGGAAGGCTTACAATAAGGAAGCTCATCCATCTACTCCCATGATTTGGTTTTGTACCTGAACTAGCCATCACATACTTACAAGATCCTTCACTTAATTTAGCAGGACACTTAAACAGTTCTTGCAAGTCACTCATATGTAGAAGGTATGGGTGGGGGGCATACCCTTTTTTTAAACATTATCTTGGAAGGTTGTGGCTCTCATCTCTCCCTCGTAGTGGCTACTTTTATTCAAGCTGGCTAGACATAATTGGTTTGATGAAATGGTCATTAGGGCCACTTTCGATACACGAACTAGATGTCTTTGACAAGACATAATTTGCTCTGTCTTTCACTTACTGTGTTACTGTTTCACACAAAGAGAGATTTCGGCAAGTCACCCCAAATTTCTTTCAAAAACACATTGATATATGAATATGACATTGATATGGAATTTCCCCCAAAATAAAACTTGAGGTGAATTTTAGGAGTCCTTCTACATTGGAAAGCCACTTCCGCCCTGCAGAGGAGGTGGGATTGCGGGCGTCACGGCCCCACCAAGCGCGCTGCGACTGGAGCCCAGCCCCCGCGTGATTGGGGGAATTCCCAGCCACATCACCCCCTGGTGAGCTAATCGGCTGGCTCCAGAGGTGAGCTAATCGGCTGGCTCCAGAGGCATGGCCTGCCCTATTTAATACAGGCACAACTGGGGATCTCCCTCTTTTCCCACCTACCAGCTGTTCCTGTTTTCTCACCCTCCCGCCCTTTAATGTTTTTGTTCCTTGACCTTGCTATGGACCTTGGTTGGTCGCTGTTGAGGGGCCTGGTAGGAATTTTTCTTTTTTTAAAAAAATGATATTTATTAAAGTTTCAAAGAATACAAAAACAAAAAATAAAAATACAAGAACATACAAAATACAGAAAAAAGAATAAATTTTTTAAAATATAACAAAAAAAAAAAAGAGAAATAACGAAAGACATACAAGATAAAAACAGTTAAAAACACGTTAACTTTCCATAGCATATCTTCCTTACCCTTATTTCCCCGGACCTCCTCATACCTCCCTTTTTTGTATTCCAGTTCAGTTTGTTAGTTCAGCAAATCCTTACCATTAAGCTTTTACCCATTTGTAAACCTTTTTTCGTATCTCTGAATTTTTCCACTTGGCAAATTGGCACTAGCCACTTGGTTTTTGCCTACCTTGTAGCAAATCGTCACAATTTTCTGGGTATTGGCGGTTAGGCTAGTATAGTTCTGTAGATGGAAGAGGGGAGGAAGCGCCATCACCTGCCCTGCATATTGAAGGGTAGTCTGATAAAGGATTCCAAGGGGGGGGGGTGGTCCTGCCCAAAGCCTATGGAGGTGAGGGCCTAAGGCACACCCCTATCGGTGACCCCGGGGGAGTTCCTAGTTGATGTGCACCAGCAGGACTCCTCCACTGGTGGTTAACCCTTCCCGGACTTCATGCGGATGGGCTGAAGCCGGATGTAGTAGGTTAGGACCAGTGCCTAAGCCAATACTGCTCATCACCTGTAACCAATAAAGTTGTGGCCTTATTTAGCCCAATAACCTTAATAATTGTGTCATGTGTCTTTATATCCCCTGGGGGGTGGGCGGGAACTCACCATGCAATTTTACGTAAGCCACATTAATTTGTGAGCCTCTCTCTCCCCCCCCCCCCCGCAAAGTGAAATTTGAAGCAACTTTGAATTGATAGTTCTGCTTAGCTTAAACATAGATTGGAAATTAAGGAGAAGTTAAAAGAATGTTGATCTTGGGAAATTTCTTGTGGCTTTTTTTTTGGGGGGGGGGTTCATATACAGGTATGTTACCACTAAATGTTACACGGTGAAAATAGAGGTGAATTTGAGAAGACCTGGGTCTGGCAAAATGTATTTGGTGATTTTAAGGCATTCTTAAAATGCATGTATGCCACTACTGTGGCCTGTGTTTCATAAGCTCAAAAATGGAAAATGAGTGAGGTCCCAACTAAAGAAGAATGACAACTTAAGCTTACAGAATATGCACAGGTTGCAGACTTAATATAGAATAAGAGAACAAGAAGAACATATGTTTGGAGAAAAATGGAAAAAAATTATTGAATATATGGGGGGGATTGTGTACACTTGAAAACATTGGCAGCAGTAATATAAATTCAGCAGTGTAAATAAGTTTTGATGGATGTAATAATGGAATACTGAATGGTTTAGTTTTTGTAAAATATGCAGGGATTTATGATATGCAAAATGAACCAAGAAGAAGGGAAGTCACTGTTATTTTAAAGATGTTTAAATGAGTACTCTAAATTGTAAAACAGGGGAAAAAATTATATTAAAATGAGTAAAAAATAATTCTCTGTTCAAAAACTGATAGTTTTTGAAAGAGAATGATAACATTCTATCAAAGTTGAAGATGTGTCTGAAAGTTTTGTTCCTTGTTTTTACAGGCAAAGAAAGGCAACTACGCATTCTTGTGGGACGTTGCAGTAGTGGAGTACGCGGCATTGACGGACGATGAGTGCTCTGTGACAGTCATTGGAAACAGCATCAGCAGCAAAGGATATGGGATAGCGCTCCAGCATGGCAGTCCATACAGGGATCTCTTCTCCCAAAGGTAATACAAAAGTGCTCGGGCTTGAACCCCTTCCCCAAGCCGAGTATCCCATTTGCTGGCATTTAGAGCCTTGGCTAATCAGCTGCTTCTGGGTGAATATCGCTTGTAGCAATGCATTTCAGTTCTGTCGCTTCTTCAGGGTCACAGGATGGCCCATCTGGTTTTCAATTCAGGTGAGTATGGGGGACGCAGGGACAGAGGGGCAGTCCAGCTCTTTCTAAATTAGGACTAGTTCACAGGCGAAGAACTGTGTGAGAGTAGAAAATCATGGCTACAAATTAATGAAAACTGTCAAGTGGGGAATAATCAGTGAGAAATGTGTGGTTTATTATTCTATGTTCAAAGATAAGCAAATGAGAGGTGCTCCTAAGAGCCACTTTACCTTTTTCACAGCAACAAACCCAGGTTTGCTGCTCAACAGGAAGCTGCAGTCAACCCTGTCTCTCTAATGAGTATACCTGTATGATAATATGTTTCTGAGCACCTTTTTGCCACATTCATAATTCATGCTTCTTGCTCTGCTCTTTAAAATACCAGATGTATATTTCAAAAGCATAATGGGTTGGATCCAGGCTTCTTCTACTAGCAGAAAGAATAATTTTTTGACGTTCTGTGAAATCTCCTCGAAAATAAAGTAACAGAGGACCAGAATTACCATTTCATTAGGGCAAGTCCTGAACAACATGTCACCTTCATAATCAATATGTGCAATAGTGATTGCATTTGGTTTAGTGTGTCTTACTTTGGAAACAACACATGAGCATTCCTGGAAGTCTGAACTGACAATTTAGGTGGAAAAAAGGAAAGCGGAACAGGCGGTTACCTTGCTGAACACCACTAGCTTATATAATTTATCCTGGGAGTGTGGGATTGCATCAGGGGCACATGGGGATGTTTCCAGAAGCAGGAAAGGAAGCAGATGGCATATGTTATGGTTTTCACTCTGCAGAAATACTTCTATTCTTCTGTTCTATATATGATGCTCTTATATTCACTCTGATCATGATAAGATCAGGTTCAAGATGGATCTCCCTAAACTATAATCAAGTAGCACTTGACTTATACCAGGGCAGTTTTGGGGACTATCCAGGTCAGTCAGAGCTTTTGTCTGTTGTCATCCATCTGTCTCAAGTGTGCCATTGAGGGTAACGCCAAATAACTGGAGAGTTACAGTGCCTGTTGTGGCTGTAGAGACAAATATGGTGGAGACATGTTTTATTGTAGCTGGGGCAGATTTTGTACATCTTGTGCAAAATGTGTACATGACCAAGCCTGCGTGAGTCAGAGCAGCCCAGTCTTGATTATCTGTGGATCGCCAGGATCTCAGGCAGGGCTGTTTGACATCTTCAGCTATGTGCTAGTTTAGGATTGGCAGTGCTTCAATGGAAAATAATTCCCCACCACACACACTTGAATTTCTGTTTCCCACAATCTCTTTGGAGGAGTACAAAGCTGTTGTCAACGACTGGTATGATCCTTAAACAGAAGCACTCCTGGAGATTTAATCATCAGAGCATCTGTATGAAGTTTGCAGTTTTTGCCTGTGGTGCCTAATTCAGGGGTTTTCATGCCTGTCAGTTGTCAAACAAAATGGGGCTATGAATATGTAAGGTAGTGCTCTCTTAAGTCTTGCTGTGCTGATATGCAGTACCACAGAAGCTGATTGCAGGAAACCATGCCTAGCTCTGCAGTTACCTGTTGGCTTTTGTTTGGGGGTCAAGGCTGCTTCCCATCCCAATTCTGCCAGTGTCCATTGTTTTCTGTGTCCACATCTCACCACTCCAGTGCGAAAATCTGGCTGGACAGGAATTTGGCAAGCATTGTTAATCTATCCAGTTCAGTGTATGATTTGGAGCTCTTGGGACCTGGAACTATAACAAGGTCAATTTAATAAACCAATGGAAATGATAGGCAGGAGAACAAAGAAAGTATGCCTGTTCAGCCCTCTCATAGTGTGTAGGGAGGGGATTCGCTAAATGGGGCCTGACAGGTTGGGGGTTCTCTGCTGTACCTTTTCTGGCTATCAGATTTAGTATCCTAAGGTCTCTTAGTCAAGCCTTTCTTCATGCGCTGTTTTGTTGAGTAAGGGAGTGGCCATCGCTGCCTATAATGGTTTGCACAGAGGCCATTAGGACTTCTCCTGTAGTTGGAGACCTATTGCACCCCTACCCACAAGCACAGTGTTTGTGTGCTTCAAAAGCACAGCTTGATAGTGCTTGCTTCCTCTAACTGGTCACAGCTGGGGGTTGCTTTTCAACAGAGAGACGCTTCTGAACTCACATGTGAGGCCTCATTTGTACTAAGTAATGTTCTCAACATTATTTTTGACCATTATGCATGGCACCAAGATAATGCTGAGGAAAGACTTGTGCCACAGTTTGCTGAACAGCAACGGTAGCACCATTTCCACCCCACAAGTACAATGGTGGATCCAACCCAATATGTTGAGAGGCCCTTACTTATTCACAACTTTCTGAGTGTGTTGTTAATATTGATTCCTGCAAAACTTTACAGTGTTCATATTTCGTTCATTGTACAATTGGGTATACATTTTTTTGGTAGCACAAACCTTGCCGATTGTCAAATTTATATTCTTCCTTTGCAGATTTCCTCTGTGCAAGCTTTCCTTGTAGAAATATAATGCTTGTGGTTTTCCCTAAAATGATCTCTGCAGGATCTTAGAACTACAAGAAGCTGGATACTTGGATGTGTTCAAAGAGAAATGGTGGCCACGAATGGGACGCTGTGATCTGAACAGCCACACCAACGCACAGACGGATGGGAAGGCCCTGAAGCTTCACAGTTTTGCAGGGGTCTTCTGCATTTTGGCAGTGGGCCTGCTCCTGGCCTGTTTGGTGGCAGCCCTGGAGTTGTGGTGGAGCAGCAACCGTTGTCATCAAGAGACACCCAAAGAGGTCCATAACTTTTATTCTTATCACAATTAAGTGTAGAGAATGTAAAACTTACATCAAACTGAAGCTGTGGAAATCCAGTTCACTGGATTACAATTGCAGATAATTACATTTAAGCACAGGTTTCTTTCTTTTTAAAAAGTTATATCCTTTTTCCATATTTTTTTTTATAAAAAATCCCTAATGTTTGTGTTTTATGGAAGGTACCAAAATGTCAGCTCTGGCAACTAAAGTCCTGTATTTATTTATAGAGCAGATACAGCCTGGGCAGCAGCAGCACTGCAAACATTCCCACATTGCCCCACCATTGTGCCTCAACCTTGCCATGGAGAGACCATCTTTAGGGGTAAGAGAGTAGCTCAGGCACCATGCCTTTGGCCCCCTCTGTTAAAACTGACAGACAAGGATGTTTAGGGCTGCCTTAAATACACAGATTCAACACCTCCTGATTCTTGCAACAACAACAAAAATCCCATGTTTACCTGCTGGCCAAGCCTGCACCACATGTCACCTCCTCCTCGACCCCAAGGACTGCTTTTTGCCCTTCTGGTTTGGTGTTAAAATACTTGACCTGGAATATGGGAAGATTGAGAGCAAGTGTAAGGCTATTTACCTCACTTGGGGCCCTTATCTGATCTTTTGGTTAAGGCAATAGAAGCAATAATGCAGTCACCAGGTGACATGAATCTTGAGTAACAAGCTAGATAGGTCAGGTGGAATCTAGTGACTTCAAACCATTTAATAGTTTAACTATATTTTTTTTAACTTGGGTATACGCAACACATGATTCACCAAGACAGCTCAAATATAGTCATGTATTGTGATCTCACAGGAGCTAAACAACCCTTCCTGTCCCATTTTTTTGCAGTCCTAGGTACACCACAAGAGCATGAGGTTTATTGAGCTTCTAGTAGGGTCTGTGTTCAGCTTGGTGAATGTTTTTTTGGGGGGAGGGTGCATATGAAAGCCACTGAACTGGTTGTTTGTGAAATGGGGACTTGAGTAAGGCCTTTCCCAGGTGTCTTCTGCCACCATGGAGAGATTATTTCATTCCAAGATGTGAAGTCTCTATGGTAGTTAGTTGCTGTTAGCTGATAAAGCAGTCAGAGAGGGATTGCAGAGGATGATGTCAAAATACGGCAGCAAGGAACTTCAGTATGTTCCCATGTGCTCTTATGTAACTCAGTTTTCTTTGTGGAGGAAAATATCCCTTTACAAAGGCAGTGTGGGAGCAGTGCATAACTAAGGCAAGCTCTTTTAGAGAAATATGTAATGCTGTTTTCCTTTGTTTGAACAGATGAATGAATCTTTATTCCACTCATTAATAACACAATAAATCATTCAGGCCCCATCACTGGTTGATGTCCCCCCCACTTCTTGTCACTTTCTAAAAATAATACTCTTCAGAGCTAAATGAGTGGCTTTTAGTTAAGTATCTCTTATAGTCAGAATATGAAATTGCCTGTTATCAAAGGTTTTTCTTGCAAATATTTCAAAGCAATAATAATCAACCTGTCATAGCCATATCGTGCAAAGAGACAGCATCTGTTTGCATCCATTTCAATCTTTAACAACCTCACCTCTCTGTTGGGCTTTGAGACATTAAGGCACTTTAACCTTCTTTTCATCTTGAACAGATGCTTTGTACCAGAGGGTTATGACAGCAGCCACACCCCGACTGGGGAAGAAGACAGGGCCTATCACTTTTAATTTTTATTTCTGAATAGCCAGAGTGTTGCACTAACTGACATGCCTACCACATACAAACTGATGGGAAGGCTTATATTCTATAATGCTACTTGTCATTAACATTCCACTTGTCTGGATTTCTTACTTGTTCATTCAGTTTTGTCCTCCAAGTCTTCAGCTACCATGCTTCACATCCAAGTCAGAGAAATCATTTTGTATGTAAGTCCACTGTGCATTCTTTTCAAAGGGAACTTTTTTTTGGTCAAAAAATAACTTACTTAATTTGCTCACGTAGCCAAGAGCATCATGAATCCATTTCTTATTCACGAAGAGATGATGTGTGGAGAAATCCATCTATGGGCAAAGACACATTATTAGTATGAGGGCTGAAACCTTTAGTTCGTTCAGTTAATAGTGAGTGAACTAAAACTAAATTGAACTGAACACTTTAAAGTTCGGTCTTCTGCATGTTCATGGCAGTAGGGATGTTTGAGGAATTTGCTCTTTGTGGATTCCGATTCAAAGTAGCCTCTTAGACATACTGTAGATATTTCTTGAATTTTTCAGTTCTCCAAAATTGTGATGCAGTTCTAAGTTCAAAAGACACACCCAAATGTGTATTATATATATATAGTGTGCTTTGGGATTTAAAAAAATGCATACTATGAAGTAATAAAAAAAACTATTTAGTGAGAAAATAGATTCAAAAATACCATTCAAATACAAGTTTTCATGCATTATTATTATTATTATTATTATTATTTAGCAAAAAACCCCTCTGCAAATTAATGAAGAGGTGGGACATAACACCCTTGTGAAACTGACTCATGAAATAAATGCTGATTTGCCCTGTCAGTGTTGCCCAACTTTCAGGGCACAACTAGACATGATGTTGAAGAAATATATAAACCAACTGTGTCCCAGAGGTTGTTTTTTTTATCTGAATGCGGTGGGACAAGGCCTCATACAGAGCTGTGGAAAATGTGGCAGTGACATTTCTCTCCCACAGCATTTTCCTGACTGAAATTTCCCCCTGTGGCTGCTGTTTGTCCTGTAGGGAGAAACCTACAGTGCAGTTTTAATCAGACAAGAGAATTAGAAGTAGGGGAGAGATTAAGTTGTTCTGTCCCCCAGAATCATCATAGCCCTTGTTCTGTTAACTTTTTAAAAAATGGGTCATGGATTTCCTGCATCAAATCTACTTTCCCTATATTTGGGCAAGTAAATCCATTGAAGAAAGTAGGAACCGTTTCTGAGAAAACTTTGATAGGATTAGGATGTTAGTTGATGGTGTGGTGGTGGTGGGGAGGCAGCCAGGGTTAATGAGAACAATGTTTAATTGATACATTTAAAAGTTAAATGTTTAGACCTTTTGTTCTAGAATGCCACTTTAAAGAGAGAGAGAAATGTATTAAGGATTGTCTTTCTTTCCAAGGTTCACTCACTTCACTATCTCAAAATGGCACCTATAATGAATTAGCTGTTGGTGATACGTGCACACTTGTATAAATTGAATCCGTTATTGGTTGAAATGCAAAATATTATTTATAATCAGTGGACAGATGACCAATTAAAACGCATGCTTTCTACCCTGCATTTCTCACCACTTCGAACATGGAGGGTTATTGGTGCAAAATGGAATTGCTGATTTAATTCATTCAAATAGGGCCTATTTTACATCTTGCCAAACTGCCAGGTACATTTTTCTGAAAGGTGTGCCCAAAGTGTATCTCACACAACAGCCTTCCTCAGAAGTTGCTGGACTATAACCTCCATTGTCCACAGCCAGAATAGTCAAGGATAATGGGGATAGTCCAACAACATCTGAAAACCTAAGACTGGAGAAAGCTGCCATACTATGTGTGAATAATGCACAACTTTTTTAAAAAGTATGTCTACTTGTGGATGCACATGTACTTCAATTCATTGTCTGAAACCAGTTTCAGACATTTTGAGCTGGCAATACATGCACGGCCCATCACAGTGCATTTCACTCCTGCCTGTGTTGTGCTGGCGGCAGCCAGGAAGTCGCGATGTATTTGCCAGCTTGCCCATCTGCCTGTCTGCATGTTTGCCTTTGCCCAAGCAAGTTAGGCGGGCTGCCTCTTTCCTCCCGGTCAGTCGCAGAAAGAATGAGGCAGCCCACCCTGCTTGCAGGCAGGCAGATGGGAGAGAACCTTCTCAGGCTCCCTCTGCTGAGGCCGGGACTGGGCTGTGGAGGGAGCGAGTCACTAGGAACTCCTTTAACTGAGCAAGCAGGAAGCTTCCTTCCCTTCCTCCTGGTCGCTTCTCCCTCCCTCCCGAGCCCAGCCACTTTTTCAGATGTTTTTGGTGTTCGGGCATTGTGATATATCACAATGTTGAAAACCAGATACCATCCAGCCCTAGTCCTCAGAAGTGGTTTTTATTTTACAAGATATACCTGGAGTAGCTCTACTATTTTTGTAATATGCAAAGAGATTTTGAGAGGCATTTCCTTTCAGCCGTAATATCAAAGAGTGCCACTATTAAAAATAATATAATGAAAAGTCCTACCTATACAAAGTTCTTACAATGCAACACAGCGGTCATATTATTTCCCCAAGCACACGTAATACAAACTATGCCCCAAAGTTGTAGCCAAATACAAAAATGAATGGTTAAATAGAGGTCAACTTCTTTTTATATCAAGGTATTCAACTCTCCATTCATTTGGGAAGGGGGCTTTTTCGCCATTCTTTGCTGTTTCTCATTGTTGGGATTCTTTCTTTGTCTGCTTCTTGCACAGAATTCCAATGGGCTTCTGATTGTGTCCAGCTTCACTAATGCTTTGGAATCTGCAGTTTTGCTAATAGGACTGTCTCTTGGAATTGCCAGAGCCTAGTCATTGCTTGCTAAATGCTCTCTAACATTGCAAAATGCTAACCACCCATTTCTAAGATCTGCTTTGCCAGCAAGTAGGCACTTTGCATAGCCTACGCTCACTGGCCACTGTAGCAGTGCAGAATTTCAATCAACTATGCCCTGCAAGCACTGCAGGGATCTTACAGCCAGGATTTTAAGGCAAACCAACCATGGAAGATTTGATTGAAACATTTCGGGGGAATTTCCTCCTGGGGAGTATATTTTTAACCTAAGTTCAGTAGGAGGTGATACTTTAAGAAATGAAAAATGGATTAATAACTTTGGGTAGATCACAGAAACAGACAACTCCTCTCTAAGGTAGTATCTAGGCAGAGGAAGCCACTTTGATGCTGATCATGGCATGACTTGCAAGCTATTGCCTTGGCTACTTTTAGGTCTGAGATGGGGAATGTGTGACCTTCTGGATTCCCACTTCTGTCAGTACCAGGTAATATGGCTCATGATCAGAGATGATGGGAGCTGTAGTTCAACAATACCTGGAGAGGGACAGGTTCCCCATCATTTAGGTCATTGTTCCATCTTGAGATTATGGATGGTACTTACCAGGGCTTTTTCAGCTGGAACTCAGTTCCGGCACCTCTCAGGTGGGCGTCATTGCCATTGTAAGAGAACAAGGGAGGCATTCATGGTGAGTTCCGGTACGTCTTTTTCTAGAAAAATAGCATTGGTGCTTACATTTATGAAGTTCCGAGATACCTTACAGCTCCCTATCATCAGCTTGTTATTGAGTTTTCGCCTGATAACGATAAAAAATAATGCACACTGAACCGTCTAAACCTGTCCTAATTAATAATCTAATTTACATCATAATTTTATAGCAGTTCCTAGGGAGTCCCAGAAATTACTATCAAGGAGAGAGGCCCTCGGGCACATTTCAAGCCATCAATAAATCCTATTTTGCAATCTGTTGCGGCCATCAGTTAAAACAGGGTTTTTATGTAATCACATTGGGAAGGTAAGATGTAAAGGAGGACAGGTTCCCAGTACCTTTATTAGTTGTGTGGAAAAGGGACTTTCAACAAGGCCACCTTTAAATACTGTACTGGATTCAGTTTTGCTAAGTATCTTTCCCCACTCCCTAACCTTCATTTTCCTGTGTAGAGAAAACAGCTGTCTGTTAGGTCTGCTGCTATTAGCAGCTGAAAGCAACTTGTGTTTGCCTAACTGCTCCTTATCAGACCATGTGAAAAACATTCTTCTAGAATGTCTTTTGCCTCTTAGCAGCTTTCAAAGGGCCAATAGTGAGATTAGCACTGCAGGAGCTAAAATACTGGCATTTTGTTATTGTCAGTGCCTTCACTCATCTTCCTGCAAACCAATAATTTTTTGAAATCAGTGCACAAGGCTCTAGTGTGCAAAGCTTTTGAACTAGAGATGACCTGTTCCTACAGGTTTGCCTCTGGCACTGTAGGAGTGTCAACCATTTTTAATTTTTTTTACCTTTTTCTTTTTACAAGCCTAACCAGGTTTACATGTTTTGTGCCTTATTGTGATCTCTAATGCCACAACCATCATAAATACAATTTTATTGGTATTTTTCATGAATATTTTAAACTGCCTAGAGCTCTTTTGTTCTAGTAAGTGGTATATAATGTTTGATGTATCAACTAAAAGAAAACTTCCCCCTTTCAGTGTATTTAGCTTGAATAATACCATAGCTGTTAATGATGGGTGTATTCTAACCTACCTCAAAACATTTGCATCCTAAAAACTCCTGCTGTCTTAGAGTCAAGCTTCACAAGTGACAGTCCCATGTAATGTATCCAGTGATGGACAGTATCACTTCAAACTGTGTGTGTGAAACGTTTGAATGATCCCTCCTTCTGAACAAAAAAACTGTCTGCATATTTAAAGCAAGTATGCAAGGGAGAAGGACAGGCTACAAGTATCTCTCAAACATGCTGATTTTGTATTTGCAAGAAATATTTCACGTATGAGCATTCAATTATTTGATCTTTCTCCTGTATGTGAGGTGTGAATTGCTCTCACACTTTGTTTTATTTACTGAAATATTTGCTAGCATCTCTGCAGCCTGGGCTCGCCGAGTGGTGCACAGCATAAAAATGAAAATACAATAAATACAATGAATTTGATCACCCAGCAAATTGCACTACAAATTAGCATAAAATCATAAAAACTAAAGAAAAGGCTAGGGAAAATTATTCACCTGGCACTGAAGAGAAACTGGATATTGGTGCCAGGTGTACACTACAGAGCTATGTTACTTGCTGATTGGGCTCCTCAATAAATGGACTAAGTTGGAAATACTGTTCTCCATGCAATCTAAAGTAGTAGAGTCCAGCAAGGAATACATTGCATGGGATTTCTGATCATGTAGAATAGCTGCCAGAAGGAGGAACATTCCTTAGGGACTGAAAAAAATAACACCACAGGTTCTGCATAATGGTAGCCATTGTGTACCACCTGGATCCATTGTACTTAGGCATGTATCACCTCCATTTTTATTTTTATTTTTAAAAAAAGCACAACTGGGCCATTCATGCACTTTCAGAGTAGAAAATTAGCTGAACTGTTTTGGGAACTGGGTCCTTCCTCCTACTTAAAAATGAAAACACTGAAGACAGGAACCATGGTGCTCTCCAGATGTTGTGGACTCCCACCATCACTTTGGCCATGCTGGCTAGAGCTGATTGGAAGTGTCTTTCTCAACATCTGCCAGACAACAGGTTGACAACTCTCAACACAGACGATCACAGGCGTTGGCAAACTTGACCCTCCAGATGTTTTGGGACTACAACTCCCATGATCCCTAGCTAGCAGGACCAGTGGTCAGGGATGATGGGAACTGTAGTCCCAAAACATCTGGAGGGCTGAGTTTGCCTATGCCTGGACTATTATCTCTCTCTTTTTTGCCATTTCATCACTGTCTTCTCCCCCAACCCACCCTATTGCTGGCTGTTTTTCGTTTTACTGTTTTGTTTTTTCCAACTTGTGTTCCCTATTCCATGTGAAGAAAAATACAAGATTTTAAATATATATATATATTCCCCTTCATTGTATGTTTATATTTTACATTGCTTTTTAAATTATTATTTTTATGTATTTCAATCACATCTGAAATCTGTGTACTTTTTTTGCTAAAATTTCTCATATAAATAATCATCTGTATGTATCACTGCATTGTACTTTAATTTTCTAAGATGAAATAAACTTTTGGGAGCAGGAAATAATAATAAAAAATGTCACTGGCAATACAGGGCAGTAGAACAGTAGTACGCTAGCTACTACACAGGGCCAATTCACATCTGCAGCCTCTTAAATTTGCATTGCTTACAGTCCAGTCCTGTCTACAGACTGTCTACTCAGAAGTAAGTACTCCAGAGTTCAGTGGGGACTCAGAGTACAATGGGGTTTGGTATGAAAAAATGTGTTCACTAGGATAAATTCACACCAAAATGCTGGTGAATTTTTGCGAGGAAATTCACAAATTGTGGCAGAAATCTAGAGAGCAGAATTTAAGATTTCGAAAAAAATGAGAAACTGGGAGAACTAGCAGGTCCTTCCATCCCTAATTGCAGCCGTAATTGTGGTTAGATGACTGAGAGTTTGAATTTATCACTGATTCCATCGGAAAGTAATGTGTTTGAGGCTCTGTAAAATGGTCACACGCACTGGAAGCAAGTTATCACTTGTTAAACAATGGCCTGTATTCACTTATACTTACTAAGACAGATTTCTACCCAAACAAGCTACCTTGGAATGTGGAATCTCCTGTAGATTCCAGAGTGTAGATAGAGAAGAATGGAAGTCATTCTACTCTTCTCCAACACTTTTCAGAGAAATATCAGCTTATCATTAGCTCTTTACTACCATCTGAATGGAGTTCCAAAACTACCATGCAAATAGAACTTGAAGAGCTGTTGAAAACCTGGCCATTTGACAAACAGTTTTTTTGTGATAGGTGGTTGGATAATTCTCGGACATACAGTCTTAAATCAAGGTACTGAACTGTTTAGAAATCTGGACTACTCTAATCTACCAGCATCTCTGTTCCAGGGGAAGAGTGAGGAATAAGGGGAGGGGGTGATTTACGTGTTCCCACTGCAACTTTCCAATACACGAGACAAGGAGGGCACTGAATGGCCCAGCCATGTTATGAAATACTATGAGTTAAGCTCTGTACCAGGCTTAACTTGTACAGAGAAAATTATACCAAAATAGAATCCTGTTCCAAGCAAATGGGACAGAGCTGCCAGTCATCCAAACACCTGCCGACATGCACACAATTTGAAATACTTTCCTACATTGGCCTCAGTGGTTACTGTGAGCCTTCCTCCTCCACCACCAAATAAACATATAAAGCACTCCTACAATGTAGCACGAATTGAGATTACCTAATTTATTGGTGAAAATTGTATACTTCCTTTTCCCCCCAATATAAAATCCTTTTTCGGTATCCAAAATGGTGAAGAAAATAGCATTTTAAGAGTATGAAGTACACCAAAATTAAAAATGAAAACCTCCAACAGAATCAGACAAATTAACCTGGACCATGCCAGTCACTTTCAGTACTTTGGGTGCATTTTTAGTGTGATGTTTATGTCACAAATAGGAAATATCTGAATTAGCTGGTTGAAGGCAAACTCGTGACTGAGTGCACAACTCCGCCAAAAAAATCAGAAATGGAAGGCAACCAGGTCATGTCACTACTAATTCCAGGCCAGGTCACACGGAAAAACATATATGGATTTGTTTGAATGGTTTTACTCATATCCCAGATGATATGTACTATCATTTTATTCATACTTACTTGGAAGCAAATTTATCCAGTGGGGCTTATTTCCAAGTAAGAGTACATTGAAATGCAATGCAGGTATAGCTGAAATAAATCAAAACCTGCTTTGAAATGACTATTTCACGTCATGTGGCATGTCAGTGATGGGTGTGATTCATCAGCAATGAAAAAATACCAAGGGTAACACATTAATCTGAGAAAAATAGAAAGTATTTCTTCCACTCCCACCGAAACCCCAACACACTTTGGGGTGTGTCTGGCATATGCTGAAGGGATGGGGGGAAGAGTTCAAATAAAAGATGCAGACATTTTGCTTACTATCATCAGTGTTGCATGACATGGGTATGCCAATATCTGTCATCACTATGTGTACATTTCTTAGAAGCCACACTATTTGATCATTTCCCCCTCCCTCTTCTTCTTCTCTGTTTTTTTGCCCCTTGGAGATTGCCCATGAGGTGAGGCTGGGTCTCAGAACCATGGTGAGCATTTATAAAATCACACATATATATATATATTTAAAAAAATAAAAATCTATGCTTGCAGTCACTCCCTGAAATCTCCAACCTTTCCACCCTCCCTGCCTCTTTTGTTGCCTGTAGTGAATGCACACCTCAACTGCACAAAGCACACATTTCCTCAGTCTACAATGCTGTCATTTCCAAACAATTTCATTTTCATACCTCTTGGCATGAAAATAAAAAAAACCCTCATGTGATGTCACATTTTCCTTAAAAATGTTATTGTACATCCTTTTTTGCTGCTTTTTATCTGTATTGTTCTGAGTCAGTGTCAGACCATTGATGCATCGGGCCAGTACTGTCCATGCCAACTGCTTTGCCAGGCATAGATGCCCTTCCCAAACAGTGCAACTGAGTTCCTTATAACTAGATGTGCCAGGGACAAAACCTGAGACCTTCTGCATGCCGTGCACGTGATCACCTACTGAGCTATAATCCATTCCTTAACCTTACAAAACCGACTACTATATATGTATAGACACACATTCATTGCTGCTATTGGAGATCTCCCTCAATCCAACTCTAATTAAAGGGTGTGCAGAACCACAGGAACTCCTCAAGGGAATGGGCCAGTCTATCTGAAACCTGGCTTGGAGTGCCCATTCATGACTGTTTTGAAATTCCAGCTGCTTAGTTAATGCGAAAATACCTTAAGTATATTGGAGTACAATTCATTTTCCTCATGTTAGAGAAAAAAACAATCATGTCTTTGATTATGTCTGTAATTCCTGATGATTCAGTCTGTCAATCCAGGTTTCTTTCTTGTGGGAAAGTAACCCAATGAAACATGGACTCGGTGAGCCCCAATGATGTATTTCCCCCCCATAAATGCAAAGCATGAAAATGTTTTTCCTCTGTAATTTGAAGAATTCAACAGAAGCCTATAGAGTTGCATTAATGCTAGTGAAATGTATCAACAGGTTCGACATGCTGTTTGGTTGCAGTTGGAGTTTGGCCAGAATGAAATTCAAAGCAAATCTGAAAGTCCTTCCTCAAGTGAGGAATTCCAAGGGAATTTAAGCCCAACAAATTTCATCTGTGGGATGAGAGTAGTTTCATACATCCCTAATTTTAGCTCTTCCACCTGGCTGTTGGGAAGTAATTAACATGCCAGGTTCCCAGAATACAGATATTTTGGCATGAGGAACACATATTTGGAGGTCTGTAAGGTTTCAGCAGGCTATCAGATGCATTTTTGTCACAGCAGCTAGAAAACAACCTTTGCTAAAAACAATGTTGACTCACACCGGGAAATATTGTCAATTATGCCAACAAGGCCTCATTTTTAAAATTTGTTTTGCTTAAAAGCCTCACTATCGATCTTAGTTAGGCACGGTATAGAGAAAACAGAAAGAGAAGCTGTCTGTATCTCATAATACTACAGCTCAAGGGCATCAGACACAACTGACTAGGGCTGGATGCAGGACAAACAAAATAAAGTAGTACTTCACACAGCACATAATTAATGCATGGAATTGATCGCCACTAGCCTAGATGGAGCTTGTCTATTTATTATTTATTTTTAAACAAATCTACTTTGTCTATTTCCCCAAAGGAGCTCCAGACAACTAGAATAGTTCAAACAAAACAAAACAAAACACAGCAAAATAAAATTTATCAAAGGTTAGAAGGCATTATGGTTATATGGAAACTTCACATTCTGAGGTAGCTGCTGGCTTCTAGTTGCTGGGGAGCAACAATATGAGAGAGCTTCAAGCCATGTTTGTGGGTCCTCTGGAGGAATAGGAACATAGGAAGCTGCACTGATCCATCTAGCTGAGTACTGTCTAAGCTGCCCGGTAAGCTTGTAGAGAGGCAAGCTTGCCTGAGTCTTTCTCAGCCATGCCTGGAGATACCAAGTACTGAACCTTTGATTTTGCATGCAACACACTGCCTGTAGCACTGAGCTATAGCCCTTCCTTATCTGGCTGAATACAGTGAACAACAGGATGCTATGCTTGATGTACCTTTGCTCTGATTCAGGAGGGCTCGGCATACGCTTTTTCATTTTGCACATGGTTACTCAACAGTATCACCCCCCCCCCAAAGAAAACAATCAATGGCTACTTGGTAATTATTATGGTATGGGGTTGCTCGTGCATAAGTTGCCACCTCTCCTGGCTATGTTGCCTTGTTAAACCTTTCTGTCTGGACAGCCCTTCAATTCGTGGCTGCCTCAGTCGCTAGCAGAATCCGTCAGTGGGTGTTTCTTAAACCTTTTCCAACATAAAAGTTGTTTGACACCCAGTCTCCTCCTACTTTCTCTGCGCGGAAGTCTTCTGCGCAGGGAGGGCGTGGGTAGCGGAGGACCAGTGCTCTCCCCGCTGGTGTCCGGTGAAGAGTCTGGGAGCCCTCTCGCCGAGTCCCGCATCTGCCCCTCCTTATTCCTGGTGTTGCACTGAATTGCTTCCCCATCTGCTGAGCTGCCTCTCTCCCTGCTGGGCCCTTCTCCAGCATCATTTGAGAGCCTTCCCTCCACCTCTAGCTCCGATGTCAGTTCCCTGACAGTAGTGCTATTGCCTTCTACTGCTCTCATCTTGTTTGAAGATCAGCAGACATTAAGAAATCTGTTTCAAGCGACCAACACCAAAGCATCAGGGTGCTGCTTGGTATTTTCTTAGAATTTCAGACTCACCAGCACTCTGATGCTTCCCAGAAACACGAGACCACGTGAGCAAAGGCAAAATAACATCCTTTCTTTCAGTTCTGCTTTTTAAGTACGAAAATATTTTCAAGATTATTTCCTTGCAAAAGGGATTGTGCCTGGTGAAATTATCTGAAATTATGTTGTGGTCAACAGTTGCATTTGGTTTACCTTGTAGGAAGGTACTAGTCATTGTGTGTGTGTGTGTGTGTGTGTGTGTGTGAGAGAGAGAGAGAGAGAGAGAGAGAGAGAGAATATGATAAAAGGGAATTGGCCTATCTGAATGCTTTCTATATGACTATTAAGAATGTGCTTCTGTGAGAACAGTATGCTGGATTAGCTGTGCCACTAGCATGACCCAGGCTCATTTTATAGCCGGTCCCATGTCAGCAGGGGGGCATAGTCGGCCCACTGTGTCACTGTCCTGGCTGCCACGCCCTGCCCAGTCGGCCAACCAATAGGGCTGGTTTGTGGGCGGGGCCAAGCCACATTCAAGTGTATGTGACAGCCTCGTGGCTTCACTCTGTTGCCCGTCTTGTGTCTTATTTATCCTAAGTGGGCAGAGGGTCCTCGACTCATAATTCCTGTTTTCATAGAAGTGGATAAAATTTTTGGTCATTGTAGTTCCCCCCCCCCAATGGATTATGCATGCCAAATTATAAGAAGATACACTGGGTGTGTGTGCAGGGCACCTTTAAATTTTGATTTTTTTAAAGAAAGGCTTTTAATTTTCTGCCAGAATGGGAGAAGACTGCCAAATTGATTGATGCAATGGTTCTTTCATAAGGGCAGACATTAATGTTAGGGTTGTGACAATATGAATTATTGGGGGCAGGAGTGGGGGAAAAGAACACTGATCTCTAGGAAAGACTGACGTGTGGAACATCTCACTCATATCTCACAAAGACCCTGTTACCTCAAAGCATTCCCCTGAATTTTTGGAGATACGTGGAAACGTCTCCATTGATTTGCATGGGGGAGGGAGGTAACAGAAAAACAGGATCTATCTCCAAGAAAAACTGGTGTGAGGAAAAAGGAAGCCCAGGAAGAACTCTTTTTACCCAAAGGTTCATTGGTTGTGGGATTCTCCTCCACCACCCATGAATTTTTCTTGGGCTGAGAAATCTGTCCACTGACTTGCATTGGGGAATACATAGATCACTGTGAAAAACTAACAGTTTAAAATCCCCCCCCCCAATCCTTGTGATTGGGAATGTCTTGGGGAAATCATTCACTGTGAATAAAACCTATACCTATGTGTCAAAATGAAATATTCTCCCAACTCACCTCTCGGGATGAAGGACAAATTGGAAGGCAAAACTACATAATTCACACTTCCTGAAACAATGTACAGTGGTACCTCGGGTTACGAACTTAATTCGTTCCAGAAGTCCATTCTTAACCCAAAACTGTTCTTACCTGAGGCGTGCTTTTGCTAATGGGGCCTCCCGCTGTGCCACCAGCACGTGATTTTCATTCTCATCCTGGGGCAAAGTTCGCAACCTGGAGCAACTACTTTCGGGTTAGCGGAGTTTGTAACCTGAAGCATTTGTAACCTGAGGTACCACTGTATTGTACCAAAATATAGCCATCCTTTGATATTTGCACTTTCCTGAATTTTGCAATACAGTTCTGCATGTTAATGAAAACAATGTACAAAGTTGCAGGGCATAAGGTGAAATCTTGCAAAATGTGTTGGGCAAACTTCCCTACCAAAAACGTGTGCAAAAATTCACATTAAAATGTTGATGAACTTTCATGAAATGAAAACATGTGTGCCCTTATGGCTGGAAAAAGGAGCAATGGAAAGGAAGCATAATGGACAGAGTATCTCATCCTTACCACCTCAAGCTCTGGGCATTTCCCCAGTTACAAGGCCTTTGGACAGTCAAGGAGACAAAGCCATTAGAAAGCTTAGGCAATGTCTGATGCACCTTATCTTTCTGAATCGAATTGTGCCACCAAGAAGGTACCATAGGGTGCATGAGAAACCTTTTCCTGTATTGTCCAGATTTGCCTTGTTATTTGGGATGCCTACAGAGCCAATGAGCACACCTTAATGGATAGGGCACAGTTTTATTTATATTTGAATAACAGATTCAGAAGAAACGGGCAGGTCCCATCATAGGCCTCTATAGATGTACAATACTGATTTGAGATCTTCCCACATGATCCATTCATCTCATATCATTCCAGTATTTATTTCAAATGTTATTATCCATCCATGAGGAACTGGCAGCTATATTTCACCCATAACATGATTTGACCCACAGCAAGAAGACTGTAGGGATTAAATCATTCCATTGCTTCTGAAATTGAAGTGTTCGTGTAAACCAAAAGTCTACCCACCATATGCCACCTTTAATTCACTCTTCTCAGACCTTACATCTGAAAATGACAGACACATTGGCTAAAGAGACCCTTTCATAGTCTCTTTCAGACTGCTTCATATGTTCCAAGAAGTAGTGAAAGAATATATATCTAGAAATTCCTATATGTGTTTAGATTTCCATTGTTGCATAAAAATAAATCCACCACAACAGGGGGGGAAATTGTCATATAAGACAGTTAAAACATTTGAGCAGAAGCTTCCTAGCCAATAATATGCCAGTGTACAACAAATATTAACCCACTTGCCTAATAGCTGTTTTGTTCACCCATAACACTCTTTCCCCATTTTGGTTATTGCGCCTTTCTTTATTTTACTTTGTATCATCATTTCTTTCAAACTCAGATGTTTTGTCTTGCTACCTTAGCTTGGGCTAACCTAGTTGCCCATTCCAACTTTCTTTACATTTACACTCTACTTTCCAGCAAACTAATGGTTGTGGTTTGAGGATCACTACCTCCCATCCAATTATTACCTTGTCAATTGTTCTTTTCTTTTCCAAGCTATAGTAACTTACTCTGAAAATAGCTTGCCTTGCACTGGCTTCTGAAGCAGAGTATGTTAATAAACTTCTTTGGATACTTACATTTTGAAATATTTAGTCTCACAATGGATCTGGAGGAAGAAGGGGGCTAAAATCTAACCACATGTAAACTGTTGGGTCTGCCATTAACATGGAATAGATGATAGTATTGGCCTTGATGATATTTACAATTAAATGCAAGAGTATCAATACGACTTGACTCAGCTCCTGCTGGTTCCCCCCCCCCATCAGTTCAAAGGCTTCTCTGCCACCTTTTTGATATGGAGTGACAACTGTCTGGTTCCATCTTGATTCAAGCAGAGTATGTCCCTCTTGTCCAGGCCTGGCTTATCTCAAAATATTCCCCAGTGCCTAACAAATCCAACCCCTCCTCCTGACACCAATTTCCGATTCACACATGGAGGCTACATGGCTAAAGCTGTCTGGCTGTCTCTGCACATGGAACTGGTAGCATTCATGAGAAAGCTATCATAGAGGTCCTGGCTTCCAACAGCCTGCCTAGCAACTTTTGCTTCTAGGACCCCAATGGTTAGATTTGTATTTGTGGAATCATAGAATCATAGACTTAGAAGGAACCCCAATGGTCAATTGGTCTAACACCCTGCAGTTCAAGAAACACAGCTAAACCCCCCTGCCAAATGGACATCCAGCCTCTGTTTAAAAACATCAAATTAAAGAGAGCCCACTACCTTCTGAGACAGTCCATTCCACACTCAACAGCCCACTACCATCAGAAAGTTCTTCCTAATGTTTTCTCAGAATATCTTTCCTTGTAATTTGAATCCATCAGTTCATGTCCTCTGGAGGAGCACAAAAAAAGCTTGCTCCATCTTCCATGTGACAGCCCTTCAGATATTTGTAGATGGCGATAATATCACCTCTTAGAATTCACTTGTCCAGCCTAGGCTAAAAGTCTGAGATATCAAATAGTTAAATAAATTAATAATAATAATAATTTATTATTTGTACCCCGCCCATCTGGCTGGGTTTCCCAGCCACTCTGGGTGGCTTCCAGTCGAGTGTTAAAAGCAATACAGCATTAAATATTAAAAACTTCCCTAAACAGGGCTGCCTTCAGATGTCTTTTAAAGATAAGATAGCTGCTTATTTCCTTCACATCTGAAGGGAGGGCGTTCCACAGGGCAGGTGCCACTACCGAGAAGGCCCTCTGTCTGGTTCCCTGTAACTTCACTTCTCACAATGAGGGAACCGCCAGAAGGCCCTCGGTGCTGGATCTCAGTGTCTGGGCTGAACAATGGGGGTGGAGACGCTCCTTCAGGTATACAGGACCGAGGCCGTTTAGGGCTTTAAAGGTCAGCACCAACACTTTGAATTGTGCTCAGAAATGTACTGGGAGCCAATGCAGATCTCTCAGGACCGGTGTTATGTGGTCCCAGTGGCCACTCCCAGTCACCAGTCTAGCTGCCGCATTCTGGATTAATTGCAGTTTCCGGGTCACCTTCAAAGGTAGCCCCACGTAGAGCACATTGCAGTAGTCCAAGCAGGAGATAACTAGAGCATGCACCACTCTGGCAAGACAGTCCACAGGCATATACCATCTCATCATTTGTCTGCTTAACTTGCCCTGATTATTTGTCCGCTGGGGGGTCCCTGTAGTTTCTGGAACAGGTTTGGTCGCTTCGTAACATAGAAGAGATCTGGAATATAGCTCCAGTCTGATTTAATAAGTGCCAGTAATTGCCAAACTAAGCCCAGCAAAACTGCATTCTGAATGCAGTCAGCAAATTTTATGTAGCATTAAGTGATGTTTGACTAGGTCAGTTGACAGTGCTAAATTAATGTACACCACTGAGTCTTGTTTTCCACATGTATCTATGTTCAGTGATTACACCTTGCTAAGTACTGAAAACCTTGACTAATGAGGGTGTAAATTAATGTATATTAAAAGCCAACTGTTTATTCATCTATTTAGCTTAACAGTGCATAGCGGTTACTTTAAAATCACAACAAAATACATGTGTTACTCCCATTTCTTCCCTTTGGCAGGCGATAATAACTAAACCTACTCAAATTCTGACAGAATGAATTGGAATTATGGCCTTGCAAATGGACTAGACAAATTGGAAAGTATTAACAGAGGGAGTGAATGCAGAATTATTAAAAAAATTATTCCCTTATGGATTATATACATTATAAGCATGGGGTGCCTTTGGTCAGGTTTCAGGCAGCCACGTTCATGGAAACATGACTGACATCCTCAATTTTTAAACTAGAAGTACAATTCTTCATGTCACATGGATTACCATCATGCGAAGTGATTATATGCACACCGTGGTAAGATACCACTTGGCCAACAGTCATTTATGTTCACCTTCAATGTGAGATTTTTGGAACAAGACATTGGCTTGCTTCCAGTTGTGAATGACTTAGCAGAAACTGCTTCTGCTTACAAAAGTCAAGATAGCCACCGCATATTACAGGCCTTGACATCATATCTCAATCTGTTCCAGAGAGTCTCCCAACTCTCAGTTGCAGCTTTTGGGGATCAGAGAATTGTAGAGTTGGAAGGGACCCCCATGGTCATCTAGTCCAACCCCCTGCAATGCAGGAAACCTGCCCACAGCCATCCCTGGGTGGGCTTGAACCACCAACTTTCTGGTTAACAGCCAAACACACTGACCCATTGTGCCATGGGAGATGGGAGGCTTTGAGTGGATAGGGGGATCAGCCAAAACTAAGTGCCCCAGCTTTTAAAAGTGGGTGTGATTTCCACTAAGGCAAATAAATCATTTAATGCAATCTATTGTTTTTCACTTCATATTAAATTCAAGACAGTGCCATTATAGTGAACGGTAGGTATATATGCTATACCACTGTTTTCATTTCCATCTATTTTTCTTCACTTTCCATATATTATGCAGATGCATTTCTGCATCACCTGTCTTAAAACAAATCTCTTTTACATTTAAAGCTAATGAAAATTGATATCTTCATTAGGGACTGTAAAACAAAACATTTTCTTGTGGCATTTGGAATATGATTTAACGGCATTATCATATCTTACGCCTTCTGAGATGGAAAGTGCCAAGTTGGTATATTAAAGTTTTCATCTCTTTTAGCTAGTGTGCCTATGTTCCTCCTTTAAAGTCACTACAAATAAACTACATTTGCTGTAAAAACCAAGAGGGCACTTTACAGATGAAACTCACTTCCCTCTATAGGACTATACTGTTCATCATTTCCTCTGATTGGTTGAATCCAGGTAGTGGACAGTTAGACAAATGCACTGGCATCATCTTTTTCCCCCTTTCCCTTTTTAAAAGAGGGGATGGGACAAAGCATCTTCAGATTTCATATAGTACACCCAAATTATAAGGGGGCCACTTCAGATATTTGGCAATCGTCTTTTATTTATAATTTTTATTTGGATAAACAACAAGGACGTAAGTACAGAGTTACAGAGAAGAAACCAACATGACTACCTCACACAGGTCAATCCTGGTGCAATGAAGTCACCCAGCTGACCAGAAAAAAAACAGGTCAATCTGACCTTTTTCTTTACACTTGCTCACTACTAGATCTCTGCCACTCCCTACCCTACCAGAGAGCCAGTGTGGTGTAGTGGTTAAGAGCGGTAGTCTCGTAATCTGGGGAACCGGGTTCGCGTCTTCGCTCCTCCACATGCAGCTGCTGGGTGACCTTGGGCCAGTCACACTTCTTTGAAGTCTCTCAGCCCCACTCACCTCACAGAGTGTTTGTTGTGGGGGAGGAAGGGAAAGGAGAATGTTAGCCGCTTTGAGACTCCTTAAAGGGAGTGAAAGGCGGGCTATCAAATCCAAACTCTTCTTCTTCTTCTTCTTCCCATAAAATCCCAATATGGTTGCCATAATACTTTGAGTAATGCCAGTTTTTCTGATTAAATATTAGTGGCAAAATTTTCCCCTCCAACTGGCCATGTTGCCTTGAAATACAAATGACATATTCTAGTTTCTATTCAATTAGCTTTTTAGAAAAAGACTTCCTAGCATAGATGTCAATGTTGGTGTTTCTCAAAACTCTTGTTTGTTGCAGATAAACGTAATTGGCTCCCAGCTCAAAATACATTTGATGTACTGTCAAGGGAAGAATCTTTTTGAAAGATGCACACAATTATTCATTAAGGAAGTTGACTTTGCAGGCCATATCTGTTGATAAGTTTTTCTTATTTACCTGCAACTGCTTCAAGCTTGGATGATGCTAAAGGGGTAGCATGATTTTCACTACTCTATCCTACTTTACTCTCGTAATGTCTCTGTGCACAGAGATGGTTCATAGCACAATTGCTTCTTGTGCCACTACTGACTTTCCACGGGGGCAGAAAGACTTCATATTGGGAGTACCCAGATCATTATCTTGTCCCATGTTGTTTCCTATCTACAGACATTAATGGGCTGGAACAATGGGAAACTCTGTGGTGGGCCATGGAAATACTATATTGTACATAGTTGAAGCTATTAATGTTAGCGCAACTATTTGCCCTCTAGCTTCCTGGACATTTGTTAATCAGCTGAGCAATATCTGACAGGAAGAAATGTCCCTCCAGCTTGCATTGGCTCTGTTAAGTTGTGGGTCAACATATCAGACGACACAGCGATTCTTCAAACAGCTCTTGTTTATTCACAGGCCAGAACAGAACTGAACTGAAGGGTTCAGCCAGCCTGCTTATATAGAGCTCCACTAGAACGCGACAGTAACCATTTTCTGTAACTATCCAATCACTGAACGTCACTTTCAATCCCTTATTTGCATATGTGGACCTGAGTGAAAACTATCTACAGTATCCCCCTGCTGGCCCAGGGTGAGAACTTCAGTACATAACAGGCTTTATGACTTTCATATAAAGCAGGGTGATTTGGATAGTGCATGGGGCAAGTGCCTGGGTATATGGTGAGGGTTGTGGTGTACACTATTCCTTGTATTCACAGTAGGCTTTACTATTTTTTTCTGATGCTGAATTTATAGTCATAATCCATATCCAAACATTTAACAAATGTTTGTGCTGCTCCTCTCCTTCATCATCTCCAATACCCAGTGTTTTCTTTCTGTATCAACTTCTGAGACTTTTGTCCACGACAGGCCATGTCTTGCATAGGTTACAGTTAAGTTCATATTTGCTAGTCTTCTGTCAAGCTGATGGCAAATTATTTGCCCCACCACTACGATCCTGGCATCTATCCCCTTACATTCCCAGGGCCACTTCATGCACGACATTTCGAATAAACAATGGAGGAAACCAGTGTGAGTGAAAAAGCATTATCTGTTGCTGTGCACATCAAGAATCTGTTGTGTGCACTGAGAATCCACTGCCAATTGTGGTTTCTCAGTGTGGGTATGTGAAATAAATCAGACTTGTGATGGTGCGTAACAATATAATCAAGGGCATTGAGTTGGTCTTAAGAGTCCACACCATGAAATATCAGAGACATTTGCTTTTGTTTTAGCCATGCAAGGATCAAATGACCTAAAGGCAAAAGGATTTCTGCCTGTAATATTATGGAAATCAACAGTTAGGGTGATAAAGTGATCTGCCATCTGTCAAGGCTTGGGCCACCATGTTTAGATCAATCCACACAACCTGTGACTCATCAAGCACACCCAAACCACTGGTCATATACTATCAGGTGTTTGACAACCACCGACTTTTCTAATTCCACTGTTAGAAAACAACAAGAGGAGGTTTATTAAATAGCTAGTGGCCCACCATACATGGCTGGTGAGTTAACTGGGTAGGTCACAAGTTATGGAAGGCTGATCTAAATCAGCAAAGATAGTCAAAGGAGTCTCCATAATAACAGCCTAGACCCAGAGGCCACAAAGACATACATTTAGGCTTTACTGTGGGCAAATTACAGGACAAATTACATGGGAACTAGAAAAACTTGTCACCACTTTCTCTTTGGATGGGAATAGAGCCTCCCCAATACTTCAGGATTAATAAACTTTTCTCTCTTCTCTCATAGGATAAAGAAGTGAACCTGGAACAGGTCCACAGACGTATGAACAGTTTAATCGATGAAGATTTAGCTCACAAGCAACTCTCCCCAGCATCCATCGAAATCTCAGCCTTGGAGATTGGGGGCATGCCACCCAGTCAGACCCTAGAGCCTGTCCGTGAATACCAGAACACACAACTTTCTGTCACCTCCTTTTTACCAGAACAGACAACTCATGGTGCCAGCAGGACACTCACAGGTGCCTCTGGTAGCAACCTGCCGCTGCCTCTGAGCAGCTCAGCTACCATGCCCTCTATACAGTGTAAACACAGATCACCAAATGGAGGACTATTTCGTCAGAGCCCTGTGAAAACCCCCATCCCAATGTCCTTTCAGTCTGTGCCGGGGGGAGTCATTCCAGAAGCCATGGAGTCGTCCCATGGAACATCCATATAATGAAATCGACCAGCAAAGATTTTTAATACAATTAAAAAGAACTCTTACATTTTTCTTGTACATATCTGTAAATAATGAAAGAATGAAGTGGGGTAAAAAGTGTATTTTGAATATTCCCAATTTTCAAAGTCAGTAAAAAACAAACAAAAGAAAAAAAGAAAAAAAAGAAAAATGTATGAATGACTTTGTAAATTTTGTTCTCTATGAATAAAAAAAAAGGCAAACTACTTGTGACCATTCTCAAGTGCCAAAGAAGACCTGTTAATGGGACTGAGGGCAGTAAAATATTTCTCCAGATTTTAACTGGTACTCCCTTTTTTTGGTTCATGTTCTAATTTCCTACTTTTAAAGCAGAGAAAGCTATTTCTTGCTGGAAACCCAGTCCTGCCATTCTGTTCATTTATTTTGCCCCAGATTCTGCTGTTTTATTAAAAAACACAGTCCTCCTAGGAAATTTAATGGTGCAGACACATGCAACAATGCCTAAAATGCCACTAAAATTGTGCAGACAATAAATTAAGGACTCCTTTCTCATGACAAGGATGAAATGGTCATTCTTTATTGCATTGCGCTGTATGCGCAGCTTCTGCAAAAATATGTATATATATATATATATATATGCAAGGCCCTATCCAACTTTGCGTTTGAACAAAGGTAGGAGAGTAGGTAAGATAGTATGTGGATCCAGTTTGAAGAGCAGAATTTGCACCTATAGGAATTTGGTAGAGGGGAACAAAATCCAGAATCCTAATGTGCCTCATGATGGGAAACATCCCCAGCTTTTGTATTTAGGCCCTATCTCTGCAGCCCCTGCAGCTGCATTGGAGCTGGAGTAGAATGGCAACCACAATCACCTGTTTGTGTGCAGGCTTCCCAATGCAGGTAGATGTCCGCGAAAGTCTGTTGGGTCAGATTGACATCTGCATGTGTGTTCTACAGTTTGCAGATTCATTGCCAGCCATTGCTTAGCAGTTTGGCTCTTTTGTATGCATGTTCCTTTATTGCACATTGGGTGGAGCTATGACTTGATAGAGCCTTATCTGTTGCTTTATCTGACAGGGAGGATGTGATCATGCTTCAGTGGCCAGTTAGGGTCTGGGGGTGTTTTTGTTTCTGTTATGTTTTGGGGGACCACTGTCTAATAGGAACAACATTCTCTGTTACCAGCCTCGTTCTGAATGACATGGCTAATCTGGTAATTAGGAATTGCAGCTTCTGTTTGGTTTTCCATTTTCCTCTGTGGTTTAGACTAGGCATGGCATTCAGCTAGGCAGTCATGTGTCAGGTTATCCCTTTCTTCCTCTAACATTCAGGTAGGCTTGCCTTTATTGTAATACCATCATGCTGTATGGTTTCTCTGCCCCATCTCACAAACTCAGGCAGTTGTTTTGGGTCATTGCCTTCAGTTAGGGTTGCCATATCTTGAACAAAAAATAGGACAGCCTGAGTCAGGGAAAGAGGCACAAGGGGTCTCTACCATGCCTGTTTCCCTGGCTGGGGCTAGCAAGCCCTAGCCCAGGCATCCCCAAACTCAGCCCTCCAGATGTTTTGGGACTACAGCTCCCATCATCCCTAGCTAACAGGACCAGTGGTCAGGGATGATGGGAGTTGTAGTCCCAAAACATCTGGAGGACCAAGTTTGGGGATGCCTGCCCTAGCCCAACCTACCTGAGCCTGAGCCCAAGTCCGAGCCCAAAAAACCCTCCAAAACCCGGACATTTCCCTTAAAATCTGCTTGGATGGGCACGTTGGTCCCCCAAAAGAGCACATATTTGGGTTTTCCCGGCTGTATGGCAACCCTACCTTCAATTCTACCATGTGTTGTTTCATTGAATATTGTAACCTTGTCATTAATCCAGAGCTCTCTGGTCTACACATGGAGCAACAGGATGTGAAGACTTCCTGAACCCCTTTGGTTGTACTGCACACTTCCATTATTTCCACTTCAGTATACAAATGGAGAATCATATAATAGCTCTTCCTAGACAGCACGTCAGACTACAGATAGGGGATTTGTATGACTGAGTGCTGCTCCAGCTTGAAAAGGAGAAGAAAGAAACCATTTCGAATAGAAAACCAGGGACAAGAGACCTGATCAAGCCTCTTTCTTGATGTACTAATTTTCTGTGCAGACAGCTTTGCCCCCTTGGGGTGAACATTCAAACATGTTCCACTACACACATCTGTAGTCTGGAACAAGGTATCTATCTAGACTTACCAGGCCAAGGTAATTGGCTCTTGCATCGTAAAGATTTGCACCAGATTATCTGTTTCTAATTCTGCTGGTCTGGTCTCCCAAGAACCCAATGCATGCAACCAAGAACTTCGGTACATGCACTAGTGTCCAACTTTAGCTCCCTGTCCTGAATCAGAGGTTGCTCTGGAAAAGCCCCTGACTTTCAAGGGTGGCTGTTTGGGTGGACTCAAGGTGCTCCAGAATGGAATCAGAGAATGCCCCAAAGCCCCAGAATGTGGGCAGAAGCTTCAATCATGTGTCTGGATCCCACCTATGGTTTCTAATGACCCACTAAAGTTGTTACGCCTTGAGCCTATGTATTAGCAGTTGCAGAAGTTATGATTACTTTTGGTGGGAAAATTATCAGCAAAATTGAATATGGATTTTAAAACCCCCTACCATCATTTTCATCTCAAATGTACACATTGAGTTGGTTGGCTCGTGTTATTTTGCCCTCTTTCCATTTGCAGCTCGGCAAGCATCAGATCTGAGGATTTGAATAACACAGAAATTGCTCTCACTCAATTTGTTCTTTTCATAAACAGCCAGATCTGGTTCCTAGCAGAGCACCACTAGGTGGAAAATGCAGGTGAACTTGGTATGGTGCAACAAAATCACTATCTGTGTTAAGGGGGGGGGGGACATGTGACTGATCAAAAGCAGATATGCCTATTAGATCCCTTAAAATAATTAGTCAGCATAAGAGTCTTGAGTTGTACTTTTGGATGAATAAAGGTTTCATTGGTTGCCTCTTATATTGCCTTGCATAGTTACTTGAAGAAACATATACCAGGGGGTGGGGGGAGGACTACAAAAGCATTGCTTTTTCAGCAATTTCCCAAGACAATAAGTCACTCTTAGAAATTTCTATGCCTTCAATCTTTTTTTCGGTCACCACTCCCTGATTGATTCACATCTGCATGAGACGCGTCCCCAAATGCCTAACTCTGCAGCCCCAGCATAGGTGCCTGACATCTATATATCTGCCACTGTTTCTAGCTCATTCACATTATATGCCTTTCCACTGCTCTACAATTAACTTTCCATTAGGCAGCCTTAGTGAACGGGGCCAGCTTGCCTATACAATTAGATCTAAACATCACTGTCTTTTACCCAGCATTTGACAATAGATCAGGAGAGTGGGTCTGACTTATGATGACCAGGACTGCTGAATGAAGAACTAGATCTCCTCAGACTGTTGGTTCATTGAGCCCAGTATTGTCCTCTGTCCCAGAATCCCATACTTTTCAGATCAAAAACCAGGATGTGCTCCAGGGGGAGTCACATGACCTGCACCATGATTACATGCTTTTTTTCAGGGCATGATTGCAGCATGGATCATGTGACTCACCATGGAGCATGTGAGATCATGGCATCCTAAATGGCCGTTGCAATCTCACACCAAAAAATGAGATGTTTCATTTTTTTCCCTGTGACACTTGGTAGGTATGGAATCTCTGCCAGGTACCTGAAAGTCTTTAAATGTATATGCTATTTGCATGTTGCTCCCGGGACCTTATTATATGTGAAGTGTGAGTTCGGCCAATGAGCTACAAAGCCTCCCTTGCAATGAGTGGGAAGCCGGGGCAATTGGTGCAAGTTAACTTAATTGAAAAACTTAAAAAAATAATAATCATGAATTTGCTTCACAATCTGCAGTTTATTGTTTAAAAATAAAGAATGCTGGCATGCATTCAGCAATATAGTTACAGGTCATGTAGGATCTTAAGATACTAAATGGCATTGGCTTCATGAAAAGCCACCTCAGATGAACAAAGAAATGTAGATCCTGTTTCCAGATATTATAATCTGAAGCAAGGCATTCAAAACACTTAAAAGCCCTAATCGGCCTCGGTCCTGTATACCTGAAGGAGCGTCTCCACCCTCTGCCCAGACACTGAGGTCCAGCGCCGAGGGCCTTCTGGCAGTTCCCTCCCTGCAGGAAGTGAAGCTACAGGAAACCAGGGAGAGGGTCATCTCGGTAGTGACACCCGCCCTGTGGAATGTCCTCCCATCAGATGTCAAAGAAATAGATAACTATTTGACATCTGAAGGCAATCCTGTTTAGGGAAGTTTTTAATGTTTGATGTTTTTAATATTCTGTTGGGAGCCGCCCAGAGTGGCTGGGGAAACCCAGCCAGATGGGCGGGGTATAAATAAAATTACTACTACTACTACTACTAGATTTACCTAGGGGGGGAAGTAGAAATGTGGAATAAAAATAAATTCTGATTTTATTTTTTGGAAAATACAGAAATATTCTCACCTCTATTTATTTACTTTGTTTTTTAATTGGCCTTGTGCTACTTGGTACAGATTTGGTTTTCTTTGTTTCCCCTTTGCAGTTCTCCAAAAATCATTGAACGCCTCAACAGATGGTTGTGTCAACCCTGGAGACAGTGAAACAAAAGATGGATTTAGATGAGCGTTGGGAAAAAGCTACGGGGTGATGTTCCTCAGTCACCCCATAGCAATATTCATATATAGCATTTAATTGCTCCAAATGATTCTACAGAGGCTCAGATAATCTGCTCTGTTTGAGAATGTGTTCAAAAATTGCTTGCTGTAAGACGTTTCCTGGCCTTATGTGAATACTAGTGTGTCCTTCAGGAAAAGAATGGAAGAACAGGACCATGTGTGATATTACAGAGGAGCTTCAGACTGGACACGAGGAAGATACAGAAGGCCAACATGGCAAAGGTCATAGATCTGCATTTGTGGCTATTATAGGGAGATGATGGTCAGAGAAGGCAGAATCACTGTCATCATCTCCATAGCAAAATCTGTCTCTTCAAGTGAAAACTATACTGACATTTGTTCATATTTGAAATCTTGCAGATTCTTTTACATCTAGAATGCCAAGAATTCTCCTATGAATTTTAAAACAGTTTGAAATTTCAAGGAATAAAACATACCACAAGATTAAATCATATTTATTTTTTAACAGAGTTAGGCCAAATCATTTGGCCATGCTACTGAAGCGTAATTGTGTGGGGGTGGAAGCAAAGTGACCCCCAAGGATAGAAAAAAATCTTTGGGGTGAGGGAGTGGCAGAGGTTTGTCTTGCCATAATATTTAGTGGCTGGGGTTTTTATTTCATTTATTTTTCATTCTTTTATGTGGGGCAGTGCGGGGAGGTTGTCACAGTTTCAAGCCTTGGAGACAGTATGCCGCTGAAAATGACACTTCATTATGCTCGGGTGCCGATCCTAGGAGCAATTGTGATGGGAAAAGCTGTTGTCTGCATGAAAAGCAAATTCTCCTCTGATCATGAAATTGATTTTCATCAGCCAACCCCAGAAGCCATCAGGAAGAGCCTCCCCATTTTCACTGTAAGACAATGGGGCCGCAAAGGTGGGAACACGTCTTTAGTCCTCTAAATTGTCCCTTTTCACATGTTTCATTTTAATCCTTTGAATTCAGCAAAACTCCCAAATTTCATCTCAATTTAAAGCAAATTTTAAAGATTTGGTACCATTCATATTTGTGGGGATGCGGGTGGCGCTGTGGTCTAAACCACAGAGCCTAGGGCTTGCCGATCGGAAGGTCAGCAGTTCGAATCCCCGCGACAGGGTGAGCTCCCGTTGCTCGGTCCCTGCTCCTGCCCACCTAGCAGTTCGAAAGCACGTCAAAGTGCAAGTAGATAAATAGGTATCGCTCTGGCGGGAAGGTAAACGGTGTTTCCATGTGCTGCTCTGGTTCGCCAGAAGCAGCTTAGTCATGATGGCCACATGACCCAGAAGCTGTACGCCTGCTCCCTCGGCCAATAAAGTGAGATGAGCGTCGCAACCCCAGAGTCGTTCGCGACTGGACCTAACAGTCAGGGGTTCCTTTACCTTTATCTTTTACCTTTATCTTTACCATTCATATTAAGTAGCTTGACTGAAAAGCAAATGCAAGGGCATTCAACTTAAAGAAAATCTACCTTTCAATTCTGAGACCCCTTGAAAGGTATCTCAAGGCTCCGTGGTCCTTTTCATTCACAACAGCATCTACAATCAGAGGATTTTTCTACCAGCTGGTAATGGGCTACAGCTTCTTCAAAGTAATACTACACAGTTTGGCTTCAACAGACTCCCTTTACCTAATACACCATCCAAAAATATTCCCAACATATTCATACAGATGTTAAATATCACCATGGACAAAATAGTGCCCCCATTACACATCCCATGGATTGAAGAGCACTCCCCCAACACTGGATTCAACCACACCGGTAGGAATGGAACCACTATAATACAGTGACTCTGATACTCATCCCGCAGTCAATCCAGAGGGATACCATGGTCAATGGTATCAAAGGCCCCCGAGACATCAAGTATGAGGAACAGGGTTGTGCTCCCTCTTTCACTACTGCTACAGCTCTCCACAAGTTGGAAGCTGCAGTTCTGCAACAGAGAGCACTCTTCTTCTCTTACAATGCATGATTCTCTCCATGCATGATTAAGACCCCTGCACTTCCAAATCTCATAGGGAACAGACTCTCTGCTGCAGGAAGTTCAGCCTACAATGAAAGGAAGCCTATTGTGATGACAAAGGGAGAGAAGCCAGCTACTGCTGATTTCACAAAAGGGAGATTTGTGGAAAGAAACCCAACATCTTCCCACACCAAAGAAAATCCCACTCAGAGAACCAAGTAGATTTTTTAAAAATATTTTTCATAGATTCCCTGCAGCATCAAGATATCTAGGTGTTCCTTAAGTAGAGCGAGTTGCTCTATTCCTCTAATCTGGATTTGTCAAACGCAGGCTATTCAGGGTAACGACTGTAATTCCATTACTCATTAAAATGGGTACAATGAAGGGCCAGCATCCTGTCATAAATATCATTCTCTTCTGGTCATGAAGCTCTAATTCAAGTGTCTTTGACATCAGTCTTTTTGTTAAAAAATACATTATAACACAGAGGATAGAAAGCTGCTAGCTTCAAAACAAGAATAATGGAATGGATCCAGACCAAATTAGTTACACTTATGTCACACTGCAATCAGTTTGAATGATTTGTCATGAAATACGTCCTCTTGATTTCAATGGGATCTAAGTGTAACTAATGTATTCTAGATCCAACCCAATCCCTCTTCTCTCTCTCCTTTTCTCTTTCTTTCATGTTTTTCAAGATTTAGAAAAGACTTCTGCTTCTTCCACTTTGCTTGTAGTCCAACTATGCGAAAAGAAACTGAACTGCAACTTATAGAGCAGTTTGGGCTATTTGCCAACAAAATGGCTAGACTGTAATGTTTTCGTGAGGGATTTGAGTGTGCTTTGAGTGCCCTGAAGCACTTAAGATGAGGTTGATAATATAAGCAGAACAAGAGATGGCTTCTTTTTGTGCCCCCCCCCCAGCAGTATATGCAATGTTGAAGGAAGCACCAACGAACAACACCAAGCAAACTGGCAGTAATAGGTTACCAAGCAGTTCTCTCAGCAGCACTTGGCTTCAGCCAGAGCTGACGTTTTTGCCCCTCAGTGTTGCCATTGTTCACCATTGGGTATTGCTGCCCCAAACACATGCTTTATATTAGCAGCACATTTCAAAAACATTCACTGCAGACTTTGAATCTCCACACTTCTCAAGCTCCAACTAAAGGTTGATAGAGATACAGTGGTACCGCAGGCTACAGACGCTTCAGGTTACAGACGCTTCAGGTTACAGACTCCACTAACCCAGAAATAGTGCTTCAGGTTGAGAACAGAAATTGCGTGGTGGCGGCACGGCGGCAGCAGGAGGCCCCATTAGCTAAAGTGGTACCTTGGGGGGCCACCAGGGGGCGCATTGGAAGATGGCTGACAATAACATCTCTCCGACCCACACGAGGTAATTAAGAGGCTGTTATGGGAGTATGCAGCCTCCCTTGCCCCCCCCCAAGGGAATGGGGGGGACTGCCTTGCCTGCTGTGCCCATAATTCACCCCCAGATTCGAAAGAACGGGGTGAGGGCACTAGGCACGAAGCCCTCGGGTGGGTCTGGCTCTCCCGGATGCTGTCTCTGATCGCGCACTGGCTTGCATCAGCTCGAAATATATAATTGGAAACAGAAGCAAATGCACATACTTCAAGTGAAGATCGGGAGTAAAGACTGCTGATTAATGGGATCTCTGTGAGCAGAGCGACAGGCTGGACAATAAATCAAGTGAAGACTCATCATTAAAAGATCGGTATGTCGGAGCGAAACAGAAAGGGGGGGGAGGAAAAACTTTTCTTTTTTTTGTCTTATGTGAGTACCCAATAATCCTCCCTCCCAGAGAGAATGAATCGTTGCAAATTACTAATCACAAGCAGGAGATTAAGAACTGTGTGGAAATAAATTACTGATCAAAGAGAGGACTAGTGGGAACATCTGATGGAAAGACAGCTTTGTGACACAGTTTCAAATGGAGATTTGTTAAGACAGGCCTGCTCACAGGAGGACGAGGGGGAGGAGGACCATGGTCATCGGAATGTGAATGTATGGTTATCAGAATGTGGATTTGACCTGGCGGGGCCCCCTGAGATACAGTTTCGCAGGCCTGTGAAAATCAACGGACAGACTGTGGGAATGTTTTTTGTGGAGGTGCGGAAATGGCGTCTGTCCTTTATGTGATATGGCTCTTGGAGAGTGTAAAACCCACACAGGATATGTTTGTTTTCAACCCGCTTGTGAAGATTATCAGAGATCACAAAGAAAGGAATATATGATAACAACAAGAAGATGAGGAAAATAACAAAGAGACTATCTGGACAGAACTGTGTAATTAAAGCAGCAACAAGAGTGATGTTTGGATCCCTTTCGGAGCTCGAAGTATGGGTACCCCCAATAAAATTTTTAAAATCTGGCTGTATAATTTGGAACTAATGTGATTTGGATCCTGATTGCGGTGTACATGAATGCACATGAATGAATTTTGTGTGCACAATAATGAATATGAAGGCATTATACTGGAACACTATAGTGTGTGTGTGTGTGTGTGTGTGTGTGTGTGTGTGTGTGTGTGCTCAGTTGCATAGGTACTCCCAATCCAATAATTGCCAAGGGGAAAAATAGGCCTGTATGATTGGGCATACCAACATGGTTCCAGGCTTCAAAACAAAACTGCAAGCAGTTTGGCTGGAAACCACAGAAAGCAGATCCTGCGCCACTATGGTAATGTATGATGAGGCCCTGGAGGCACTAAGTCATTTTTTTCACATAGTTAAATGACTTGCATTGGATTTCAGAAATGTGTTCTTTCTGATGAAACATTTTAATGCTGTTTTGAAGGGCTTTCCATGTGCTCTTTTCCAGGATATTATTTTCCAGCTATTATATTTTGAGCACAAGACATCTAGATTTTATTTCAGTTGCAGGCAAGGTTGAAAATGCTGCTTTACAATATGTACCTGTTTCTAAACACATACACACCGCATCTGGAACTGACTGCAGTTTGTGTCTGTGTCTGTGTCTTTTGTTGAGAGCCAGTGTGGTGTAGTGGTTAAGAGCGGTAGTCACGTAATCTGGGGAACCGGGTTCGCGTCTCTGCTCCTCCACATGCAGCTGCTGGGTGACCTTGGGCCAGTCACACCTCTTTGAAGTCTCTCAGCCCCACTCACCTCACAGAGTGTTTGTTGTGGGGGAGGAAGGGAAAGGAGAATGTTAGCCCCTTTGAGACTCCTTAAAGGGAGTGAAAGGCGGGATATCAAATCCAAACTCCGCTGCTTCTTCTTCTTCTTCTTCTTTTTCTTCTTCTTCTTCTTCTTCTTGACTGGCTGGATCAAGAGATAGCTTGAAAACTCCTCCTTGGGCTATGGATTTGGCATGTCATTTATGAGTCACAATTGAACAAATTTTCATGGGCTCCTAACTTACTGAGACTTGTGACAGCGGTAGTGGTTGAAGAAGGAGCTTCACCAGCATTGCATGTATGCTTCCTAAAGAAATTGCCACAAAGCCTAAAGTTGGCCCTGGTTTCGGAAGGGGCTAGGGATGGGCAGATATGTAATTTTTTTGTTTCTTTCCATTTCCTATTCTTTAATTCAGTTCTCCAACTTAAGTTTATGATTTAAAAGAAAAACAAAACAGTTATAATGAAAGATGATCAGCATTTTAGTGCCAATTTCTCCTAATATATACATTTTTGTATGCAGTTGTGACTAATATTCACCTTTTTGCAAAGCAATTTCCCCTAACTTTTGTACACTGTTTTCTCTAATATATGCATCAAGATGCACACTTTTCCTAGCATATAGGCTTTTGTGCACATTACTGGGATGGAGAACGGCACTGCAAAATTCAAAGAGGTGTGAATGCCAAAGGATGTGGCAGTGTTTCAGTTTGCATATTGTTTCAGAAAGTGCACATCTGGTAAGTTGGCGTTGAGGTGCAAAGCAAATTGCATTGCTCCCCCAAACCTAGAAGGCGTATATAATCTTCTCCAAACTACATTAACAGGGCGGCTTTTCCTCAAGAGCTTGTCAGGAAGAACCACTATAATTAGGTTTCCCCCTCTCCCATTTACATTCCTGGCATTGCCAGGTGAATCAAATCAAAATGTCAGACAGGCTTTTCAAATGAAGTTTCTACGGAGCATTTGGATCAATAAGAAGTTTTCACCGTCTGCATAATAGTAATATCTGACACATGGTACAATGTGAAGGCCTGTCAAGCCAAGATCTCAGGAAACAATTTCTTACCCCAAATGGGCTGCACATTTATTCTAACAAAAAGGTGGGAGGGGAAACAGTGTTTTAGACATTGCAAAGGTTCTGTTTGTGGAACAAGCCCCACATTGCTTTTTAGGGAATAAAAGCCTCATCCTTTTTTGTTGTTGTTGCATGCAGCTGTGTTTGCAGCCCACAGATCTGTCAGTCTGTGCTGCTGACAGTTTAATGCAGCCACTGATCACCTCGGCTCGCTCTGAAGGCCTATTCAGGTAATGATGCTGATTATTCAAAGAAAGCACATGACGAACTGCCAACTTACCAGAAGAGAAGCTATTTGACTATGTGCTACAAGGGATCTGATCTCTGAGCTTTCTGATGCAAGTTCTTGCAGCTTTATAAAGCTCTTTCTCAGCAGCTTTTCCTGAATGCTTGTTTTCATTGCAGCCATTTCTGCAAGTGGAATTAAACGGTGAGTATTTTAGAGATTACTTTTAAGCCGAGTGGGATACCTTGAGCAGAAACCTTAATTAGTTTATTACTCCGAAACTTCAGGTTATGGAACATTAGCTCCTGACACCCGGAGGTCATGAACAATATATAAAGCAATCAAAATTAATTTTGATTGAAGTTGCTTTGTTCTGTGCTTTCCGATTTTACTCATTAAAAACAAACAGGGGCTGAAGAGATTTATCCTCAAAAGGTTTGGTTTGACATTCATGGGACTTGCACCAGTAGAGTTGTCCAAGGATGAGTGCAGAGAAAAGGGCTACCACTCGATGATGCAGGTACATAGTTTTAACGGGAAAGCCTGTTTGCAATCACTTTTTCTCTTTCTTCTTGATGGAATGAGAAACTGAAATGTGTGTGTGCTTGCGGTTGAATTACATGGTACATTGTGGTTGAATTACATGGTACAATGGTACAATGGTAAATTGTGGTTGAATTACATGGTACAAGGAACATGGAGCTGTTGTTGAAAACAGCAGCACTGTGAAAAGATCATCTCCCACACATCATAACACCCAATTCAACTTAAGGGACAAATTACACATTTGACTCAGCCATCTGAAGATCCTGAGGATCTCCTTTACCCCCAGCCCAAAGCAGAACAGGCAGCTGGCAAGCCCGATCCTGATCCGTATCACTTATCAGGTTGGTGGGCCAGATCCTTATCCCACATACTCCCTGTGTGCCAAATTTGACATCAGGTGACACAGTATTTTGACAATCAGCTGATTGTCATGGCTTGCAAAGGACAGCTTCCCTTGCAAAGACACAGTACACTTTGGAGCCCCACTGATCTGCTGTTATGTGGTGCTCCAGAAGCCCCTTTAGGGCCAGCTCAGCCCAGTTACCTTTCACCTGCCCTGTATGACATCAGGCATGGCTTGGTCATAATGGCTTGTCACGCCAATGAGAAGGACCAGCAGGCCAGCGGCCAAAGGTTCCCATGCCTGTTGGAATACAAGGAGATGCTGTTTTGGACACTTTTGATAAGGGGTGCAACAACTGTGGCACCCAAGGCACTGTGGAGCTGAATGACTTGATCCTCAAAGACATTTGTGGGATGGTCAGTCTCCAGACCACCTGAATCAATTCAGTTTCACAGTTCCTTGAGGATACAATGGAAGCTGCAAATTAGTTCTTCTTTGCCACCTTCGCTGCCACATGCTGGGCAGAATTATGTAGCCTAGCCTAACAAGTATTGCCAATGTTCTTTGTAAGGTGTCATTCTGCCTTTAGTGAAAGGGGTCTTCTATTGCAGGCTTCCCATAGGCATCTGGTTGCCCAATGAAAGAACAGGATGTTTGGTTAAATGGGCCTTGGGCCTGATTCAGCAGCACTTGCATCTCTCTCCCTGTTTGCCAATATAGACCAGCATTCATCTTGCTTCTGGGGCTGTTTGTGTTTTTGTGTTAGATGGCATTGTTCAGGGAGCTGAATCTCTCTGCACCATCACTTCTTGACATTTATAGCAGTACCAAATGCCCACAAGTGAACTTTGTGGCACAAGGTCCATGGCATTATGAATACATTACATATGACCATAGTAGATATAAACAAATGTGAGGAAGAAAGCCGAGGTAGCTCCAGAGAAGTCCTAAAAGACTCCTGCCATAAGACTCCTTCCTACCTCAAGGACACGAGCTCTCCGGGCCTCCCAAATCATGAGTGTGTGTGACATTATACAGCTCCTTTGAGTATCTAGGTTGTGTGAACGGAGCCCTTGTGTGTGCAAGCTGGCCAATGGCAGCAGGACAAGCAGATCAATGCAAAATGTGGCCAAGATGTTGCTCTTGTCATTTTTAAGCAGCAACTTCAATGGAAAGAGGTGCAGATGTTTTCCATACAGAGTCATGTTTGCAATCTTGTTTTCAAATTTTAATAGGGATTTTATTATGCCTTTAAAAATTTATGGTAGGCAATTATAAAATGCAAATAGAGGCCAGATTAGCTCCAGATCCACCATGTGTCAAGCTGGGTGCATGTGCGGTAAAGTTCAATCTTGTTTGCACATTCTGTTTATTTGTTATATGCCGAGTAGTCTAATCTTCAAACACAAATGCATAACTTTTTTGTTATATGACCTTTTTTAATTGTTTGGTTTTTTACATGTAAATTGGTTCTGTGTCGGCCAAATACTACCTTAATTAGAAAACAGAATATGCAGCCTGGCTCATAATGTTTCCATTAGCTAGTTTAAATAGTCTGCAGATTTGGAGTGGAGCCAGATAGTTTATTCAGAGAATAGTTTTAATTGGATTATTGGTACATATATTAATTGATATATCACTAATCCACTGTTAAAATGTAGATGGAGTTGAAAGCCTTCCAAAAGGTCCCTGGAGATTCTAATTGAAACATACTCTTCCCATAGAAGGGGGTGCAGTATGATTTCCACAGCCACTGCCCCAGAGCTAAGTAATCCATCTTATTTCACTACTCAAGTGAACCTAAGTACATGGGAATTGTGAGTATGAATTAAATTTATGACCTGCCCAGTTGAGCACTAAGGACAGAGGGGGCCAATATTGTGCTCATCAAACACTGACTAATTACATATCCCATAATCCTTGACATTGGCCATATTGCCTGAGGATCATGGGAGCTGTATTCCAACAACAGCCAAAGGGCACCACGTTGCCTGATCCATAGCCTTCAACCTATGCTGGCACATCCCTCCAGCCAGTACGCTCAAGCTGAAAACAGAAAACAAAGATATCCTGCTGGTGCTTCTCTGTTACTGGCTAGGTAGCTAAAGTCTAACTGGATTATCACTCAGGAAATATGAAATCACAGCCAGCTTGCAGCTTCTGATCAGGAGATGCCGAAACCACTCTTCTCCATTATCACAGTGTCCCTGGCAGGAATAGGCAATATGG